TTTGACAAGGGCAACGTGTAGCCCGGTATCGCGTTAGTGGAGCTGCATCCTGAATAGAGGAATGCGATGCAGACGCGACATCTAGAAGGCGCGTGTTCCCGCGGTCCCGTGCATGCGCGTCATTCATCCCCGAGATCGCGCTAGCCGAATCGGACTCCCTGTGTTAATCAACGGTGCGACCTTTCAACCATCAAATTAACCTCACCACATCAAGATATATGTAAGCAGCACATGCGGTTGACCGTCCTTAGATGGGCATCCGCTTCTTTTGAGTAATTCAAGTCTAAAGCGGACTGCTCAAGCATATTGAGTTTTCCACCCCATCAAGGTGAGGTATCATTTACTTCTTCTACTATATATCAGCTAGAAGAGTAGCTACGGAAGATGATGCGCTTTGAGCATGATGGCCAACCTAGACGTCTTGTGTATTGGCATGGCCTTGGTGTACAAAGCATGGAGTAAAACTAACAGACAGTACACATAGGTATGCAGGGTATTTGCGAGTGGTCTAAATTTGACGCGTGCCTGAAGATCAAGCCAGGGCACGGTTGAGGAGCAGGGTTGCATTCCAATGATTGGCCGCGGAACTGCATCTCGAAGGATAACCACAAAACAACGAGTGACATGTACGCACATGCGTGCCCCCGTTGCCGCGATACACACATTACACTGGCGACAGTAAAGACTTGACGTTCCTGAACATAGCCCACAATCCTGCGAAACGCTTTTGACATGTTGCACTGCCATACCAAGACCGTTTCCAGAGTCATTGACGTCATGGTGAGCCCTTGATCCAATAGGAACATGCGGCTCAGTCTTCGTGGCAGCAAAAGGGCGAACAGCTAGGGCATTTCTTTTGATCTTGCTGTCTTTTGTCTCTTGAGAACTTTTCTAATTTACCACCGAAAAAGTTGCCGTTATGATTGCAAAAATGGACCAAGTCAATGGACATGCGGAATGTGGGGAAGACAACAGGGTACCTGTCTACTCGATCCACAACGTACCCATCACCGAAGAAAGGAAACCATATATCAGTAGCAAAAACTCTCGTCTACAACACGCAGGTACGAATAAGCGTGTTGCGCTACTGCTACTACGCCATTGTACTAATTGCAAATAGCGGTTGCGCGCGCAAACCTCGCCCCGTCAGAAGAATCGCCTGAAGGCAGCACGCAAGACGACTGGGCAAAGAAGCACTCGCATCAAACAGTCCTGCAACAACACTGTGACTTCTTCGACCGGGATCATGATGGTGTTCTCTGGCCACAGGACACTTTCGTCGGTTTCTACCGCCTAGGCTGCGGGCTTTTCTTCTCGGCTTTCGCCGTCTTGGTCATCCATATCAACTTTTCGTATCCCACGTGTTCAGGATGGCTTCCGGATCCTTTCTTCCGTCTGTTCTTGCACAATGTGCATAGAGCGAGACACGGCAGCGATACGGGCACGTACGATGCTGAAGGAAGGTTCATTCCTTCGAAGTTCGAAGAAATTTTTACAAAATATGCCGATGGACGAAACTATTTGACCGTGGGAGACTTGGTCAATGTGTTGAAGGGGCAGAGGAATATCAATGATCCGATCGGAATGTGCGGCTTCATCTTCGAATGTAAGCTTTGTCCGTTCTTGAGCGGCGTGAGGGAGAATGTTAACCTTGGATAGGGACTGCGACCTATATCACGCTTTGGCCTGAAGACGGTCGGATGATGAAGGTATGTAATACATCGGATCATCTATTGATTTACTCTCGATGCTAACAACGACAAGGAGGATATTCGTGCAGTATACGATGGCAGCATATTTCAACGAATCGCTGACAAGCGTGAAAAAAAGTTGGCAATGAAGAAGAAAAGCCATTAGGGGGAAGGGAGATGCCCGCAAGATCGAGAACAGTGCTGAATCAATCCTTCGTTACAGACATGGCTCGCTTGCGACACCCTGTGATTGTAACGTATATGATAGAACCCGGATCCGCATCCGACAGCAGCTCGTCTTCAAACCCTGTCCTACAGAGAGTTGGGCTCTTGCGCGGCACATGTAGAGACATCGTCGATACGCCTATGCAGCTATTCTGAGACTGCAGTTGGCTGCAGTTCTCTCGATTCGAATTACCAAGATAGGATTAAACAGCGGAGCTAAATTTTGTGGCGGATACCGGTTGTGTACTTACGTATACGAACATGCTATTGGCTCCGGTGTTCGATCCGACTGCGGGCAAAGTGCATGCAAGAGTTTGCCACGATAATCTAAAAGACCAGTGGCGGTCAAGGCCCCGCATAATGACTGCTCACCAGGGAATAGATTTCCCGTGTCAAGGAAGAAAGTTCAAGCGGTTCTCCAACGTGTGGTAATGAGCAGATACAACAAGAGCGTATTAGCGTGTCAAGACGCTGACAATCAAAGTCATAACTGGCATTGTGAATAGTATACTGTGTACTGTATTTGATGTTGATTATGTATGTCATCTAATCTTATCTCTGTGGTGAGAATACGATGCTTCGCCACGTCCTCGACGTTCTATCTTGCGGAGTTGGTTCGGCAGTGTCGTTAGGGAGCTTGAGGTCACCCATAGACTGCAAAAGCCGATTGAGACGTCGGTCAGTAGGATCCGAGCTAATCGACTTCACATTCACAGAGTACTCGCTATGCACGTGCTCTAGCATCGACTTCTCCCTCTTGTCTTCGCCCTTGATGCGTGCCCAGTCCTTGAGCAACTTCAAATCAACAGGGTTCATCTTATCTTGCAGGATGCGGAACACGAGTTCGGATAGAAAAAAGTTTCGGCCTTGGTCGCGCAAGCCCGTAGCGCACAGTATGAGTGTGGCTCTGGTGGCTTTCATTATGGGCGGAAAATGCTCTTGCTGCGCCTCCGGGGTACGCAGGCGCTCTATCGAGTCAAAGCCCAGCTGAACAAGGATTGGAAGTAGAAAGATATAATATGTTTCGAAGCCGTGACGGTGGTAAAACATGTGAACAAGCGTTTGAAGACTCGCTTTGGAGGCGGCATACAACCGTGCTGGACTGAAACCGGCATCGACCTCGAATGCCCCTCTATCGTGCGGTTGGTCGAGAGGGGTCCCGTGCTGCAGGAACGGCTGGAAAGTCAAAGTTACAAGGTTATGAAACTGCATACTGTGACACAAAGGTTAGTTATTCTCGCGTGCAAGACAAGTCAAATCTTACTGTAGGAGAAGTTGTGATGGCATGGCAATATTGTGAGACTGCAGCGGCTCTGGCAGATCATAGAACCATTGGACCAGCATGGTGTGATAACGGCCGGCCTGCTGAAAGCCAAGATGGTTCTGTCCGTCGCCTTCTGAAAGAGCCTTTCCAGCTATGTCATTCATGATGCATCTCAGCTTGATGAGCGCCAGGAAAGTCTGACCCAGATAGATGGGGGTCTAGTAGTTCGTCAACAGGACTGAAAGGACAACATGGGGTATATCTTCAGGATAAACTTGAAGTGATGAGTACAACTCAACGGAAATTGCTCCTTCGGAGATTACGACATACCAGGTGTGTCACAAGAGGGTATTTGACCCAAATTTCGCCAAAGAAATTCTGTGCGTCTCGATAGTCGGGCAAGCCATCCTCAGGCGGGATTCGGGACAGTGGGGGCTTCATGAGGTAAAAGCAAGAGAACCTGAACCTTTATCAGAGAACATCACGAGGGGAAGAAAAGGGGTCGGGTAAGTTTATACGCTTGCTGAGAAAAAATGCCCCATGCTGTAAGGGTTCTTGAAACGCGATCCTTTTCGGTTTTGTATTCCGCGACCTTAGCAAATAACTCTAGTCTATCTGCAAGCTCTAGCGCGTATGTCCATGTCGTCCATCCCATCTCATCCATACCATTGGCGAAATAGATTCGGCCTAGGATGGTGGCTGCTTGGGCGGATGTAAGGTTATACACTTGCTGCGATTTTTGCAGCTCCCACAGCCGTCTGGTCTCATCCAAGCACCGATAGGTGTAGGTGTTGGGGTTCCAGAACTCAGATCTCTGCTTGAGCGAACCCGCTCCGTGCTGTTCCATATGTTAACTCGCAGTCAAGAAGAAAGAGGAGACGAAGATGGAACATACGCAGGCTGCGGTGAGAATGGCATTAACAAGAAGCGGTGAACAGTAATCATTTCTTCCAGCGGCCATGTCGTCGAGGAAGTGATCTTTGTGGAAGCAGGGCCAGAGGGGATACTCGTACAGGAAATAGTCCTCGAGAAGGCGGGTAAGAAAGACGTCGTCATGACTGATCGGTGTCCATCTGGAGGGCCTCAGGGACTCTGGGGACATCTGAGGATCATACATGCGGGCACCGGGATAGGGCACGTTGTAGATAGCGTGGTATGTATGCTCTTGGATATCGGTGCTTTGGTGGGCAGTCTCGTGCGACAGGGCCTTGTACAGTCTTGAGGTCAGATATGGGTTGTCTGTGCTGTCAAACAGTGGCATCATGTCAGCAAGATAGGGCAGGGTGAATTGGTAAGTCGCATCCGGAACCAGCATGAGCTGGAGGCGGAGGCTGCCATACTCGAGGAAGCGTAGAACCGCATGCACGTCGGTGCCGCGACGAAGTAGGCTAAGTGTCTCATGGGCGATAGGCCGGGGCTGGGTGCGCAGGTGGGCAAAGACGCGTTGGAGTGCACGGCTGGCGTCCGTAGAATGCACCTGGCCATGGTGTCTGCGCCTGGTAGCGACGGGCCGGACCGGAGGCTGAGTGTAGTTGCATGGAGTGTGCCGCTTCTGACACTCTGAGCATTGGGGACGTTCGGTCGAACACTGGACATGTCAGATTATGTGCAGGTCCGAGTACGTTTTATCAGGTAGCTCGCGCAAGATCAGCAACGGCCTTACCTACCTTTGTGATGCGGCCGCGACAAGCTTCGCAAGCTCCTGTGCCCACAATATGCTGCAGGCTCATGGCAGGACGCCGCCGAAGAAAGGCCGCGCGCTGGCTGCGAGGACTGATGAGGGGTAAGTTCCAATCCATGGACAGTGGCTCGCCTGCCAGACACGAGTGGCTTTGCGCTCTGCAATCTGTTGTTATATGTGGTGTGGTCCAGCGCTCTGAGAGTTATATTCTCTCGCCTACGAGCCTGCCTACTTGTACACAACATGACGTCGCCATCTTGCCGCTGGGTAGCCCACGGCCTAAAGGCCCGCACCTAATCAGCGCCTTCCTCGACCCGAAAACTACCCAGCAGTCCCATATATGTCGCCGCATAGAGACGTCTGGCACTGCAATGCTCCGTTCCGTCACCACGACACATCTCCCTAGTTCTTCTCTTGTTCCATCAGGCTGATACCGTGTCCGTGCGCGACCTGAGCCAGGTCGCGACGTTGGTGTCTTGCACGTGCTCTCCATCTCCTCTCACAACACCATAACTGCAAGCAGAGGAAATGAACCACAGCCGCTACCCGCCCGAGGGCTCCAACTCCCGGGAGCCAAAGGTGGCTATCCCGAGAATACCTGGCCAGAATTATCAGATCCCGCCGTCTACACGAACCCCTCGAGCCCGCAGCGAAGTCGTGAGCAAAGCCGTAAGTAAAAGCCTTTGACTATTTCGATTGGGCCGGGACTGATTTCCGCTAGTGCACTCAGTGTCGCAAACGAAGTGGGCCTGAACTCTTGTCTACATCTCGCTCAGCTCCGGCTTGCTGACCACACCCAGAGATCAAATGCTCTGGTGCTCGTCCGCGTTGTGACAATTGTGACAAGCACCACCATAGCTGTCATTATGATCTAGAGCGCAAGGACCGCCTCAAAGGGTCTGTCCATGTCATTGCCTATCTGCTCTACCTTTTTGTCTGACAAGTAAAAGAGCGCAGCGTAAATCGCACGCATTGACCGAGCTCTTGCTCGATCTCAGCAGCCAGCTCGACGAGGCGAGCCAGAAAAGGATTGAGGAAACATTGGCATCCTTCGAAGATGACACGCCTCCTCCTCCACCAACTCCTGCGCTATCACGTGGTAAGCGGGCAAGGAGAGCTTCATCATCTCATGCCAATGACGACGCTCGAAGTACCACCTCTGCAGAGGGCGGAGAAGCTCACGTCTCCGCTTCTGTCGGCTCCAACGAAGACCTAGATTTTGTCCAAGAGGACATTTTGCGCACCGAAGACGCAGATAACACGGGCTACATGGGGCGCAACTCGCAAGTCCAATGGCTCCGAGCCCTTGAAAGCAAGATCGAACATCCCGAACGCGAGTCCTCTGATTTGCCATATGGGCCGCCTGGGGCCGAGGGAGATGCTTTCAATCAGCGTGCTAAAGCACTTCGTGGGCGTCAACAGCACGGCGACAACCGGCAATCTCCCGACAACGACCAGTTCCTCGGCTACTACTTCTATCTTGACAAATCCAACATCGACATCGATATTGGTGACCCACATGTCATACCTTCTGCTGATACGGCCGATCGTCTTTTCGAGTACTATAAAGCGGTCGTACATAGCACATTCCCAATCTTAGGTGACATTTTCGAACATCAGCTACACGTGTTTTTCACGAGAAATCAAAATAGTGCTACATTGGTCGTATGTCCAAAGTGGAAAGCTGTTATGAACCTCGTTTTCGCCATCGGTGCACGCTACTCACATCTCATCGGTGCAGAGTGGCGGGCCGACGACCACGACCATCTAGTGTATATGTGGAGAGCAGTGCATCTTTTGCAGCTCCAGTCCATCAATACCTTAGTCGCCCAACCGGATCAGACAACGATACAGGTAGGCTCCTCTTGAAATCATAACGAAAAGCTCTGATATAAATCTAGGCGTTCGGGCTTCTCTCTCTGTACTATCTGACGATTGGACATGTCAGCAGGTACGTCTCGCTACAACCACACAGCAGAACTCACCCTCAAGGTATTCGCCTTTTTTTGTAATAACAAATGACAATGTAACATACAGCGAATACCTTTAGGGTGCGCATCAAGACCCAGTCAGCTATGCGACATGTGCGCGTGCTGACGATGAGGTTATAGAGCTTGGTACATGATCGGTATCGCTATCCGCCATGCACAAGCTGCGGGTCTGCACCTTAGACACGAAGATCCTTCCATGTCTCCTGAGAGGAGGAAGGATCTAGTCCGGATTTGGTGGTCGCTCTATTCGATTGAATGTGTCCTTACTTCAATAACAGGACGTCCTCGCACTGTAAATGCCATAGACTGTACAGTACCGCCACCGGGCGCGAAAGGAACTGAAATGGAGACACCATTACGTGAAACACCGATATCTTCTGCAGTAAGTCGGGTCTCCGAATCTTCTGCCAGTGGAACCGTACCCAATGCGAGTGTGGATCCATTCGATGTAGCCTACGTTAGGCTCGACATTCTTATGGACAAAATCCTGTCTGGTCTATACTCCGCGCAGAAGTCTGCCAAGTCTTGGAAGGCTGCCCAGAAGGGGATCGCTTCACTATCTGACGAATTGGAAGCCTGGGCTTTGCGTTCTCTATCTCGAGGTCCAGCTGCAGCAGCAGCCGCTACGTCAGGGCACGATCTGAGTCGAGAGCAGCTGCTACTGTATCTATACTACCACAACGCTAAGATCTGCATCACTCGGCCCTGTCTATGTCGGCTGGATTTGCGCATAAAGGGGCAGAGCGAAGAGTCGATTCGGTTCAACCAGAAAACCGCGGAGGCCTGCATAGGCGCAGCCTTGGATATCACCTCCATATTGCCAGATCCCCCAAACCCTGCATGGTATTACGAGAACGGTCCGTGGTGGTGTGCTGTCCATATGAGTAAGTCTGTCCGATCCTATAGTAATCGACGTGGCTAATCACTATGCGCAGTCATGCAAGCCCTTACGGTCCTACTTCTTGAGCTGTCGCTGGACGGTGTCCACTTGACGGTCGAAAAATCACATGTCACATCCTGCGTCGACAAGCTTATACGATGGCTAAGTTCGATGAAATCTGTCGACGCAATCAGCGAGAGCGCCTACAATGCTGTGGCTAGAGTGTTGAACAAGCAGAGCAAACAAGAAGCGGCCCATCGGCAACTACCTCAGCCACAGCCGACTGATCAGCATCAACAACAACACGATGCACAAGACACGACCCTAGAGATGCAGCAGCAATATCAGTCGTACAGTCAACCTTTTGCATTGCAACAGTCGGGTGTCATATGGCCAACCGCTGATCCATCCAATAGCAACGACTTTTACTCGCAATCCAACACAGGCAACTTCTACTCCAACGATGTCTCCGGAAGTGAATACCTGAACGATCCTAACGCTGGGTTAATGGACTTCGGCCAGCCACTGAACTTATTCTATGGAAATCCTTACGAGGCGACTTTCGATCAATGGGAATGGGATCCGGCGGCGCTTGAGGACCCCGATCTGGGACAGCAGCGAGGCCCGAGCGGAGATCAAGGCGGTTATCAAGGGCACGGGTACGGTGGTAGCTAATTCGAGTTGTGCGTTGCGTACGTACAGAAGCATAGTGTAAAAGAGATGCGGACATGGGTTGCTTGATAGCGGTCACTCCAAGCGATGAATGGATAGATAGCGGCATTGCTGATCAATCAGCACCAGCAGTCTCACTATACGCCTGTAAAACATAAAAAAGTATACAACATAGTATGCGAAGGCTTTCTCTACGAGATTTAGTTTTGCTCCTAATCCTAATAGATATCATCCCACTTTATTGTCTCCGTCTCTAGCACAGAAATGCTGATGATATCACAAGCCTGAACGACATGCTAACAGCAGTGTACAGTTTAGATGTCGCAAGCCTCCACATTGAACATACCCTGGACAACTTGGCACTCTTTCCCATAGTGCTCCAGCGCATCCCTTACTGCGTCCTCCACCTGCATGGTTTTTACACCAACAACCTCATTCTGGACAACCTGGCCAAGATGTTTCACATCGTCCTCGCCTCCATAGAACTGGTTAGATATCGCTAATCCCTTCACCGCTTTGCCCATTTGCGCTTTTCCCGCTTCTTGCTCACCACCTTCCTTCCAATTCTCCAGCACGACTAATGCATGCCGGTGAATCTTCTCCACATTAACATGCTCAACGCTGAATGACGTATCAAGAAGCTTTTCCAGGGTGCGCAGCAGCATGTTTTGCGTGAGGTGGGGGAAGGGACAGATGAGAATGGGCCGGTTGACGATAGGAAGAGGGTTGCGGAGCATGTTGCCAGCTGCGAGGCCGATTGTTGAAAGGGGGGTCCAGTATAAGGGTTCGTTTCCAGTACCATAGATACGAGCATGCTGGTTGGGTATGTCTGGTACGGGAGGTGAGTTGATTGGACTAGTGAGTTAGATAGATGGATAGGATGACTTACCGAAGCCTGCGGGTCCCTTCATGAGCCCTGTGGTAGATAGGTCAGTATTATTCTTACGAAAAGCAAGGCCTCTATGCCCAGAGGAAAACCTACACATATCGAAAAACGGCCCTCCATTCAAGCTGGACCAAGCCATCTTCTTTTCCCTCCCCAATTCCTCTAGATACTCCCGGATCCTACACTTGGAGCCTACAAAAGCTTCCGGCAATCTTGTAAATTCCTTGCGTGTGATATCTCCAACAAATTCATTGGCGAAGAAGAATTTGACGCCTGCAGCAACCGCAGCGTCGATGACGAGCTTGGATGGTTCGTAGTGCGTAGCACCGCCCGTGACGCAGTTCACTACTGCGTCTTGGCCCTGAAACGCGGCTTGTAGAGAGGAGAAGGAGGTGTAATCTACAGTGCGGTGGGTGATGGCTGTAGAAGGTGGTGTGTAAGACGATGTTGAGCGCGTGATGGCTGTGATGGTAAATCGGGCTCCGTCTTTGAGGAGTTCGGTGATAACGGTGTTGCCCACGTTTCCTCCTGCCTGTTTTTGCGCTAACGTTAACTCTGAACGGCTCGCAGGTCGTCTGGGTACACTGGGATGAAGGATAGTTCAGATAGGTAAGTAGACATACCCCGAGAATTGCTACGTGCTTGAGCTCCATGTTCAATGTTCAGTTTGTGATGAGTGTTTTCCGGGTGTAAGATATGAATTACTGCCAATGAACTTGAATACTACATTATAATGGAACGAGGTGAGCTTATATGCTCACTAAGGATTGAAGTGCTCGCCCATTAGGCGCTCCAACAGAGTTACACGCATACACGCATCTCCTGTTTCGTGAGTTTCTGCTCCTCGCTTGCAGCCAGGCTGAAGTAGGCAGCGCATGTCCATGCCTGCCTTGCTGCCTAACGTACTGGAAGGCGTTCGGTGTGAGTCTGGAAGCTGCATCTGTTTCGACTCGGGAGATGATGGATCGCCGATGCGCCGAGACGACGCTTACATCCTTCGGTCATGATCGGTGGGTTTGAGGTTAGCGTGCTCACGTGATTTGTCGGCGTTTGAACTTTGATATGGTCTTGGGCGTCAGATGCCGAAGATACGGGTTCGGGCTCTTTTCTGACCTGCAAAGCTGAACGAGCCTATGAAAACAACATGTGATTCCGGGGGGAAAGAGTAGATCCTGTATGTGCTCTGGATGTAGTTCTGTTTAGCTGGCAGTGTTTGGTGATTGGGAGCTTTTATTTAACCTGGGAAATGACGATGGCGGGGCAGCCGAGGCCGTGATGGTGGGGTTGCATCATCGCGACGCATGATGTTAGTAGTAACACAGTTCTTAAACGCCTTGAAATAGCAAACTGCCATGCTGTCAATTGAGCGAGGTAAATTACCACGCTTGAAATCTCCATAGTACAAAGCTCGGTCCGAAATAGACCGGTCGGGGCAGTGGATCTGGGCAGCGCGCAATAAAAGGTTACCAAATGCCGCTGCGCTCAAGACAACATTACCCGGCCACTCCTTCTCCTTGACCCCTCCATCCTCTCAAAGTATTCGATTACATCGTCACCACTCTCACAAACATACATTTACCATGTCGCAACGAGCAGCACTTCTCATCGGCAAATTGTCACATGCCCAGAAAGAATGGCAGCAATGTTCAGAGGTAGCCTCGAAGCTGCACGAGTACTCCGATGGCAACCGCGAAGACTTCCTCTCAAAGTGCAAGAGTGGGAAATTCGACGGTGTATACGCCCTTTACCGAAGCAACGACTCGAATCCAATTACCGGAGACTTCAACGCGGAGTTGCTTGATGCTCTGCCTAAGAGTTTGAAGTATGTCTGCCACAACGGCGCGGGATACAACAACATCGACGTCGCGGCCTGCACAGAGAGAGGAATCTCCGTATCAAGCACACCGATAGCGGTTAACGACGCGACTGCAGATGTTGCCATCTGGCTCATGCTGGGCGCGCTCCGAAACATCAAGCAGTCCTACATGGCAGTAAACAATGGTTTGTAAGCTTACCATTCATTGAATCAAAACTGACGCTCCTGGCAGGCAAGTGGCGCGGCAACTTCTCCCTCGGTCACGACCCCAAGAACAAGACACTCGGTATCCTAGGCATGGGTGGCATTGGCTCAGCAGTCGCACATCGCGCAAAAGCATTCGGCATGAAGATACAATACCACAACCGTCACCAGCTACCGGCGAGCGAAGAGAACGGTGCAAAGTACGTGACTTTTGATGAGCTACTCAAGACATCCGATGTCCTCAGCCTGAACTTGGCGCTCAACCCTTCTACCACACACATCATTGGCAAGGAACAATTCAACGCGATGAAGGATGGTGTGATCATTGTGAACACTGCAAGAGGTGCATTGATTGATGAGGCAGCTTTGGTCGACGCGCTGAAGAGCGGCAAGGTCTGGACATGTGGGCTGGATGTGTTTGAGGAGGAGCCGAAGATCCATCCAGGGCTACTGGAATGCGAGAATGCGGTATTGCTGCCTCATGTTGGAACGGCTACATACGAAACCCAGGTAAGCCGCTCTGTCGAGTGAAGTGAGAGTGAGTAAAAGCTAACTATTCCCAGCGCGACATGGAGATACTGGTTTTGGACAACTTGAAGTCGGCTATCAAGAGCGACAAGCTGTTGACGCAAGTACCTGAACAGAAGAGCAAAGCGAACCTATAGTTGATGATTGACGGATCCTACTTCATGATTAGAGACACTTGTATTTCAACCCGAGTAATGAAGAGAATAACAATATCAGCACGCCTGTAGCCTGCCTATCACCCCATGGGTCTACTTTGTTGCACTTGAGTGATCTTTTCGCGACCATCTAGAGTGCTACTGATACTGCTTTTATAACTGTTTTAACGATCGTATGTCGGCTTGTGGAGACCACGGCAAGTAGTGTCGGAGCTGAAGAGCTGGCTTCGGCATATGGATACTTGGTCGCTAGGCCAATGAGAAGCCTATCGCAATTCCAATCGCCTAGCTCCCGTGCGGAGGCAAGATGCGGAGATGAAGAATCTGGGGTCGGTCTTTGAACGGAATGTGGAGAACAAGGCAAACAGCGTGAGTTGAAGGTCGAGTCGGTCTTTGTATTGTAGTGCATCGCATATCCAAGACAATGCCGGCTGCTGTTGTGGTGTTCACATGCACAAAATAAGCTGATGCACAAGGAGCGCTAAGCAAGTGCCTAGCCTGCCACCCGGCATCTTCGCCCCCTGGGCATCCATTTCACACACATTCCTGCAGACGCTGCATCCGCACTGTACAGCCAGCGATTCATTCTGTTTCTTGGCCATGCAAACCTTTGACTCGTCTCCATAGATACTGCAGACGAAGGAAGCATACAAAAGTCTCAACACAATAACGGCGACGGCGTTTGAATGGAGGGATAATTACCATCCGCTATGCCGACCCACTAGCTATGGGGCTCTCCGCCTGTAACTGGCACGTCTGGAGTCCCCACGAACGAATCCCCACGTCATATCCCCGACGTCGCGTTGCACTATGCCGACAGCCAAGGCAACTGGTCGCCTTTTGCCAGCGGGTTTTGGTCGGGGTTCGCTAACTAGGCTCTGCGAGGCAGGATAAACTGACGATATATATTCGGATGTTTGCCGCAATGTTTGGTTGATCGACATCACCGACTTTGAACGTTCGTCGTGTCGCATCACATCGCATTCGCCTGTGCATCTTCTCTGCGACATCTGATCCACGTTGCCATCATGGCGAAGCTCAACATGTCCGAGGTGTGGGCCGACATCAAGACGTATCGTCGAGCCTACCTGCTCACCGCTGTGGCATCCTTTGGTGGAATGCTGTTTGGTTGGGACACAGGTCTCATCGGAGGTGTGTTGCTGCACGTGCATATGAACTGACCGTCGCTAACCGCATTGCAGGTGTCTTGACAATGGATGCATTCCAGCACTCATTCAACCTCGACAAGGAAAGCAAAAACTTTGCCAATCTACAGGGAAACATCGTTTCTGTTCTCCAGGCAGGATGTTTCTTCGGCGCCATGGCCAGTTTCTACGTTTCCGACACCTTTGGCCGTAAATGGGCGCTCATCACGGCGGATATCATCTTCATCATTGGATCTTTGATTCAGACCCTGTGCGGGATTGGTACAACAAGCCTTGCCCAGCTCTACGTTGGACGTGTGATTGGTGGTTTCGGCGTTGGCTTGATTTCAGCCGTCGTCCCCACGTACATTGGAGAAAACGCGCCCAGGGCGATCCGAGGACGCTGCATTGGGTGCATGGTATGTGTTGTCTACACCGCTTGATTGCATCAGTCGACTGACGTGGAGCAGCAACTTTTCAACGTGACTGGTATTTGTCTGTCCTTTTTCGTCAACTACGGCATCTCCCTCGACATTACTAGCCCTACGGACTCGACTAAATGGCGCGTGCCATTTGCCCTGCAGATGCTCCCTGGCGCTTTCCTGCTTGTAGGCATGCTCTTCATGAACGAGTCTCCGCGCTGGCTTGTAGAGAAAAACAAGCTAAGCCAAGCCGCTAAAGCTCTGGCTCATGTCCGCGGCAAGAGCGTCGAAGACCCAGAGGTAACACAGGAGTTGGATGAGATTATCGCAGACTTCAACGGTCACGAGAAGATGCCGATGGTTGCTCAACTCAAGGCTGCCTGCTCGAACAAGAAGATGCTGTACCGCTCGAGCTTTGTTGTCATTCTCATGTTCTGGCAACAGTGGACGGGAACAAACTCGATCAACTACTATGCTCCTCAGATCTTCAAGCAAATTGGCCTTACTGGTCCCTCGTCCGGACTATTCGTAAGTAGAGTGTAAAGAGTGCATGCATGCATCACGAGCTAACCTGCAACTAGGCAACTGGAATTTATGGTATCGTCAAGATCGTCGTGACAGCGATTGGCCTGATGGCATTTACTGAGCAGCTGGGACGCAAATGGTCGTTGATCCTCGGATCGATTGGCCAAGCGTTTGCGATGTACTACATTGGTGTCAACCAAGCAGTCCACCCACCCACAGGCGAACTTGATGGCAACGCAATCTTTGCCATCATCTGCGTCTATCTCTTTGTTGTCTTCTATTCATTCGGCTGGGGCCCGATCCCGTTTGTGCTGGCGTCCGAGTGCAGTCCCAACCACGTGCGGTCTCTGCTCATGGCGGGCTCGCTGATGACGCAATGGCTCTTTAACTTTGTAATCGCAAAGATTACGCCCTTGATGCTGGACAATATTACGTACGGAACGTTTCTTCTGTTCGGGTCGCTATGCATTGTCATGGGTATCTGGACGGTGTTCTGTGTGCCTGAAACCAAGGGGGTGCGGTTGGAGTCTGTGGGAGAGTTGTTCGAGGGCAGCATTATCAGGGGTTGTATTCAGGATACCATCCCAAGCAAGTCGCGGGCGAAGCAGCTCAGACATCATCACGCGACGGACGATGCCGACTCGACCAAAAGCGGCGTTGGCAAGGCTGCGAGGGTGGAGCAGATCGAGGATGTGTAGAGCATCGGAGAGAGGAGGCGAAGGCAAAAAGCAACAGGTGGCCAATGTTCAGAGCTTACGTTGCGGCGCGTCCGGCGGATTAGTACCGCGAGAAGTGTTTCGGTAGCTGAGAAATGCCGAAGTCATGATGTGACGGCTCCGTGTCTATGCCATGTTTCCAGACCAATCGATGGCAACGATCAAACTACAGTGCGCATCAGGATCTGTACGACGTGTTCATACAGCGAAGATCGTGAACGGAACGGGTTGCTTGAGTCGGCCCGCCCAGGGCAGTCGCACCGGACGAGTCACGAGGCCATGGGCAGTCCTGGCGGTCAAGTTGGGTAGCACAGGGCTATCCTGCCTAAGCGGGGTCAGTTGGGCGGCGGAAGGCGTCTGTAGCAGCTAGAGAGAATGCTAGGCAGCGGGGCGACGTTATTGACAGGTCGGAGTGTGCGTGCGGATACCAACGTGCTGACGTGCAAGTGGCAGCAGAGTGAAGCGTGAGTGTGGGAACGTGGTAACTGCTCGGAGCCATGCAGAGAGTTGCATGTAGCTAGGACCTGTTTTAGCTGTTGCTAGTAAATCTCTCCTGCGACTAGCGAAAAAGCCAAAAATGCAGAGCAGCAAGCGGACCCTGTTTCTGAGCCACGAGCCAGGGCTCATGCTAAGTGGCTGCGTGCTGCAGGGTTGCGCGGGTCCAAGCGAGGGCGATGACATAGTGCAATCTGACTCTCTCCACGTAACCTCGAAACCAGGTGGGCGGCTTGATGCGCACGCTCTGTACCCGACCGAATCCTCACCCTCCTCGCTGTCTATCCTTACTGTCCATCTTGAGTCCAGCGCTGCACCCCATCGACGCTCCAACAACTGCTGCCCCGTCGGCCGTTGCTCCTCCCCACCGCACTTGTCCGCCTCATTCGCTGCCTCGCGGTCCCCACCACACAGTCCATAGTATCCTGCTGGGCACACCCTGGGAGCCACCTGCAAATATCACGTTGATTTTACACCGTGCCCTCACCCCCGCCCCCTGTCACCACCGTGGCCAGGGACCTTGGGCGTATCCTGCATCCTACAACCATCGGCCAACCTGTTCGCGCTGCTAGTCGTCGAGCCAACTTGGCTGTGCCCACCGGCTGTCGTCCGGTGTTGAAACGCCCTTATGTACGTCGAGCTGCGACTTTGTTCTGCCTCTTCGCCAGGCCTAATTTCTAATTCCCTTTCGTTTGTGCCATTTGCTCTCTTTCCCAACTTCTGAAACCGACCACTGGGCTGACACGATGTTGGGCAGCGTTCTCCTCCCCACTAAGCCGCCTGGCCTGAGGAAGCACAATACTTATTCTAGCACCGTTGCGCCGCCCCTTCCCCCACGTCGAAACTCCTTGTCCACCACGCCCGCCGCCAAAACTGCCGCCAAATCCGCTCCCCTCCACGTCAAGACCGTCACTCTCTCAGGCGGCATGGACACGCGCTACAACCGCCCCTCGTCCCCGCGAGGGAGCCGCTACTCCAACCCCGCCAGGTCGTCGACAGGCACCTTCTCCGACCCCTACTACTCCTCGTCTTATTCGGGCTATGGCCGTCCCAGCTCGCCACGCTCCAGTGTCGACCGCCTCGGAACTTCCCACACTTCCCACACATCCCACCACACGCCCTACTACACGCCCACCACCTCGCACACCTCGCACTCTACCACCGCCAAATACGACTCGTACACGGGACGCCCGCGACGCAACACCAACGATTTATCCCGCCCCAACGTGAGTACCAGTGCCTTGCCGCAGACCTCGCTGCCCCTCCGCACACCCTACTCGTCACACACTCATACCGACCGCCCACGGAGCCCCCTGACCCCTTCCTACGCCAAAGGGCCCGATACATACATCACTCCAGGCGCTTCATCACGAGGCCACAAGAAGGTCTACAGCGTTGACGACACCAGCCATTTGACTAAGCTCGTAGCTGAGGTCCAGCCTTCTTCCCACCACCACCGGGACCATGCAGACCGGGGCTACAGTCTCACAAGTGGCGGCCGCAGCTACCATGACAGCAGCAAGCCCCCCTCGCGCCTTACCGACCTGAGCAACAGTGATGGCTACTCCTACACCGACCCAGCGAGCATGTACCGCGACACAGAGCCAGCCTGGCGAAGGCCACGTGCTGGTAGCTTGGAACGTAGCTCTCGCCCCACCAGCATGATCTCAGATCGCCCCGCTCGTGCCTCTACCCGCGAACTCGGCCCTCCCCCATCTACTCGTGGCTTCGATAAGATCAACAGCATTCCGCGCCCTCACGGCAGGTCATCGTCCATCGAGAGGGCACGCGACATCCCCAAGTACGATCCCTACCCAGACACAAGCCTTGGACGATCCTCTTCCACTCGCAATTCTCGCACCCCTGCTGCTATCCACCAAGAGCCCCGTCGAGACACCTATCGCGACGACTACGATCGCCAGAGCCGCGGTGTCGAGAACAAGCGCCACAGCACTGCCTTTGAGGACCGTGAGGTGACTACCCGTGGCTTCGGCATTGCACCAGGCCCCCCAACCCTTGCACACGATCATCATGCTTTGGACCGACAGCCTCTATACCCCCCGGCCGAGCCTCCTCGACCCAGGCCACAGGAGCCCAGCAGCCATTACTACCAGCCAGAGCGCGCTGAGGCACGCATGCCCGATCCTCGCGCCTCTCGTGACAGGGATATCGGTGCACCCCAGGATTATGACAAGCGTCCTCGTGAGCGTGAGCGTGAGCGTGAAAGCCGATCTGAGGAGAAAGGTAGCTTTGTGCAGACTGCGGCTGGCGCAGTGGCTGGTGTGGCAGCTACTCTGGCCGGCGCTGGTTACATAAAGAACCGCGACAAGGACCGTGGTAGTGACCGAGACTCCTCAGGGGAGCGAGAGCGTGAGCGCCGGAAGGAATACGATGAGCGTGACCGGCGAGACCGGCCTGACGAGCGACGGGAGAGAAAGTCTGAAGGTCGTCGCAACTCCCTCCAGCCACAGCAACCACCGCCAGCTGCTGTCCCAGTCCCCGTTCCTGCCCCAGCTCCAGCTCCAGCACAGATCGCAGCTCCCGACTATCCTCCCATCGAGCCCGAGCGCAAGCCCCGCGAACGTCGATACGAAGACGACGACAGGGAGAAGGTACCCGCGGTACCGTCTCGCAAGCCACCTTCTTCTGAGGGTAGCGGCGATGAGCGACCGCGTCACTATGTCGACCGCGATGCCGACCGCCGGAGGGAACCAGCACCCCAGGAAGCTACTCTGGACCCCGACGAGGAATACCGACGACGCGTCCAACAAGAAGCAGAACGTGCTAGCCGAAGTACTCGGGACAGAGATAGCGACTCTGACCGCGAGAAGAGCCGAAGGAGCAAGAAGGATGAGCGTGACAGGTCTCGAGGCCCTGAAGACCGCTCTCGCGCATCTCCTCCCAGAGATCGCCCCATGAGCGTCTACGATGGTGGCATGGTACAGGAGCCTGAGACGCTTGACAGGGAATCTACAAGTAAGAGCGTACAGATCGTCGAACCTCCCAAGGAACCTGTTGCGCCTGTTAAGGGAATCCTTCGCAAGCCTACTGAAAAGTTCCCTGAGGACCCTGAGCCCATCCGCGAGGGAGTTGCACCACACAAGGACGCTCTAAAGGGCAAGGACATTCCCGTCGGAGCCCGATGGACTAGGATTGATCGCCGCCTCGTCAACCCTGAAGCCCTAGAGCAAGCCAAGGAACGTTTTGAGGAGCGAATGGACTGCGTCATTGTCCTGCGTGTCTTGACCAAGGAAGAAATTCAGAAGCTCGCTGATCGTACCAAGAAGATTCGCGAGAGCAGAGGTAAGTCTACATGAAGTTCTGTCCATGAACCATAATAACAAGGCTGTAGAAGAGGAGTACGATCATGACCGACGCGATCGAGACGACCGTGACAGGCGAAGCCACCGCTCCAAGGACGATAGGGATGACGAAGACCGCGACAGCGACCGAGACCGAGACCGTCGTCACCATGACCGTGAGCGACGTCGCCGCTATGACGACGAGAGCGACTACGACGACCGCGAGCGAGAGCGTGAACGCGACAGGCCCAGGAAAGTTGAGATCGACGACGGAAGGTGATTACAATGAGTGGCTGGGCGCATGACGTCGCATGTTGTTGGTCAATACGAGAATCGGGCGCATGCGCTTATGATGATGGAGCTGTAGAGAAGAATGACTTCCACGGGACCAATAGGCCATGTCCTAAGAGAAGTAACAAGGATGACGAAGTCATCGCACATGGTGTCAGACCTCACCTATCGAAACCCCAAAAAGAAACACAGCAAAGAGCACGTTGGCACATTCTTTGCCCATCCGAAGAGCACAGGCCTCGATCCTTCGCTCCGGCGTTGCTCTTTGAGATATCACCACCGAAGTCGCAGTGCGCCGGAGTACGATATCCTGCATTCTCCCCTTTCTTCGGCGCAAGGCGTTGATAGCACCATATACAAAAAGTCGGATTCGCAGAGTACTGGATTGGTTATGAAAGTACGTGGCACTCTTTTGACGATAGACTTGTGGCGCTTGGGCGGGCGTTGATGGAAGTTCGTTCATGTCTTTCGTTACGCATAGCGAGGTAGTAGCATGGTATGGCGTGTCAAGAGCGAAGGACAGACCTTCTTTTTGTACAATATTTTTATTCACTTCTTCATGTGAAAACACTTATGGGAATGGCAAAGCTTCAAATGACTATTTCAAAACGTTGGTTCCCGTGTGATGTCTGACGATACCGGATGCTACGATAGCATGTACATATAGAGTTATTGAGCAAACTGGGGTGGATTTGTCTCTAATAGTATCATGTCTACAACTTCATGGAGCCGGTTGGTCTTGTAGCGTTCTCTGTAAACTGTCTTTACAGGACGTTTGCACAATGTGTCACGAGACCTTGATCATCGAGTTGAGATATGTACAAGAATCGAAGAATTGATACATTGACAGGTGACATCGCACCAAAGCTATGATTACACATCATGATGTTTGTTACACATTTTTCCAGTACCAAAACGACAACGTTAGACATTGGGCTCCATTTAGACCCCTTCACACTCCCGCTCACAGGTCGGCTATCCAGCTGTTCACCCTCACTCTAAATATCGGCGTATCAGATTAGTATATGCTTCAGATTCAGTGCGTACGGAGGTACTTACTCTTGCTGGGATTCGGACTAATAGTGCCATCGGGAAACTTGCGGAAGATATCCGCAATGTGGTCAATCGGCGCAGCCAACATACCCATCGGACCCTCGAAATACGGATTCTCTCCTGCACTGGGATGGCTCCTTGATGGCACAAAGGCTTTCGTGCGAGCAAAGTTCTTGGCCAAGGATTGGGAGTTTCCGCGGTTCTTCTCAGAGGAAAGGGCTTGTTCGAGGGCAGGTAGGTCATCTTTCTCTTCTTCGGCAATGTGGCGCTCGAGGAGGGACCAAATCTCTTTCAACTTGGGGATGTAGGTCGAGGACGCTGGGTCCATGTTTTGGAACTCCTTGAGTAGGATTTTCACCTATTGTGGCTGTTTTTAGGCATGTGTTCTCGGAGTGCAAATTGTAATTGGGGACATGTTCACGTACCTCGTGATGCTGTTTCCGGTCAGACTCTGCGTGTTGCTTTCCCTTTTCTCCCATGTACTTCTCCATGGCTGGATATACGAGAAGTTCCTCGGCGACAGAGTGGCGGGCTAGCTCCCATGTGAATTGGTTGCCATAGCGTGTAATGTGGTCAATATCGTCAGGGTTATCGACAATCTCATTGTAGTATGTCTTTAGCTCGCGGTGATCATGTGTTATGGCTTCTGATATTGTTGAGTTGAATGCAGCTTGAATGCGAAAGTAGGCCGGCCTGGCAGCAACGCGAATCGTCTGTGGCCTGAATGCGGCTCGGGTAAGTGGTGATACGATGGCACGGGGAGCGAACATTGTGATGGTGCAAGATGGAGAGTACAACTGAATTGTTATTGGGAAGAATGCGATATGCCTCGAGCAGGTGTTCGCCAGGTTTTGTTATACATCGCAATGGTCACGATACGTCACACGTTCGCCAGAGGCACGTTCCTGCACCGTCAAAGCGTTGTTTGCTTCCTCGAGCTGCGCGCGAAGTTTGTCACACAATGTGCTCGCTGACGATTATCTGTTGTATCATTGGCCGGGAACAGGTACCCGTTTACCGTGTGTCAAAAGTAAAGTAGCCATAATACTGGAAGGTGGAGTGGGGTTCCGCGGAGCGACGTACTCATGATGCATGGAAATTGGACCGTTGCCCACTGGCCAATCTTGGCAACGTCAGATTGCTATCATGCCGAAACATGCAAAAGTCCAACATTCCCATACCTGTAATGCCCACCGTGCTCCACAGCGCCCGCGGACTGCAAATGCTGCTGCGAATGAGCGGCCAAGTATTGGTGTTATCTTTTCAAAAAAGGTATCCCCACTAAATGCGTGATTAAGAGGGAAAGTGTCCCCAGCGTATAGCCCTTTCAGCCTCCGGATGCAGGAGACACTAAACCTCAAATCACCATTCCTGCTGTCACTTGTCCTGCACGTGAAGTCGTGGCATCTGCTACCCCTCCTCTATACGCGTCAGAGACGCATCACCCTGACAATATGTCCAAACAGCGGTAACACCCGTGCTCCATTTACGCGGCAATGGTGTGCCTCCGTGGTGCCCTCTTAAGCTCTCACGCGCTGTTGCTTCTCCATGGAAATCTCTACGTCTCTACCTAGCAAACTCACCGCAGCCATGTCGACCGGTGCAAACGCCTCCCAAAACGACCCCATGCAACATCCCCTCGAGGCCATCTCTCAGGGTATCCAGAGTATGGCTGGAGAGAAACGTGCGCCAAGGCAAAGTCATATGGGCTCAGCCAATGAAGGACCTGCCGATATAGCTGCAAAGATCTCTGGTGCTGTTCAAGGCGGAAAGCGTGAGGATGATGGGCCTTACTTTACCTCCAATGAAGGTATCCCATGGATCGACCCGTAAGCTTTTCAACTCTCGATTGCCTCCGAGGTATCTCCGCTAACGTCTTGTAGAGCACACAGCAAGACCATCGGTGGCATACCCGTAGCGAGCGATGTATTTCTTTTCCAGAAGCAACAGACTTTCAATCGTTCCAAGAACCTGGAGCGAATGGTACATCCTTGTGGTTCTGGTGCGTTTGGGTACTTTGAGTGCACCAAGAAGGTTGATTCTCTCACAGTATGTTTGCCACAGTCACTCTCAGACTGGAATATACTGAAAATTTCTTCTAGAAAGCCAACTTCCTCTCCAGCGTAGGTGAAAAGACTCCTGTCTTCGTCCGATTCTCGACTGTCACCGTTGGCCGTGAGTACCCTGATGAAGCCCGCAACCCCCGTGGTTTCGCCATTAAGTTCTATACCATGGAGGGCAACTACGACATCGTCGGTCTTAACTTCCCCATCTTCTTCTGCCGCGATCCTATCCAGGGACCAGACGTAATTCGATCGCAAGCCCGTAACCCGAGGAATTTCCTTCCAGACTACGATGCCCTATTCGATTTGCTAGCAAATACCCCGGAGAGTAACCATGCAGGCCTCATGTTCTTCAGTGACCATGGCACGCCGGTCGGATGGCGCTTCAACCATGGTTATGGCTGCCACACCTTCAAGTGGGTCAATGCGGAGGGCAAATTCGTTTACATCAAGTACCACTTCATCGCCAAGCACGGCCAGAAGCAGTTCACACAGCGAGAAGCGACACAGATGTGTGGTGAAGACCCAGACTACTCCAAGCGTGACCTGTGGGAAGCCATCGAGAATGGAGAAGAGATTGAATGGACCGCCATGGTTCAGGTCATGGAGCCTCAGGATGCGGATCCCGAGAAGCTCGGCTTCGACCCCTTCGATGTGACCAAGGTCTGGCCGCGCAAGCAGTTCCCTATGCAAGAGTTTGGTCGTCTGGTTCTAAACAAGAACCCAGAGAACTTCCATCGCGATGTCGAGCAAGCCGCTTTCTCGCCCGGCAGCATGGTGCCTGGTATTGAGGACTCGCCCGACCCATTGCTCCAGTTCCGCATGTTCTTCTACCGCGATGCACAATACCACAGAATCGGTGTGAACCTGCACCAGATTCCCGTCAACTGCCCCTTCATGTCGAAATCCTTCTCGCCTTTGCAGTTCGATGGCCAGATGCGTGTCGATGCCAACCACGCCGGAAACAAGCAATACGTACCCAACAGCTTTGCACACAAGTTCCGCCCTGACGTCGCCGAGGCACCATACCAGGTCTCAGACAACATTATGAGCCGCAAGAGCCATTATTGGCATGAGGCCAAGAAGAGCGAGTACGACCAGGCAAAGGAGCTGTGGACTAGGGTCATGTCGCCCGAGAAGAGGCAACACACCATTACCAACACTTTTAACATGCTGAAATTTGTCAAGTACGCCGACATTCAGGTAAGCCATCCCGCATTATTCCGAGTCAAATGGCCCGTGCTAACGCCCAAGTAGAAGAAGTACCTCGCACAAGTCTACAACATTGGTCCCGACTACGCTCAAGGCATCTATGACCTCCTCGCAAAGTCTGATTCCAAGCCTGAGTTTCCCTTCTCAGAGGTTGAGAAGCTAGCTGAGTCTGCACATGTTTGGTTCAAGGAGGAGAAGTTCCGACCTTCGAATGGTGAGAGGCTGACTGGATATGCGCCAAGCGGACCCGTCTACAACTAAATGTTAGGATAGAAGAAGATGCGTGACTACGGAGATACCTAGCGCTAAAGTACCCTAATGAAGATAATGAGCCATGACCTGTCATGCTTTTGAGGCTGCTTGATGTACTATGTCTTGAATTAAATTCTCGAAGTATGCCTATTGTTTTACTCCGTGGAAAGCAAATCTTCGGGACACCATTGTTGCAAGGCACCCTCTCCAAAAGCAAAGTCATTTTCGATCTGCGTGAAGAGATACTGGTCGGCTTCATCCAAGGTCCACGACCAGGGCTTGGGACTAGTGGTGGAAGATGCAGGAGCGTCGAGATATTGCGTGCTACGAGTTGGAACGTTATCAGCAGCTTGGTGTTGCGACGGCGGTTGCGTGGTAGTACAGGCTGAGGTGAACTGGCCAGTGGCAGTCGAAGAACCACCATCATCCGCTTCCATAGCCAACCTCGAAGCTGTTTCTCTATCGAGGTATTGAAAGAACAATTGTAACACCCAATTGGTCACCTCCCACGTCTTCTGGAGTTCTTGCAAACCCAACAAACATAGTTTGGCTCGATGCTCAGCAAGGGTGCGATTTATGCCGCTTGAGCGCCTGAAGTTCACAACGTGAATACAGAGTGTGTTGAACAGATTGGTGATGACATGCATCTGAGCATGCCCAATGTTGCCGCCAGGCAGCATATCCTCGACTATACGCGAATTACGCGCTGCAGCCTGGAGCGCGACATTTCCGTCTGTTGCTGTGTTGCTGTTCTCGTCCAGAACGAAGCTGGTGCGGTGGAGTAGAATAAGTAGGTTGTTGTATGCAAGATGGAGCATGCTGGCCTGAAAGTTTGGCGGATCACCGGCATCGGTTTGCAACTGCATCACACTCGGGAGGTCTTGTCTCCATTTATAAAGCTCATTGCGCAGCTTGATCCTTTCGTCAGGCGCAAGCGTGCGCTTCGGTAGATAACCAGCGTCCACCACCCTGCCCAAGAAGACCGCCAGCTGCACCATGCTTATCGCGTAGACAGTGTAGCGATGACGGTCTTCGACAGATGTTGATGAAGCAAAAGCAGATGTGAAATCGGCGGATGATAACGGCTCGATATCGCAATCTTTGTCGCGTATGCGGCACGGTAGCCCTAGAGCAGATGCGCATTGCCGCTCACGAACATAGATAGCCCACCAAAGCCTCCTTTTAACCCTCGTTAGACTCTCTTCGGTATCGCCTCCAGACCGATGTAGTGCTCTTGTCTCAGAGAGGCTGATAGCCGTACCTAGCCAATGTCGTGCGTCCTTCTCCAATAATGCACCGGCTCGCCAAAAGCTCATGAGAAACAGAGCTTGTATGACGATGATCTTGTTGGTCTCGAACGTAGCATCATAGATATCCTTAGCCCTGATGTAAAAAAACCATTTCGCTCGATGACGGTTTCCCCATCCAAGACGATAGAGCGTCGACTCCTCGCAGTGGATAACTCCGATGAACATCATAGCTTGTAGTAATAAGGCGGAGAAATTGAACTCTCGGTACTCGGTCCAAAATTCTTCTTCGTCTATGATTGGAAAGTGCGGGTGAAACCATTTGAAGTATGCCTGGAATAGCTCAAGTCGGACTTCAGCAGGAGGAAAAGAAAAGGCCCCTTCTGCTTGCAGAGCCTTTTTGCGTGCAATACGTCGTTCAGATTCCCATTCTGGCACGAGTGATTCGGCCCTTGCAGCACTAGGGACGGCATGCCGAAAGCAGGACTGTCGGCGCTCTGCTGCTGCTGCAGATGGCTCGCCTGTCGTCACATAGCGTAAGGAGCTGGATTCCCCAAGAAAGACGGCATCTTCTTGATGGACAGAGCCCGCTTTTGACTGATCACTGTTGAGATCCGACGGCGCCGACGGGGTCGGGAGGTGATATTGGCCCCCAGAAGCGGGCGTGTGGGTGTTGACAGGGCTGTGGAAATTTGAGGATAATGAGGCCAGAACGTGCGACGCAGCCACCTCGTCTTCGTGTCGTTGTGGGCTGATAGCTGTCACACTTGGTGGACTTCGTTGGATCAGTACTTGTCGTATGGCGCTTCAAATACATTTGTCCAACTCACGTTTTGCTGTGCACTTCAGTCTCCGCTCGTGGCTTCCTAATATGCTTTCCACGCCTCGATTCACGCGTTTCGCACTCGACGTTGCCGGCTGCACAGTTGCTGCAAGGATGTCGGTCGGTGACATCACACTTGACGCGTCGCGCGTTGCATGTCACGCAGGCCAGCTTTGCGCGTTTCCGTGGCGGTTCGGACATCTTGCCGAAGCTTGAGCTCGATTTGTTTGGAAGAAGCCGAAGTCGGTTACCAGAAATGTTACGTGAAGGATGACGTTATCGATATCGGCTATCCCTCGGCATCTTCGAACACCTCCTTCGTTGTCAACAAGCGCGCATCGCACAGTAGCATCCACCTATTGAATTGAGACACAAGGAGCTCTATACCCAGGGTGAAAAGAACAGCTACATCATGAGCCGTGTAATTCGTCGCCTGTTTACCACAACCTCCTCTCGTCGCCAAGCTTCCGCAGCAGAAGCATGCAACGAACTCCTCACACGCTTTCACAGCGGGCCTGTTTCGATCCGTAAACAGCTACTCGATGCGAACCAATTCCAGTTGCTCTCTATAACACTAAATCGCACGCCCTCTTCTTTCAACCCACCACCGTCCGGCACACCGATCCCGCCTGGCTACCACCTCGTCTATTTTACGCCTTCAATTATTGAGTCCGAGTTGGGCCTTGATGGTACAGACCGCACTGTGAACCCGCTAAGTCCTTTTACAAGGCGAATGTGGGCAGGCGGCGAGTTGACATGGGCACAAGACCGGAACGCGCTACTGAGAGTGGGCCAAGAAGTCAAAGAGACAACGAGACTACTACGTGCTGAGCCAAAAACATTAAAGAATGGCGGTGAAATGTTGCTCGTGGGGGTTGAGAAGACATTCTCGAATGATCATGGTATTGCGCTAACTGATCGCCGCAACTGGGTTTTTCAACGTGAGCTTACACCCGAGAATCCACTGAAGGCACCGCCAAAGCCAGAAGAGAAAGATCTACCGACTGCGCGACATCAAAGAGATTTCTGTCAAACACCTACCTCATTGTTTCGCTTCTCGGCCCTGACGTTTAATGCGCACAAGATACATTACTTACCTGAGTCGTGTAGAGAGGTTGAGGGTCATAGAGATGCTGTTGTACACGGACCGCTCAACCTCATCAATATGCTAGATTTCTGGAGAGATACGGCTAAGGAAGGGGATACGGAAGCAGTACCCAAGTCGATAGCGTATCGCGCAATGAGCCCACTATACGTCGGCGAGCAGTATCGCATACTCTTGGACCACAAGTCAGGATCAGATGGATGGGAAGCAGAAGTGTGGGACAGCTTTGGCAAGCAAAGTATGAAGAGCTCCATCTTGGAATAAATGCTCTTTACCATAAGTCCAGCATGAAGGGTATAAGCTAAGTGACAGTCCAAACTATAACCAGGTCTAAGTAAAAGCCAAACACGCTCCTCCCAATGCACAACTATGAAATCACCACTTCAGCATCTTACAGACTTGTAACCCTCCAGAGCGGCTCAACTAAGCCCATTTTCCTAGAACACTCATGAGGATAAGACCGCAAACCAAAGCGAACATTGCGCAAACAGTTCTGACCGCACCCGCGTTGAGCAACTTTCCGTGCATCCAGTCTCTGGCCAACATCTCTACAAGACCGACCCATGTCAAGATGCCTGCAGAAAGCGCATCGAGCGTTCCGATAGCGATGATGGTGCTAGGGTCGTTTCCGTTGAAGTGGTCTAGGGTACCAATACCGATGGCCATACCGATAGGCGTGATGAGCGCAAAAGTACCGCACATGAGGAGCTTCTGTGCTGTACCAGCTGCGGCCTTGGGCAGCTCCGCAATGCAGGTACCAAGCGCAATGCCTTCAAACATCTGGTGAAAGAGAATGACAATAAAGAGAGTGATGAAGAAACCATCGCTCGCTACGACCAGCGTGATACCAATGAGAATGGAGTGGAAGATGATACCGGCCTCAAGATTCATGACGTTGATCTTCTCTTCCATAGGGGTCGCCTCACGCATGGGACCGTGAGCATGAGGAAGACCATGGCTGCGGTTAAAATCATGGCTGGGTTCTGCAGAAGGGGAGGCACTTCCAGATTTGTCTCCACCAGTTGCGACCTCGGTATTGGGAGCCGCAATTTTGCCTTGACGCCACTGGACGAACCGCGCACCAAGGTAGTCCACCAGGAACGACAGCATCAGTCCGGCCATGAATATAGCAGCGGTAGTGGCTTCGTATTGCAACACACCAAGACATTGGTTCGCAAACATGAGTTGGGCGTGTGTGAAAAGGTGGACGAAGGCAGTGGAAATGACGATGCCGGTTCCGAATTGCTTAAGGACAACGAAGATGATGTTGTTGGCGCCGATAAGGTTGAACCTCCTAGTCAAAACCGGTGTGAAAACACCAAGTCCACTAGTGAAGAGGATGACGAAGAGAAGGCCGACTCGTAAAGGGATATTGTAATCGCGCTGAGGAGCATCGCAGTTGACTTCCTCAGCACTTCCACCAACACAGTGCTCGACACCGGCGTGGTCGTGGCAATGTCCCTTGCTTCCAGCTGGCTCAGCCTCAGACTCAACAGGTGACTCTTCTTCAGTGTGTGAGGAGCTGTCTGTTGATTCTGCAGCATCGACCATGATCAGAACATCTTCTCCAGCATCATCGACGCAGTATCTGAACATGTCAATATTCCGCCGTTCACGTTGATTGTGTCACTCACGTCTCTGAGCCATGGTTGTGGCAGCCGGTATATTCCGATTGGAATTCTTCAGTGGCGGTAGGCCCGGATACCTGGTATTCTTCTTCGCCGACCATGCACCAGCTGTTGCATGTTAGCGCCAAGATATAGGAACCAGGAGCAAACTTAAGAACACGTACAGGACAGTGCTATGAGGATGGCAGTCAGATACCGCTGTGATTGAGGGAGTCCCGGTAGTGAATACTGTGGTAGTCACGCCAGCTTGTGTGACAGTGACAGTAGGGGTCTGCGCAAACACAGAGCCCGCGAGACATAGGACAGCAGCGGAGAGGGTAGAACGCATGATGGAAGACATGATCAAAATCTACCGAATATGTCACACGAGCGAACCGACGGGTGTAAAGCTGGACAAGATTATACCAGCGTAGTGCCCTTGATATATCGACTCCGTTCAAGCTTTTCCTGGTGTCAGCGGAGCGGAACGAATGTACGGTGATGGTGCAGGACGACCCCACAAGGAAGCCGCGAAGAACTCTTCGGTATCCATTTGTCTGCAGTACTTTCACAGAAAGTGCCACGGGCATTCTTGGCATTGAGCACCTTGCTGGATGGTTTGCCTTGGCACAAGTCTTGTCTCGGGGCAAACATCGAATTAGGAGCCAGTGAATCTGGGTTGTTGCTTTTAGGTAGGCGGCCTCGTTAACGTATGCGGTAGGTGAGTGGGATAGTGCCATTATTCAACGTGGCGGGAGTCTTGGCGACGTATGTTGGGGACGTACTGTAGCCATGACCTAAGAGGCGGCTTTTCGGCGCTCAACACCAACGCTACTTCGTACAGTCGGGTGTGTATCCGGACGCTCATATCTCTTTTTTCAAGACTTCGGTTTTAGTCTTGATTGCCTCATTCAGCCTTGGACAAATAGTAGTATCTCGGCTTTTAGTCAGCCTGGCCAGAGCTGCCGAACAATACAGGACAGCATGTCCATACAAGCCAGATCATGCAGAAGATTACCCGAACTTCTTCAAATTCGCATCTCTGTTTACGTTCAACATGACATACTGCGTGGGAGGCTCGTGCCGAGACATAGCGACCATCCACGTTCATGTCCTCGGTCTTCCCGAACGCAGGTAATCCTCCCGACGATGTGTACCTTGGATCTGAGAATTTCTCTTCATTGGGCGCCCATCATGGTACTTAGTTACCCATAATTCCACGCTCCGGATCGAAGACATGTCATCCAGCCCCCCATGCACCTCCATGCCAAGGTTGACTATTCGCTTTCTATGTCAAGCCAAGATGCGGATCAGCCTCCAGACCCGTACAGCGTAGCATTCAGATCTCTGTATGGGTGATAGACCGGTAGTAGACCGGTTGATGTACCTGCGGCTGCAGCCATGAGGCGTTTTCTTCAAGTCTCGGCGGTCAGGTCTGCGTCGATGTCGGTAGATGAGCACCGAGAGGAACAGTCGCCAGTGGTGAGATGCCATTCCGGTAGAATATAAAGAGGCCTGCAGCTTGTATGCAAGTACCTCCATCCAGCATCCAGCTTCTCGGGACACTCACTGAACACCAGTTCGGATCTCAAACCTCAAGACCTCTTCACAGTCCTTCAGGTCAATCTCACAATGGCTGCTCGTGCCTCTGTTCTTATGCTCCTTGGAGCTTCCGCTGTCATGGCTGGACCCCTTGCTCCTCGCCAGGCCACCGTCACTGTCACTCACACCATGGAGGCTGCTCCTGCATCCACCGCTTGGGACGCGGGTGCCGTTCGCGAGTTCCCTATTCACGCTTCTTGCAATGCCACTCAGCGTAGCATGATCAAGAAGGGTCTCGAAGAGACCTTGACCATCGTCAGCCACGCGCGCGACCACATCCTTCGCTATGGTAACTCCTCCGAGGTCTACACGAAATATTTCGGCGAGGCACCAACTGGCGAGCCAATTGGCTGGTTTACCAAGATTGCCGATGGCGACAAATCCGGCATCCTCTTCCGTTGTGACAACATTGATGGCAATTGCGACCAAGAGGGTATGTACTGCCTCCAACTATCAAGAGATCATCGTTACTAAGCAACAACAGGCTGGGCTGGTCATTGGCGCGGCTCCAACGCAACCTCGGAGACAGTCATCTGCGACCTGTCCTATGAGATCCGTAGGCCTCTCTCGACCATGTGCATGCTCGGATACGACGTTGCCAACGGTGCGACCAACACCTTCTGGGCTTCTGATCTCCTCCATCGTCTTCTCCACCTTCCCCAAGTTGGCGAGGGTGTTGTCGAGCACTACAATGACGAGGAGGAAGAGAAATACCCTGGAACCATCGCCCTCGCTGAGAACAACTCCACGTACGCTGCGAGAAACAGCGACACTCTTCAGTACTTTGCTCTCGAGGCTTATGCTCACGACATCGTTGTTCCTGGTGTTGGGTGCCCTGGCACTTACACTCCCCTCGAGGAGGAGTCTACCGCTGCTGCAACCAGCACTGCTTCCGCTACCACCTCCGCATCTGCCACTCCAGTGCAGCCCTCTGCTTCAGCTACGTCATCTGCCGCTGCTGCACCTGCTGAGGCTTGCGAGCCTCACGACGACCACTGGCACTGCCCTCCCGGCGTCCCTGAGCCTACCTCTCCCCCTGCCTAAGCTTCGCCCTGCTATAATGACCGCCAATATGGCTACGACTGACGGAACTAAATGACTTTGGCATCAGTTCCTGCATGAATCAAAATAGAGTACGATAAAAATTAATTAAAATTCATGCTCCCTCAAAATTTCGATCGACCTGTGCTTAGGATTGCCGTGACAGGAACACTAGCTGGATCATGCCTATGAACCCAGGGTCTTTATACCAACATCTTCACCCCAAATTCATATCAGTTCCGATAGACTCGAGTGAAGTATGCTCATCATTCTCTGTGACTGAATTCCACAGTCGTATGTTTCCCTTCCCTCTAACCCGTAGCGATATGTCCCAGGATGTTGTAAAGTCTAGGCGTCGGATCAATCGTGCTATTGTACTAATTAAATTGACGATAATAGGGTATCAGATGCTAAAATTATAGGCGAGCACCAATTTCTAAAGGGAAATACGCGGAAAGACTGTGAGAATTACAAACGGTTCCCTGGATCACGGTTTCGAAAGTAGTACCACTTCTTGATGACAGCAAAGTTTTCCCACCACTTGAGCCACTCAAATGTATCCTGAGCGAAAATTATGACTACCAGGAACTCGGCGCGTGTTCCAAAATACCAGAGCTGAACAAATATCAGCCCTCACTGCCAGCGCCCATTCTTGTTCCAGCGATCCTATCATCGTCTACAGACACTCGGACGACAGAACAAACGTACATGCAAGGGTCTCTCGCAGAATACACATTCGATCAAGACTAACGGAGTATGATGTTTTGAAGGCTCCATGCTATGGAGTGCGGTCAGCAGGTACTAGGCGTAGGAGAGCCTGGTGATTCTAAAGAAATCGGAATATGGAGAAGCGAACAGAATCAATGACATTTATGCAAATATGCTAAGCAAGCAATGACGTATGCTAAATACCAGATGCCGCCTGCAAAGTATTTGTGGTGCGACATAACTTTCATGTTCAATGAATCAGCCCTATCGTCCCAACTGACCCTCTTCAGCAAGGTCATCACCCAGCTAAGGAACCTGTACTTGCTCTCGGGAGACTGTGGGCGTCTGCGTCTTCTCGAGTTGATCAAGATATGGCTCCTCATTTCGCAAGACCAGACTAGCACCCGGCTGAACCTTCCATGCTTCCTTGGAGTCGAGGATAAAGTCAATGGTATCGGTCGCACAAAAGTTACCAGCAGCTGCTCTCATGTAGCGCCAGGCCTGCGCACTAGGTGCTTCACGGTTCGGCGACTCGAGGCAGAATTTGATCTAGAGCAGGCTAGGTGTCAGCATGTTGCGTGTCGATACCACTACCATGCTGCGGTCGACTTACCCCATATGATGTGCTTGGTGGGAGCTGGTGTCTGTGAATGGCCCATTCCGCCATCCCTGTGCCTAGCCCATAACGGCTGAAGGCAAGGTCGACAGCGAAGTAGATCCCAAAGGCACCCAACATAAGGACGGAAAATGCACACCAAAAGCAGCAGAATGTGGCTAATTCGCTCACAAACGATCGCTTGTTGTACGATGGGTCTACCTCAGACGAACTCTTAGTTTCATCCAACTCGCCCCAGAAGCCGTATTTCGATTCGTCGTCGTTATCAATGCGAGCCTGAAGTAGTTCGTAGGCGCCGGTACTACTAGTCTTCTCTGAGGGTAGATCATGGTGATCCCTCTTTTCGAGAGCAGGTGGATGGTTGCCGAAGTATGGTAGCAGAGAGGTATAATGAGGAAATGTGACGTCGACATCTGTGTGAGGGACCGACGTTCTGGTCATTGATATGATGATTGTAATGCGAAAGATGCGTATGTGTAGTGCGTGATCTGAGAAGCCAAAACTGATCGATACAGCAGTGCCAATTTGGACGATTTGGATGTTCTGAGCGAGTTTTCGACAAGAAGAAGGGTTAGAAGATAGCAACATGTTTTATTGTGTTTACCGCTCCATAACTCAGCACGGCCTTTGCATGCAGAGAAAGTGCGTTGATCCTGTGCAAAGAGTTCGTAGAAGGTATGGACACATTTAAGTCGGTCGCAATGGGGTAATTGTTGCAAAGAGTAAGTGGCCAGCGCCCGTAGGTATCATTGCACATGTCGAAGTACCAAAGAGGAAGCCATCTACGGACGTCATTTACAACAAATCCAGAACCAGAAAGAATGAGGAAATGCTACAGAAAGCTACAGAACCAACTCACCTGACGTGCATGAATCTTCAAATATGCGCGGTTCAGTCTTCAAGTTATCCTGGGATTCTGTAAAAGGTTTCTAGATGGTTGGCTCGTATGTGCATTACCACGATTGCGTGGAGGTGACTGAAGTTGGCCAGGCTGACGCTCTTGGCTGACGATTGTCGCGTTGGCTACGCATCTAGTGTGCAGTGGTGCAGGGTCAAGCAAGAGCGGCCCGCCGCAACCGGAAGCGTGAGGGTGCATCTTCGAGCCCTAGAAACACGGGAACCACTGTCAGATACAAAATTATTGCGGAGAGTAACTCAACGTTCTTAATGATGTAACGTGAAACTATTCGGCTTCGGAGATTTAACGTATGCAGGTGTCAGCGCGAACCACGCTAGCGTTAGGGCATCCTCGGATCCCCAAGACTATGACCGTCTTATATCATGCCTTGCCCCGCCTGATGCCTGCTGTGCTGTCTTTCGACTCTCAATCAAAAACTCCCAGAATCTCGAGGAGTTATTCACGGGACCTTTACGCGATGATGGCCTTACCGCAACCAAAACCTGGATAACATCCATGCATCATGATCACGAACACGTTCAATCGACCTCTCGGACATGACCACCTCCCCGCCCCTTGGTGTACCCATCCGTTCTCCTTATCTATGGTCAATATCTACGCTCTCGTTCATTCCATCGAGCTCGGAAATACGAATTCGGCACTTTCCAAAAACATGTCTTCGGAATCCTTCATAACTTCAGCGGACGGGCTTAAGATGCGCAAACTCTAAACCCTACTGGACAGAATTTCGAGAATCTCCTTCCTTGAGACTGGTCTTTGGCCCGAAACTCTTTTAACCTGGATACGTAGATATGAAAGTACTTCATTCGGTCCAAGTCAACCATGCTCGTCACCTGCGAAAGGTACATTGTGTCTCATCCATGTACACATGTGCATGCCAAAAGAACATCTGGAGTGCTGGGTATTCTGCTGCGGAAGGTGTGGGGAAGGGAACTTTAGAGAGGTGGTTGATGGGTTGCAGCGTGAGTTAGGTCACTTTCCGCGCTAGGTCTGTACGGCTGAAGAGGGTGAGTGCTGGCTGAGCCATCCATCATGAAATTGCTCCGACTGCGTAAGAGATCGGTAAAGCCGAGTGGTCTTTCCATCGAGGTCAAACTGCTGAGATCGAATTCCAAGAGTTGGGTGTCGACATTCATGAGTAGCTGGTCGAGTAGCTTCTTCAACGGAATGGAGTGACGACGGTGGCATCATCTGTGCACAAATCCACTAGTATCGGAGTTACCTCTCGACGAACTGCTCCGATTGACGACTAATTGAACGGTTACGGCATGGCTGGCGATGTTCGGGTGGGCAGAATTCAATGACGGAAGTTCGGTACGAAGGAGACAGGGTCAGCTATAGCGATGGGTGGTTGACGACGTGTGAGATCGCATCGCACCCGAGGAGTTTGCCGGTGTTGGAATTCGAAAAGTCTGCAAGGAGGCTACAAGAACGTCAAGCGTTGCTCAAATCAAAGACCTATGCTCTGTTCTCGACAAGGCTGTGGAACAACTGGGAAGAAATGATGAGTACTGAGCATCATAAGATACAAAGGGTGCTCCGGATCCATTCTGCGTAACCAAATCTCATCGCCAGCTTATACACTGTCATATTCTTTTTCCTGGGTCACACAAACATCGAGCTTTCAACGGTGTCCCACTGCAGATCCCGCTACATAGGGGCGTCCCGCCAAGCAGTACAGAGCAATGATAGTGCTGAAGTACAACAACAGTCGGCTGGCTGCCCATTCTCAGCCATCACGACGCTCAACTCGAATATGATTCTCGATGTTTAGCACGGATTTCTTCCACCTGTTCGCATGCACCGGCTATCGTTCCAAATCAATGCCGTCATGCTGCTCACACATTTAGAAAGACGATCGGTTGGCGCATAGTGTACTAGTTTCGTCGCCCAGCAACACAGCCACGTTCAAAGCTATTCCAGCAATTCTGTCGATGGTCTCCAACAATGAGAGTGGCTTTGGCAAGTAATTTTCGATCGTGGCACAGTAGTCGATTACTGTATAGATACATTTGTATATATCTATCACTGGCTTTGCCTCAGGTACACTGGTGTACAGTGTTCATCATAACTATCTCTGCTAGTTGTATTTAATTTAAGATTTGATCTACCGCGATGCTTTCTCGCGAGAGATACTGAGTGATAGATGTTAGGCAATTCATGCGTGCATCACAGCCAGACATGAAGCCAACCCTCAAACAACAAAGATCGAAAGAAAGCACCCTCTGGCCGTCAACCTACGCTCCTCAGTTTATAAGTGCCAGCCACAAAATACCGGACGAAATATTCACTTGAGCACTACAGCAGTCCCGAATCTTGTATCCAACACGGTGCATGATCGTCATCTTGATTTCAAAGCCACATACCAATAATCAATGTAGATCCCCCTCTGCCATAAGCAAAATTCAAGGAACGGTCCGAAACGGTCGCAGATCTCTTGATATGGAAGCCTTAGGCGCCAGAAGGAGGCGTTGGACTCCTGATTTGTATGACCGATGGCTGATGGGGAAGGACCGAGTCATGTGCGATCTCGGGCTTACATGCGGGCGCCATGCTGTGGATCGTTACAAACCCCATCTATGCAGCAAGGGTGGCACGATGGGATGACGTCGCGACATGCAGCTCCACCTTTGGCACAGCCGTATGAGATGTCATTGGAGAACGATGTGAAAATTCATGGCAAAGCTTTGAGGCAAGAGATGGATCGATATGGATGAATTGATCTAACTCAGACTTAACAGAAAATTGAACATCGATTCGCTAGTTGGTATCGCTAGAAGTACTACATAGTGGACAAGAAAGAATAAGAGAGCCCTCAACGGGCAGGGTTGATGAAGAACCGGCAGAAGTCCCCCATTGGCTGGAGCGCGCCGGGTGTAACTTTGGACTACGCGGCTGCGCGGCTCGACGTGGTAGGTAAGACATGCTGACCCCGCATCACGTCGGCGGTTGACTGCAGATGTCGTGAAACACGTTGTCTTAGCCAAGACAGGCGTTTGTATGCGGGACTCTTGCGGAATAGTCCCTTTGCTGGACGCGCGTAGGATTCTTCACAAAGAGCTGACGAAACTCAGCGTGAATTTTGGGCGTATGCATGCGGCAGCGGCGATGCAGGTGCTGGGGTGGGCTGTAGAGCAGTGATAAGAGGCTTGGGACGGCAGATAGAGTAATGGCCACTTTTCAGGATGAGACAGGGAGACCGCTCGCCATGCGGAAGAGCTCAAAAGCAAGTCCGGGCGTTTCTCGCACCGCCATCTCAACGTCGGGACGTAGCGAGAGGCTGGGGTTGGCACGGAAGGTTTGGATGATAACGTCTCGCAGACCACGATCAGTGTGGAAGGTAGACTCGTACGCCTCTTGGCAAGCCTCTGGAAACTCGGCACTGCTGAGGTGCAACTCGACGTCGTCTGCAAATTTACTACGCGCAAGCGCTTTCAAGCCTGCGATGCCGTACCTGCCATAAACCGTTAGCAAACCAGTCCCAAAGTGCGTGATGCATGATAGGCGCGTGATTGGAGAGTGTTGTACGCTGACGCGGACAGTTTCGAAAATGCAGCCATGGAGGCTTGATAACCACAAAATGCCATTGGCCGATCTGGGAATCGTACACAAGCAAAACAGAAGAGAGGGCTGTGTGTGCAAAGGTAGGGCGGAGGGTGGATCTCGAAGCGTGATTGGCAAGCGGAGTGCTTGTGACGCACATCGCGGGGTTTGTCGGTGTTTCAAACCGCCGTGCCATGCGCTGCACACCCCAGCCATGGGAAGGAATGCTGCAGGCGCAGATGAAAACACCCCCGCAACCCAAGGCGCGCATTCAGGCAAAATGTAGAAAAGTAAAGAATGACGAAGGGTGGTACGTACTTCTCAGCAATGGCGTAGACCTTGGCATGTGTAACAAGATGCGTAGTCTCAATGTCAAACTCGGCCTCTGATTGCTCGCTTTCTGAATCATCATCCTCGAAGAACTGATCGGCCATCGGCGTGTCGGGCATCTTGGTGGAGGCATCGAGATTTTGGAATATGGGCTCGTCTGCGGGAGGAGTCAATGGCATCGAGTTGTTGGCTGCGGCCACAAGCGCAAGTAGCGGATCCTCTACTTGAGCGAGATTAAGCTGCTTGGGTGGGCTTCTTTTCTTGGTGATGGAGGATCGTAGAGAAGTAGGTCGATTAGACCGTTGTGAGGAGCGGCGCGAGAGTGACTTCTTGGTAAGGTAGTCCATGTGATAGAAGTCTAGAAGCAATTAGCACACTCGCAAACCCCGCCCTCTCACACTAATACGTACAGTGTACCATGTGGTCAACAGCCTCTGCGTCATCTTCGGTGAGGTCGATGACTCCAGTCTCTGCCTCCCTGAAGCCATTGCGGCAGGCTCCCTCGAAGAAGGTAGATCTGGTTGCAAGGAGTATACGGTGAACTGGATATCTTTTCGCACCACACACAATGGTCAGATCTGAGTATTGTCCGCATTGAAACAGTCTAACAGACTTAGCTGGGGATTGAAAGGGCAAAAGGGTGTGACTTACGAGGCCAGGGCCGACTTGAGTTCGATCATTGGTGCGTCCATTGTGGTAGTGTTGTATAATGTGTGAGGGGTGGTGGAGGTAGGTGTGAATTTGGTTCTTGGTGTTACTTGTGTAGTTTGAGCTGGCGGGGGAAGCCTTCTTGAAGCAAATGCTCGTAAGACCCTGTTGTGAAAAATAAAAGGCCAACGGTCACAGGTGTGACGATTTTGACCTTACGCACGAACGCGTAGGGGTACGTAGGGGTCGGCCGCTGATCACGGAGGCGCCGCGCGAGTTCCGAGCAATTGGTAAGGCTGAGGCAAGGATACCGAGATCGCCAGGTGCAGGCAAACTATGCTGTGGTCGATGCAGCCGGACTGAATGTATGCCGAGATTACTGGTTGCCAAGAGCTTGTATGGAGAGTTGTTTAGATATTGCAGATCAAGGTGGGAGCAGAAGACAGGACGGATCTGGGAGGAGTGTTCGCGCTCTTGTAGGCATGCAGCCGTCCCTCCAGCCATGGCACGCTGGCGTCAGTTCTGGATGGCGCACTCATCTCAGTGACATGGGCGGTTGCATAGACCGCTTCCAGACAAGTCACAGGGTGTCCCTTCGCTCCAGGACGGCCCAAAATTTGAGCTGACACGCAACGCTTCGTCCAGAGGACTTGAGTGGCTTGGCGCAAGTGTAGCGTGGGCTGGGCTAGAACAAACCGGGCGGTCCATTGTAAGCGCATCGTGGGAAAGCAGGGTAGGCAATGTCACGCGAAAGGCTATTGCTTTAGTGGCTGCAGCGCGATGCCGAACACGACCCTTTGGGTGGAGGCGAGGCGCAAGGGACGTCGAGTAGCGGCCGAGCAGAGCAGCTAGAGTCAAATGACCAGGAAATTCGGAAGGGGATGCGAAATCATTTGCCCTGCGCATGAAAAGCTACCGCTGGTACTGACTGACTCCAGACGGTCGGCGAAACGCGTTGGCCGCCCTCCGTTATGGAGACGAGCCACAGAGGCGGGGCGGAGGATTCCGTCGTGGGCTGTGCGGGGCCCATGTTGAGATGGAAACCTCCAGCCGGTGTTGCACGACAACGGAGCCACCAAGACTTTGACGTTTGGCAGGATATTTGGTGGGTGGTGTTCTGGGCCCACCACCGACGATCCGAGCTGCTTTGGGATGCGTACCAGAGCAGAGAGAACTGCTGCGCTACCTAGCTACGGCATCACAGCCGAATGTTGTGCTTCTCCTAGGAAAATACCAACGTCGCTACATGTTCTCGTCTCAACATGCCGTGATGAGGTTATGCTCGGGTAGACTTATCTACCCCGGTTTCAGGAGCTGACAAGTCTCCGAAGGTGCATCTTCCAACGGCGTAGTATCACATGCAGCATGGCGGTTAATGCGCATCTGCGGCGACCCCAAAGACTTGACAATTTCTAATCAATGATTGGGAACAATGGTTTCTCGAGCGCATCTGCATGCGCATGGTGGGAGGAGTGGTGGCCTGGAGCCAGCTGTCCAGCAGGACGCTTCGCGAACCCCGGATGCTGTGGCTCAGCGCCTCACGTGGCAGAATACGAAAACGAGGGCTTCCCGCATCCCAGTACCAGGCCGATGGTAAGGAAATTTGAGATTATCGTGAAATGGACGTTAGCCTAGATGCATCTTGCCAGACAAGCGAGAGCTGAGGTAACGGTAGGGTTCGCGCTATTGGTAAAGCAGATGCTCAGCCGCAAGCCACTCGTACGAGTACCTGAAAGCCAAGCAACCAGACGTGAGGTACCAAGATGCGCCTGTATTTACAAGAGAAAAAGAGCACTGGTGATATTTCACGTCTGGTGCTGGGTTTAGGAATCAAGTCCCGATCAGGAAGCAGGAGCATTCGAGGCGAGGCGAGGCTGACATAATGAGAAAGTGACATGGGTGCTTCGGCTACAGCTGTCTCGCGAAAGGCTGACGTCGTCAACCACGGAGCTGTGCCTGTGACAAGCAACTCACTGCAATCACTCGGCCACGTCCAAGCAACCACGAATCCGTTGATCTCGCTCACTGTGAAGCCTTGATGCGTGCAACTCTCGCCTCTATCTAGTGCTCGTTTCCTTCTCTCCGCACCGCTGCTAAGACCTCTCCCACCACCAAGCAGCAACCCCGCGTTGCTTCAACCATGGCCGACTTCAAGTTATCAGCCACCCTTCGCGGTCACGAGGACGATGTACGTGTTGCATCCGCTACTAAGCAAATCAGGTCCCTGCATTACGCAGAACCACCACTAACACAGCGTGCAGGTCCGAAGCGTCGCATTCCCCTCGCCTTCCTCCATCGTCTCTGCGTCGCGAGACTTTACAGTACGGACCTGGGCACAGCAGTCACAGAGCCCGCCAACATGGGATAGCACCATCAAGACACACGGCAAGGAATTCGTCAACTCGCTCGCCATCGTGCCGCCCACGTCGTCGTTTCCCGAGGGCCTGGTCGTGTCGGGCGGCAAAGACCAGATCATCGACGTACGGCGGCCGACCAAGAACCTTGATGACGATGCAGACGCTCTTCTGATCGGACATGGCAACAACGTATGCGCGCTGGACGTCAGCGAGGATGGAAAATACATTGTCAGCGGCAGCTGGGACATGGAGGCGCGGCTATGGCAAGTAGGCAAGTGGGGCGAATCTACAGTGCTGCAGGGTCACTCTGCATCGGTGTGGGCTGTCCTTGCTCACGACAGCGATACCATCGTCACCGGCTGTGCAGACAAGCAGATCCGCATATTCCAGCCTTCGGGCTCCGCATCTCCGGTACGCTCGATCCAGGCACCTGAAGTTGTCCGCGCCCTCTGCCGATTACCTCCGGATCATCCCTCGGGTGCCCAGTTCGCATCCGCAGGGAACGACGCCGTCATTCGCTTATGGACGCTCAACGGACAACAGGTGGCGGAGCTGCACGGCCACGAGAACTTCATCTACTCTCTAGCTGTCCTCCCCAACGGCGGCCTGGTGAGCGCCGGCGAAGATCGGACAGTACGGATATGGGAAAACAATCAGTGCATACAGACCATCACCCACCCAGCCATCTCAGTATGGACCGTGGCTGTATGCAAGGAGAACGGCGACATCGTCACTGGTGCGAGCGATAAGCTTGCGCGTGTCTTTACTCGTGATCAGTCTCGTTATGCTGCTGAGGCTGAGATTCAACAATTCAACGACGATGTCAAGGGCTCCTCGATACCACAGCAGACCGTGGGAGACATCAACAAAGAGCAACTGCCTGGCCCGGAGTTCCTCACACAGCGATCGGGCACCAAGGAGGGGCAGGTCCAGATGATCAAGGAGATGAACGGCAACGTTTCTGCATACCAATGGTCCGCAGCTGCAAATCAGTGGGTGAATGTTGGAACAGTCGTCGATTCGGCGGGGAGCGGTGGACGCAAGATCTCGCATGCCGGCAAAGAATACGACTACGTTTTCGACGTTGACATCGAAGACGGCAAGCCTCCACTGAAGCTACCTTACAACCTCAACCAGAACCACTACGAAGCTGCGCGCAAGTTCATCGAAGACAATGAGCTTCCGCTCACATACCTCGACCAAGTCGCGAACTTCATCATCCAGAACACACAAGGTGCAACGCTAGGGCAAAGCAGTGCTCAAGGCACGGATCCGTGGGGTTCTGAGGCACGGTACCGGCCCGGCGACGCCAATCAAGTCGCGACCCAGCCTCCACCAGCGCCACCAGCCACTAAGATACTTCCGCAAAAGGATTACCTTCCTATCACAACTGGAAACCACAAGGTTATTTTCAAGAAGCTTACAGAATTTAATGAGGCCTTGGTGAACGATGGACAGAAAGGCATCTCGCTGAATCCGCCAGATGTCGAGCAACTGAATGCGACTGTCACAGCATTGGAGAAAGGAAATGGCAAGGGCATCGACATAACAGGTGTGGAACTCCTTGTCAAAGCGGCAACACAATGGCCGCCAGAGAAGCGTCTACCTGCACTGGACTTATTACGACTAGTCCTCGCTTTCGAGGAACCAGCAACCTTCCTAGTGTCGCCTGAGCAGAACCTGTTGCCAAACCTTCTTGAATCAGGGGTCTTCACGGAATCTTCCCCGCCCAACAACACAATGATGGCCATACGATGTCTCAGCAATCTCCTGCAAACCGAAAAGGGACGACTACTTGCCAGCACAGAGTTTGATAACATCCATCCACTAGTGTCGCCTTTCCTGACATCTACGAACCGAAACTTGATCATTGCGCTCACAACACTGTACATCAATTACTCAGTACTGCTCAACTCTGAGAACAATGCGGACCGTGCGCTTTCATTGCTCGACGATTTATCCAAGGTTCTCACTACGGCTACCGACTCCGAGGCCGTGTATCGCGCGCTTGTGGCTACAGGCACTTTGCTTTGCCTAGGCCCCGACTTCTGTGAGGCTGGTAGGGACATTTTACAGATAGGCGATGCGATTACCCGCGCCGAACAGAAGGTCAAGGAACCGCGCATTCGGAACGTGGTCGCTGAGATTCGGCAAAGGTTACAAGGCTAGACATCTATCATGGCTATAGGACGAACCATGCTTCCAATGCGTCGTTGCTCATTATTTGAGAACAACAGCTTGTCGGCGCATTATTCCAGGAAGTTGCAGAGAAAGTAGGAGCGATTAATGCATTGTTTTGGATGCATAAGGTGAAGCTGCACGGATTAGTGTCGGCCTAGCGAGGCACATTGCATTCATAGCAAATAATTCACCCAAAGACGATTAGTCCAGTTATTCACAATGCATGTCTCTATGGTTGATATTGCCTCTGTAATTATAGCCTTGCGACTAATGCGGGAAAGCTTGTCTTTCTCTAATTTGTATTGTTCAACACTGTAGTTCATTGTAGAGACGGAAGGTGTTTGTGGTGTCTTAAGTCAACCTACGACACTTCGAACTCTACTGACTACCTCCAGACTATAGTTTACTTGGGTGTACATGGTGACGCACCTCTTTGCAAAACTCATCATTCACGCCGCGCATTTCCCCGGATCTTCATGACCAGCAGTCTAGATTGACCTGCATCTGTCGTATACGTCAACCTGCGCTACTCTGAACCTCCTACGATGCAGGTCAATTTAGTCCTGGAAGCACCCGGGACCTAGTAGAGTTTGTTTTGGATCTCCATACTCCGCGATTGTCATACCTGCATCTTGTGCGCTTGCGATGATTTGCGTTCCTCATGTAACACGCTGGACATGCGTTAACGCCGCGTTCTTCGCGGCCGACCGCTGGTATATGTTTTGTTTTCGTCGGTCCTTTCTCCGAAGGTAACGGTCATGCGCTGGATCTCAGATCGAGGTGCAGCTGCATTGGCTATGCGTTCTTCCCTTGAGCGGTTTGGGCTGCTCGGGCAGGCATGTGCCCTGCACTCCTCTCACCGTTGTTGACCCTGTTCACCAAACTGTTCGCCCAACGCTCTTCGTGAGGGAGATTGGTGATGGAGAGGAAATGACGAGATCGACGTCATTTACCCCCTATGACTCGAGTAGACCGTCGTCTCCACTGATGGCAAAATCACCTAATAAGTCACTAGTATTCAAAGCTCGTGAGGCAAGTTGACGGCGTGGAATCGATCTCGGCTTGATCTCGGTCAAAAAAGAGACGGAAGTGTGTGGCCTTGAATCAACTTTGTTCTGCGTCACCGCGTTCACAGATAAATGACGGTGAGCCTAAGGCACTTGAACACGTGTGTGGACTAACACTGCCTTTGGCCTATGACCATGGTTCAGTGACTGAATCGCTGTTTGAGCGAGCGCAGGCTGTTGTCGGTATGTCGGCGTTTGCAGATACCGACTTGTAACACTTGCCAAGGATTTGTCTTGCGCGGCCCCAGTGTCATGGAGGGGAGAGAAACAGAGGTTGAGAGAGCGGTGAGGCAAAGAGATGGTGGGTAGTTTTTCTGCAGTTGTAGTACCGTTGGATGTGGTGTGGTAGTTTGAGATGCAGTGCGAAGTGTGTGTGTGTACGGGGTGCATACGCGCTGGAGCCGGGGAAGGACGCTTGTAAGGATTGGGACTAGCGGGTGATCATGGAGGTGTGTGGGAAAGCGTGTCGAGGACGATATCGCCAACCTGGAGTATGCGACTACATTGTCATAGACGAGCGCGTTCATGAAAGGACGTCTGTCTTGTTATAGGTGCTACACATTAGACGGAACAACGAGACGACGTCGAATTACACTCTGACGCTTTCAATATCGCTGACGTCAAGACATTGATCAGAACGAGGTAATGGAGGCATCATTACTGAGCCGTGCTTTGAGCAAAGCGAGTAAAGCGTAGAAATGCAGGAACAAAAAGGTTCATTTGACATGGGTTTCTGCCAGATCAACCCTGCATACATCACTACATATTAACTATAGTATTGACGAATCTCTACAATCCGCGCCGATATCATCTCCTCAGCACCTCACAACCGCAGACTAAACCGTAGAACAGTTGCAAATATCCATAGCAAGATACCAACATGTCGGGAAAGAACGAGCAAGGAAAGATGGACGTTACCCAAAAGAACGGTTCGTAACCTCATTCTACCAAATCGATTCTCAATTGCCAGCTAACACTTCTCAGTACTCAATGCTCCCCTCCACAAACACTCTTCCGAAGCCAAGGCTCCTTCGAATCTTCCCTCCTCATTCAGCGCTGGAATGTGTACCAGTAAAAATCCCATCGCCGCTATCCTCACAAACGGATTCCTGGACTTCTCGTCCTCGAATGGCACGGATTTGCGAAAAGCTGGCGTGGGTCCAGGTCAACGACTGTGCCTAGAAGCTTCAACATGGAAGAGCGCCGCGGATAAAAATATTGGAGAGGTACCGAGAGTAAAGCTAGAATCGACGCATGAAGGCGCTCTGAAGAGTATGGATCTTAATACACTAAAGAAGTGGGCGGCAGAGCAGGAGGTCCAGGGGAAGACTGTGCTGCCGGGTAAGGGCAAGGAGAAGTTCGCGAGGGAGAGTTCAGAGATTGGAGGCAAGGAACCAAGGGCTTGATGCTCAAACAATAAGCCGTTACTGCAACTAGAGAAGATGACGCTTCCGTGGTAAAGGAGTAATTTTGTACGATAACAATAGATAGAAAAATAGCTTAAACTTCTTCCCCACTGTCGCAGTGCTAGACTGCCTAATAGGGTAAAACTTAAGTAAAATATTGTGTACATCAATAGTTTTTCAAGAGTCTACATGAGCAGCGGTTACGTTGCTACTACTTATAGAATACTATTGTAGACTGCAGGGTTACAGCAGATTCAGCTATCTCTGGTAACTGTTACCCATATATACACTAGAACAAAAATTGAATAACTGTCGCAAAATAGAAGCTACCCGAGTAAACAGTAGTTACGCCTAAGGGCGACATCCTTTTCTTGTCTCCCTTAGTGTGGAGTAGCTGGGAAACCAAGTTGGCAGTGATGTAATGAACTGCATTCATACCAGCCAGGAGATGTTACTCTTCTTGGTACAGACTTTCGAGGTGATTTGCATTCAGCAGTAAGCGCGCATGTTGAAATTCGGGTAGAAGGCGCCAGGACGTGGCTCCGCACCTGGACTGACTTTACTAAAGGACACCTAATTTTATCATTGCTAAAAGGATCCTGGTCCCTTGGTTGCGACCCTTATTTGATGCAGGTATTGCGGTACCTAGAAGTACTGAACATTGGCAAGGGATAGTGTTGCGCGGTTCAGAGCAGGGTTCACAGATGGGGAGATAAAACTGATTATGTTGTAACTAGAATGTTAGATAAAACACTAATTGCTATGTCGTAATTCCTCTTATTTCTGTACTTTCCAGACCATTTATAGAGTTTGCCAGGTCGAATTGTCGCACATAAGAAACACGACGAAAGCTGAAAGCGACCTCGGGAGAGCTAGGCCTGGCATGGGTTGAGAAACTGCACATGGCGAGACCTAGCAGTACCACCCGCCATCAATTGGCGTAGCCGTCCCAGTCATGAATGAAGAAGCGTCCGATATCAGAAATTCGATAAGCGGTGGAATCTCCGTTTGGTGTGCAGTTCTTCCAAGTGGAAGGAATGAATAATCGACAGGCCCGCCTCGATTTTCGTACGATTTTCGCAGCATTGGGGTGTCGACTGGTCCGCTGTGCGCAGTTAGTATGTACATACCTCAAAAAGAGTTTCCGTGGGTCTACTCACGGGCAGAAGCAGTTCACCCTGATATTCTTTGGTCCTAGCTCTTTTGCCGCGCTCCTTGTCATTCCGACAACAGCATGTTTGGAGGCGCAATATGCCAGCTGTTTTGGCGCGCCAATGAGACCCAGTATACTGGCTGCATTGACGATAGAACTTCCTTCCTTCATGTGCGGCACCTGAGCGCGCAAACAGTTCCGCAGACCTGTAACGTTTACTCCCATAATGAATTCCCAGTCGTCGTCCTCTACCTCTTCAATGTTGGCGACAGCACTTTGCCGACCAGTTACACCTGCGAGATTGGCTGCACCATCCAGCTTCCCGAACTTCTCGACTGTGTTTGCGATCCAGCTTTCCACGTCGGCACGTTTGCTGACGTCGACAATCTGGATCATGACTTGTGCACCGGCTGTCAGAAGCTCGCTTTCAAGATCTTTCAACGGCTTCTCCTGCACATCGGCGAGTGCAAGCTTGGCTCCTTTGCTGGCGAAAAGACGGGCGGTTTCAAGGCCCATTCCAGACGCCGCTCCAGTAATTGCGATGACTTTATCCTTGAGAGACATGATGACTCTTACGTTCGGAGTACTTTGGGATTTGTATATCGCGTTGGAAATCCGTGGTTGGTTGGGGATTGACAGCTGTACTTAAAGCTCCCTTGGGATAGGGCCACCCGAGATTGAAAGAAACAGAACTAACAGAATCTTGCCTACTTGTAGAAACATCTAAGTGAGCACATGGTGTGTCGTGGTCCGGCTATCTGAGCCTATTGGAACACCTCATAATGCTTCGGTCCATTCAATTGAATGGAGAAAGGAAGTCCTTTTCCGGTATAGCCCTTAGAGTGTTCAGGTGGCGGTGAGGTGTGAAAGTTGTCAACTACCTAGATAAGTACTGCCCTTGCATTATGCAATGTGCCCGCAGGCGACGGTGCGAAACTTGCAACACTGGGAGGATAGTTGTCGTACATCACATTGCGACGTTGTAATCCGCTGCAAGGGATTGCGATCCCTTAAGAGCGGCTTACGTAGCTCCGCAAAAGTAGTCTGGTGACGCTTGGGGCGGGGCGTGAATGCCCATGACTCAATACACGATAACCTCGGGAGTGCCTCCACCTGTCGACCTGCCGACCCCTTGGAATTCCACCTGGTTTTGATATCCATTCTGCGCACATATTTGGTTACGCTGCAGTCATAGCAGGTCATATGTTTCCATAGCGTGTTCATCCCCACCACTAGGTTGTTTGGAACGACGACAAATGTTTCGATATGCGACAAAGGGAACATCTCAAAACGTGGTCGCTTCCTAGCTCTTGTGATGATGATACAGTCGATTGTCTAGTAAGAAGAGATGTAGGCACTCGTTGATAGGATCCCTGTAGCATCAAGTCCTTGATGCTGAGGCATATTGATTACTACACCATAAGAATGGAATAGTCAAGCAGCACGAAATACGCTCCCGGCCATGGACTTCACATAACAATATTGACAGCTAGAGAAATTGAAGTGACGCGTTGCTATATCTTCTCACCGTCCAGCATAGAAATATGGTAAGCCTCAAGGTCGAGTTGTCCGTCATGCGAACTTCGATTGTTGCAAAGATTCAATACGCTGGCGTAGCAGTCTTGCTCTCTATCCTCGGCGCCGCAGCTGTGGATAGAGGCGGGCCAGAAATCTGTCAGTATCAGTTGGTAAACTAAAACGGATTCCGAACTGACTTACCAAGCGAGCAAGCCACCGAGCTGGGTAACCTACAGTCCACCACCCGTATCAAGCACCACTATAACGACCACATCAAGTATCACTTCATCGCTCGAGTCTCTTTTGTCTCCCACGGCCATATTTAGCACCATTCCTCCGGCCTGGTCCAACAGCTCTTCCATAAGTGCGGCAACCAACCCAAGTCTCGTTCTGGGCACGACCCTAATAGCCTCACCTTCGCCCTTCCCAAGCTCGCCATCATACACATTCTCCATCGAGATAAGCAACCAACGCCAACACGTCGGCCGATGGTACGGCCGTTATATATCTAGCGACTTAAACAAGTTACTCAAGAACCGCTGCGATGACGACAAGATAGGTGCCAACACGTGCAAGACTTCAAAGGAAAAATTCGATAATATCGAGTACTCCAATCAAGCCGGCATGGTGGAAAAAGGCATACAGTTTGTGGAAGTAGGCGTCGAGAGTGACTACATTCCCGGGAAACACGAAGGAGGGGTTGACTACAACGGAAAGTCGCTGCAGAATGCGTTCATCAGCCAAATCGCCTACACGTTTCAGCTTAGTGGTGAGGACGAGAAGAACTGTTACAGATTCGATCGGAGATCGACAATGTGCACTTTCTGCAAGATCTGTATTCCCGATGGAAGGGATCGCGTGATAAGGTGGTGTAATGCACCCGAGTATGTTCGAGTAAGCGTCAAGAACGGAGAGGGGAAAGAGGTTGCGCATATGAAGGCTGTGCTCAAATTTACGGGCACAACGGACAAAGGGAAATTCGATTGCATGGCCATCAAGGAAAGTGTGGAGAGAAGTGCGCGAGATGACAGGGTGAGGGAAGTGAAAGAAGCGGTTGGCGGGAAAGAGGTCGAGGCTAGAGCGACGTGTTCAGGGGATGAGGTCACGGGAAACTGTCCTAATGAGTGCCTGTATAAACTGGGCCCATGTTTTAAATAATTTCAATGGAGATGTCTCTGTCGGATATGCACAAGGTCGAGGAGCGGACATGTAGTGTTGGAGAGCAAGGGTTGGTGATGGCCCCTGGCATGACGCAGCAGCTCCGTCGGACTCCCGAGAGATATCTTTTGGTGGGGCACTGACTTCTCCCACGAAATGCAATACGCGCCCGTCACACGTATCACTGCCACGTCGGTCACACTCGCACCTTGCTCTTGTTTTCGAAAAAACGTCCGTCACTTCACGTCCTTCAAAATAGGTCGCAAACACAAAGCGCATCGCCAACAGGCGCAGCAAAACAAGCCGTGGCGCAACGCGGAAAAAGGTCGCAAAGGCAAAGGCAAAAGAGGCAGGATGGGCCAAGATGAATCGCGGGTGGTAGACCCTACTGCACCACCCCAAACCCTAGAAGCACGTACTTTGGAGGCTTTGGCACAATATGTCAAGGATGGGCGTGCGCAAAAGATTGTTGTTATGGTGAGTTGAGACGCGATGGGACGGTTTACCGCGTGCTAACATCGGACAGACAGGTGCAGGCATAAGTACTTCAGCCGGCATACCAGACTTCAGATCACCAGAAACCGGCCTATACGCCAACCTCAGTCGCCTGAACCTGCCATATCCCGAAGCCGTCTTCGACATCGATTTCTTCCGCAAGACCCCAGAGCCCTTCTACGCGCTCGCTCAAGAACTATACCCCGGAAAGTTCAGGCCGACGATAACACATTCCTTCATAAGCTTGCTGCATCAAAAGGGGCTGCTGTTGAAGCTGTTCACACAGAACATTGATTGTCTGGAGCGCGAGGCTGGAGTCCCCGGCGACAAGATTATTGAGGCGCACGGCAGTTTCGCATCGTGAGTGCACTCGCGAGGATTGAGTTTAGGCAAATCTGACTAGGCATAGGCAATGTTGCATCGACTGCAAGAAGTCGTATCCCAAAGAGCGCATGAACGAAGCCATCCGCGACAAATCAGTGCCTCACTGTGTCGATTCGTCCTGTAACGGCCTCGTCAAACCCGAAATCGTCTTCTTTGGGGAACAATTACCCTCCGCCTTCTTCGACAACCGTAGCCTCCCCGCACAAGCCGACCTGTGCATAGTCATGGGCACGTCGCTCAGCGTACACCCCTTCGCTTCGCTGCCGCAACTTTGTGAAGACCAAACCCCGCGTCTGCTTATAAATTCGGAGAGGGTTGGTGATATGGGCCAACGAACCGATGACGTGCTGCTACTGGAAGATTGCGATAGTGGCGTGAGGAAGCTGGCAGAGGCCTGCGGGTGGCTGGGTGAACTAGAAGCGCTCTGGGCTACCACGGCACCGGTATCTGAAGAAGATCCAGTGGCGCCTAAGGAAGAAGTCAAGAAGAGCCACGATGAGTTGCTGGAGGATGAAGTCGAGAAGCTTACGCGGGAGGTGGAGGAAAATCTGAGGTTGAATCAAGCAGAGCATGAATGGCTTGATAACCACGTCGATAACAAGCTGGCAAGGAAACACGAAGAGGTTCAGGTCGGAGACCGTTCTGCGACTGAATTCCAACCAACTGTCGATCCGGAATCTAGGACAGGTCCAAGCGAGTCGAAAACGAACCCAGGAGGTGGTGGGCTTGCCCATGTGTTTCCCCACATGAACAAGTCATCGCTCTAGACATGGCGTGGTATTGGTGGATAGATTGGATATAGATACACGATCTCACGATCACGAATCACGATAGCGTTGTATGCGAGGCAACAAGGCCACCCGTTCCAGAAAGCGCGCACTGACGCCTGCCTAAATCCTTATATCCGAGTCTGTATCTTTCTTCCTCCACACCCGGACCTCGCCCTCAATCTCTTCAAAAACACAAGAATGTCACCAATCACCGATCTACCTACCGAATTGCTAGAGTACATAGTCCTCGATCTTGAATCTCGAGATGCTGTCAATCTGGCCCAAACATGCAAGACGCTCCACACTGTCGCTCTACCAGCAGCTTACAACACCATCACCCTGCTTTGGGACAACACAAGCGAAGACGACGAAGACGGAGGGACTGTTGACGGCCGAAAAGGACCCAAGATACAAGCTTTGGTTCGCACATTGAAAAAGAAGCCCCAATACATCAACTGGGTCAAAAATCTGGAATTTTATGCGGAGAATTGTCTAGAGTACAATTTCGAAGACGTCCTTGGCTATGGCTTCCCAAGAATTGACTATGATATGAAAGATGAAGAATGGATGGACGAGATGTTCAGTGTCTACGCGGATCCTAAAGACACATCGGTTCAGTGGCCCGAGTTAGACGATGAGCACGCCAGGCACATGTTGGTCGCGCTGTTGATTGGTATTTGCCAAGCTCGTCTCGAATCTTTGACCATAGCATGGGAGTTCTTCCCATTCAATCAGTGGTTTCCTACGATGATGAAGCATGGGATCGCGAAGAATGCAGCAGAAGATGACGGACCAAAGTGGTTCGCTAACTTGAAAACCGTACGCGTTGAGTTGGAAGAGTCGGATATGGCCGAAGCGTGGGGACAGAACTTTTTGGAACCGCAAGGCACTCTACTGCTTTTCTTCTACCTGTCAGTGGTTGAGTCGCTCCAAATTATTGCGTGTTCGGAGAGAGACGACTATGGCAACGTAAGCAGCGAGGAAGAGGGAGTTGATCTCTCATTTGAGTGGCCACTAGAATTACCTCCTGTTCCGCATACACTGACTACTCTGCGCCTTGTTCGCTCTTCAATGGATCCACTCACCATTCATCATCTGCTCAGGCAGGCTACGAATCTCAGGGTCTTTGAATACGACTGCTATACACACCCACACTTCGCGCCTCTACAGTTGTCGATTTTGAAGGACGCACTGCGACATATTCACTCTACGCTTACCAATCTAATTGTGCGCTACCAACACTACAATTCCGAATTAGCATATAACCCTGCACGTGAAACTGAAAACGCAGTGGGGGGCAGCCTAGGTCCTTTGCACGATTTCCCCGTGCTCACCAACTTGACCATATCTTTTCCAGTGCTGTTTGGTACCGAGGCCGTTGCTCTAGACAGTACACCTAGTCTTGCAAATTTTCTTCCCGCGACCCTAGAGACCTTGACGATTACGGACGATCTCTGGGAGTACGAAGATCTACAAGGGAAATTCGAAGACGTCTATGCCATGGCTTTCTTCCGACAATACCTTGCTGGTGAAAGACCGAGTAAGCCGCTGGAGAGATTAGAACCGTACACGCTTGAGACGACCAGGGGGGAAGTGGATCTAGACAAGGTAGAGAATGGCGTTCTTTGGGTCCAAGATCGGGAACCGGAGTGGAAGGTCGCAACACCCCGGTTGAAGAAGTTGACATATGATTTGACAAAACTGTGCTGTGGGTACTGGCATTTGTCGAAACCTAGAGAGCAGCTAATGGGGTTATGTGAGAGCCAAGGGATCGAGGGAGAAGTTTTACTATGGTCTCTTAACTCATACCACAATTTACAAATTTATGGGTGGCGTTGACGAAGTAGTAACATCATAGTCTAATAGACCAATTATCATACAGTACGAGACGTGCTAGTAGTTCGTTTTCTGGCGATCATCTGTTCGAGCGATTAGTGCATATGTCCTTTTCTTTATGTTTTGGTTTTCTACCCATAATCCCGTAACCCTCAATCAACATAAATAGCAAAACGTGTACTCACAATTCGCGCCCATGGCTTTTCTAAGCTTCAGCGTTACTGCCTCTTCATCCAAATCCTTCTTGTCGCCTGTCTGGATCTCTACAGCATAAGTGCGGATGACCTGCTTGACCTGTCCACTCTGGAAACTCATCTTGGCCTTGCGCATCACCTTCGTTTGAGGTCCTATGAACGTCTTAGTCATCTCGAGATATGAACGAGGAACATGACCAACCTTGCCAAACAACAAAAGCAAATTTGACGCGTTCACTGTACTCGTCATTCCCTAGCTTCATGCGTACATAGGCATAAGCAGCTTCGTCGTCACCGAGGCTCTCCGTCATCTCGGCGATGTCGCCGCTTCCTGTGCCGGCGAGTTTGAGGTTATCTGAAGTTGCGGATGCATACTACATGGTAGTCAGTGATCTCATCGTTCGCGATCCAGTCGATGCTTTCCATTGATGTCTGGTCGGACGATACCTCATCAACGCAGCCCCGGAATACCATGTACCTTCAAGATAAGCCACGTGGTCTCGGATTTGTCTGAACGCACGTCTTCGTATGCCTGCGCAATCTCAGGGTCGTTGAGAATATCGGATGGAGCGGGCATATTGAGAAGCAGCTTTTACTATCGCGAGCTGTGGAAGGGCGATAGCAAGGGTGAGGCGAGGTGGAAGGGGAGTTTTGAGGAAGTTGGGATGGGGTCCCAGGGTCCAGATGCACGCTGTACTAGCTCAGGCTAGTGCGGGGGAAGAGAACCAATGGTGTCTGGGTCCGTGTGGATCTGGGATTTTGAGGTTTAGGGGCGCGCGACACCTTGTCCTTCCACACCGTCCCTTTTGATCACGCTCGTCGTCGCAGCTGATGACAGTTATGCAGACACTGGTGGGCTAATGCTGCTCAAGAACTGTAGAGTTCGCCGTATCGACTGCGTCCAAGCTCCTCATATGTATCTTCTGAGTATCCTCTATCCTCTAGATCCGTTAACCGCACGCAGCAAATCGTTAGTCGTCGCCATCCATAAGCTCTCTACTTTGAGTCTTGCTCTTTACTCCCACAAGGCACTAAATATACTCAGCAAATTGAGCGATAGTTTGGGTGCATGGTCCTGCGGCTTGAATAGTTCCTCATGCTGTGAAATGACTTGAGCGTCTTGGGCGCTGTCGGGTATCTCGGTGACGTCGCTTTTCTTTAGGTGCCATCGGAACTGAGCCCCACTACGCTCGGAACGAGAAATTTTGGCCTCTTTTACCAGTCATCATTCCAAGGTTCTAATGCGCACTCGCCATCCCCGCATACCAAATGTCAACCTCACGAAGCCCTCGCTCCAGCTTACCCCTACACGTTCCTTGGTGCAAGTCGCTGCATCAGAAGCCCGCCGCTCTCCGGTTGCCACGCTGAAAACGCCGATTCTCTTCTTCACGCCTACAACTTTCAGACTCGGCAGGCGAAGTACGCCAACCGTCTCAAACATACGTGATCGCCTCCTCGCAAATATGCCCGAGACTAGCGTTCAACGCGTAGACCCTCAGAAGTTGGGGAGGATCACGTTCCAGAAGTCGGAAGACTTGATCGATGAATGGGACATACAATACGACGACGCAGAGGGTGATGCTGATGCTGGAACGCTGAAACAGGCAGCCCATGAGCTTATGAGCACGAATACCCCCGTCGCGTTTCCCACAGAGACTGTATATGGACTCGGCGCGGATGCCACAAGAAGCGCAGCTGTGAAAGAAATATTTGCCAGCAAAGGACGACCAGCGGACAATCCATTGATCGTTCATATACATTCGCTACCCCAGCTACGAGCGCTGTTGCTCGGTAAGCTTGACTTTGTAGGCGACGGAAAAGATGCTGGAAAAGACCCTATACCAGAAATTTACAGGCCGGTGATTGAGCGCTTCTGGCCTGGACCGCTCACCATCATATTGCCGGCTCCTGAAAACTCGATCCTCGCTCCAGAAGTCACAGCAGGTCTTACTACCTTTGGCGCACGAATGCCACGCTCTATCATCGCCTTGTCCCTTTTGCGGTTATGTGGTCGTCCACTTGCTGCACCCTCCGCAAACGCGTCCACGCGACCTTCGCCGACCGCTGCGGAACATGTCTACGATGACCTCAACGGGAAACTCAATCTGATAATTGATGGTGGGCCATGCGAAGTAGGTGTAGAGAGTACGGTCATAGACGGACTGTCAAGTCCACCTGCAATACTGCGGCCGGGTGGTGTCACGGTAGAGCAGTTGCGACAATGTCCTGGGTGGGAGAACGTAGTCGTTGGGTACAAAGACAAGCAAGCGGAAGATTCGAGCAAACCACGCGCACCTGGAATGAAGTACAGGCACTACAGTCCGAAAGCGTCGGTGCTGTTATTTGAGGCAGGTGCAAGTCAACCCACACCTGACGAGCTGAAGAGTAAAAGACGCATTGGTATTATTCGGACCAAGAGCTGGGATAGTGTGCTGGGTATAAGCGCCGAGAAGGTGAAGACATCGGATGCGGGTGGTCCGGTACTCTGCGGTCCACTGGACACAGTATCTTTAGATGTCAACGACTCGTCGTCGCGCCTTTCAAATCTCCTGCGATCTGTCGCTCAACACCAAATACCGCATGCAGATCATTACGTCGTTAAGCCCGAAGCTGTTCAGGTGTGGGAAATCAATCTTGGCGCAAAAACAGAAGACGTTGCGAGAGGCTTGTTCTCGGCGCTGAGAGAGCTTGATAAGAAAGGCGTAGAAACCATCTTTGTAGAGGGTATTGACGATAGAACAGGTGATGACATTGCGGCAGCAGTCATGAACCGGCTCAGGAAGGCTGCTGAGATCAGGACGTGAGAGAAGGTTGATTATAGCGCATATGATGATTGAACGAAGAGACTTCCACTGTGCATCGTTCACGCCCCACTACTGATTGCTGTACGTCAATGTCCCGTAATACAAGACGTGTCCGCACATCAATGAACAATCAAAGGATGTACTTGAAAAGTGTGAACGTCTGTTTGCAATAAAGCGACTCTTCTGCAGCTCGTTACCTTCCTATCTTCTGCGATATATACAAAACCTTCTTAGTGTCGTGCAACCACATGAGTATTGCTGTCATGTGCAGTTACTACATGTATCTCTGCATGATCGCACTACTAGCTTACAGTACTATAGCCACACCCAACGACGAAGGTGCTCCTGACCCCATAGTTATCGGCCAGCGATCTCCAACTGGTATCCTTACCATGACGGTCTTTGTTACGGTTACATATACAAGCTACGTGACTGAAGCGCTGTCTGGCACCACGTCTCTCTCCTTACCATCCTTTACCTATGATCCCTTGCCGAGTTCCTTTGCTTCTGACGGTCTTCCAACTCTGGGTAGCACAACAACGACAGGGACGTTTGCTACGTCTACTAGCACTACTGGTCTGATGGATACAAGCACTACGTGCTCGCACACAATGCCCCATATTGTACCTGGCAATTCTAGTCTTCTATTGCCCTGGGTCCCAAAGTTGCCTTGGATAACGCCATCAGGAGGATTAAAGACTGTTTCATCGTTGCTTGTCACGTCTTTTAGTGCAACAGAATCACTTACTTCGTCAGTTTCCAACCCTGTGCCTCCAGCTCCTGTCGTCCCTAAGCCTGGTTCTTCCGAATTCAATTGGCCTATACACACCAACATCATATCGAGAAGCTCACCTATTAGTACTCTTCCAAGTACCGGTGCAGACACAACTGCGTCGATTCCTCTTCCTGAAAGTAATAGTACAACTACTGCTACTGCAAGTTCCTCATCGACCTCTGGAATGTCGGTCCACCCGCGGTGCAAGGCCAAATCTGTTCTATCACTTAACACCGAACCATCTATCAAGGCTCGCGACGCAGCAACCGGCGTAAGCAATATCAGTACTATTCAATCCTCCGCTCTCAATTGGAAGACTAGATATATGAACACGTCATCTTTCACAGGCGTGAAGATCGCAACACCGTCCGAAGAAAGCAAGGCGAGTAAAAGGCGAGTGAACCACTGGTTCCGCTTCTTCGCTGCTGCAGAGCATTCTGTAGGACGGATAGTGAATGAGTGCTTGGCATGCGATCGGGATGGAGAGGTTACGTGTTTGCCTGCTCGACGGTATATATGGTGTACGGATGGTTGTGCCATCACGGAGAAGCTGGGATGCGATATGGTGTGCGAAGATGGAGTTATACGTAAAGAAGGAGAATATTGCGTACGATGAATGTATAGGGCCTATATGTGTTGTATCCATAGTTAACGCATCGACTCCGCGTACAGCTTGCAGCAACCTTTTGTAGTCGTATCAGCAGGAATACCCCACTGTGTCTCATTAATATGTTCATTCGATGGGACTACATGCAGGATCGCCACTTAGCTATACGGTAGTGAACAAGCTTTCAGGGTCTCTATGCCAGCGTTTCGGTGCGACGATCGACCCAAAAAACCCGTTGAAGGCCGACTCGTCGGGTTGCGCCGTATACTCTTACCCCCAATGTTTCGAAACATGGCGTCGCTCGGCGAACCGCTGTTTGTCTTGAAACAGCTACCAAGGAGAACCACCTGTTGGGCCTTTCGGAGGAAAGCGATGCGATCGATCTCTAGACTTTTGCAGAGGCTAAGTTACCGTACCAGTAAAGATGCCTAGAGTGATCGACACTGTACGTCATGCTCATCGATCGCCGACATCTCCAGCGTGAGTATCAGGTCGCACACTTTGTATAGCCTTGAGCTCTACGCAGCATACTATCCTCTCATTGCACAAATCAGAATTATCTAAGGAACTGTGCGTGGAATACGCTCGGTGAAAGCATGTGCGAGGCGTTGTGTTCTGCCCAGGTGAGGCGACCTGCGGATTTTTGGACCGTGCTCACAGTCCAGAATCCAGAACTTGGAGGAAGTGGAGATCATTACGTGTGCTCGCGACGACCTATACTACCGCATCCTCGCTCTTATTCCCAGCCCAATGTGCCAGAATGACAAAAAATTGCAGAGGCGGGCATATGTCATTCTCTGCTGTTGGGAAATGAAGTTTGACACACCGGGCGCAGAGCGCATGCATTAGAGTGCGCAGGTTCAGCAGCGCTTATGCAGGAACCTTCTGTCCTATCGATAGGCTATATCGATAGCGCAGGGCAGTCGACTCTTACTGGATGCATGTTAGTGCTACCAACGAATGAGGTGCTTCGACGTGGAGAAGGGTGTCTGTTGTTCCTTTGACAAAATCGGGGAGACAAATCTCGAGCGCAATATCTGCATACACCAAGTTGATGACGCGCGCACGATGGAAAACCACGTTGCAACCTGATGACGTCGGTGGAAGCATCAGAGCGCAGACACACTGGGATCATCTCTCTGTCGGCACACAAAAGGAAAGAAAGACGTTCGGAACCCGACAGTGATAGGGATATGTCGGCAATCAGTACAAGGACCAGCCCATCGGAGCCCCAGCGCGTGGACTCCACGTTACTTGCAGGCGTGGTATGCAAGGACACCGCTGCTGGGCATTCAGGAACAAGAGCACCATGAATTGTACTCTCTGTCGATGTATCGCAAACGTGCAAACACAAGAATGCGTAACACATGTGCTGGGCTGAGCTGAGCTGCATGAGCAAGGGACCAGCTAGATACGACGCCGCGCGGAGGGCCTGCCGTGCCACCTGGGCTGGTATTTTTGCATCGGACCGCGTCGAATGTTGACTCGTCGATACGAGAAAGCCTCGTCAGCATCGCATACGCCTTGCCGACGACGTTCCATTCTTGGACCCCCCTTGAGTCGGGGCCCCGAACTCAGCAACGCTCAACAAACAGAAAGACGGCCATGGTTATGGGGTAGTCGTCGTCACCGCGTTGAAAATGGTCAAACTCCCGCAAAGGCGATCATACTTTCGGAAATGAGAGAGCCTGTGTCTAGAATACTCGATCAACCCGCGCGGTCTTTGCGCCGGCCCCACCCCTTTCGATTCCGCGAATACCAAGACATGTGAAGGATCAGTGGGCCTGTCAATATGTGGGGACTAACGCACAGCGAACATCAACACCAAATTCACATGAGCAACATATCTGACGGAATGGATTGAACATCTATCGATAGAGTAACCTGCAGGTGAAAAAGCAGATCAGGCACTGAGACACATGCAAACGGCATGAGGGCCCCCTGTTGGAGGGCGAGGGTGAGCGGGTGTACCTGAATGTGGCGGCTATGTGAAACGCACCGGCGCCATGCGGTAGCTAATCAAGGCTGGCCACAACCTTAGCGGCTGAGGCTACTTCTGACCTGTAAATGGCTGAAAGAGGCTATTTGCACCTGAACCCCTGGCTTACCCGCTTGCGCAAAAAGTTTGAGCTTGTGAAGGTCTAGGCAAGGGATCGAGCGCCCGAGTTCCCCGCGAACAATATATCAAGTTGAAAATCTCCCGCACCCCAGTGTTTTTTGTCACATCCTGATCCCTCAGACTCACACCCAAACACGGTCGTTGCCTGCCACTCCTTTGAGCATATCTGCTCGGTACATTCTCTTGTCGCTCTGACTACCACGTTCATTGTTCGACTGCCAACGAATACTTGTTTGCGCTCAGGTTAGCCGCATCTGCTTTTACTCATCGATACCCTACAATACAAGCAAGCGCAACGCAAATACCTAACCTGCCATCTTCAACAATCATCGATATGTCTGCCTCTGTCAAGTTTACCGGCCTCTTGGCCTTGGCCTCTGCCGTTGCAGCTGTTCCCCACTACCAGCACAACAAGTTCCACCACAGGGCTGCTTACCCAACCGGCGGATGGGGTGGTGCCTACAACAGCACCGCTGTTGCTGGTGCTACCGGCACTGGTGTCTACGGTGATGACAAGACTACTACCCTGGACACCACCTCTACCTCCACTGCGACTGAATACTCAACCATCTACGTCAAGCCTACCGGCCTTGCAGGAGACAACAACAAGGGAGTCGAGGCCGCTGATGCCTCCACTGGTGTCTGTGGCGCAACAGTCACCGTCACTGCCTCCGAGAAGGTCACCGTTACCGTCACTCCTGGCGGTGGCGCTGGTGTCCCCACCTCATCTCCCGTTGCCGCTGAGTCCTCGGCTGACAACGGATACGGAGCCAGCTCTCCGGCTGCTGAGTACCCCGCCGTTACCCCAACCAAGGCGGCTTCTTCATCTGTTGTCGAGACTCCTGTCGAGACTCCCGTAGCCGAGACCAAGTCCTCAGCCGCTGCTGGTTACCCTGCTGAGACCCCCGAGGCCTCTGTCTCATCCAAGACTCCAGAGATCACCGCATCTTTGATCCAGAAGCCCGTCGCAGAGGCCAGCTCCGCTGTCTCTTCTGCCGCTCCTTCTCCCACTGCTGCCACTGGCAACAGCTACTCCGGTGTCAAGCGCGGTCTCGCCTACAACGAGGCTCACCTCTGCACTACCTTCGGCAGCAAGTTCGGTTTCGGTTACAACTGGGGCCAAACCGAGAGCAACGACATTGGAACTACCTTCGTTCCCATGATGCACAGCCCTAGCAAGTCCAGCGCCGAAGAGTGGCTCGCCAACGTTGACAAGGCCGTCGAGAAGGGTTCCACCGCTGTCATGGGCTTCAACGAGTGCGACCACGCCGAGCAGTGCGGTATGGAGCCCGAGGCCGCCTGCGCCGCCTGGAAGACGTACATGAACCCTGTCAAGTCGGCCCACCCTGACGTTACCATCGTCGGTCCCAGTGTCACCAACGGCCAGGCCCCAATGGGTCTCGACTGGCTCAGCCGCTTCAACGACTGCTGCCCTGACGCTATCGTCGACGCCACCAACATCCACTTCTACGACATCTACGACGAGAAGACCATCGACCGCTTCCAGGCTCAGGTCGAGAAGGCCGCTTCTCTCTCCGGAAAGAAGGTCTGGATCACCGAGTTTGGTCTTAACCCCGGCTCTGCTTCCGAGGAGCAGGCTGCCAGCTTCCTCAAGGACGCCATGGCCTACCTCGATGGCTCCGACAAGGTCCAGGGTTACTCCTGGTTCATGGTTGGTGACGGTGAGAACCAGCTCAACTCTGGCAACGGCCTCTCGGCTGTTGGCAAGGTCTACGCTGGTGCCGCTTAAGCGCCCTTTTCCCTCTTTCTCTCTTTCATGAGACGGGCGGTTCTGGCGTTTCGTGGTTAAAACTTCTGTTTGTGTGTATATTTTGGGACTGGTGCAAATATCCTGGGACAGGCTTTGTTCTCGCGGACATACACGGGATAGAACGAACGACGCGCACTCTGATGCAAAACGATCGCTTCACAATATTGCTTTTTTGTTTAACTTCTAGTCACAAGGATGTTTGAGAAGATGTAGGAGGCTTGGTGTAGCGATATGAGACAAATAGAAGACTGTTGATATTATGCATGCCTTGTTCTGTACGCACTGTGATGTTTTGAAAGCTGACCTGGTTTTGCCTCACAAGAACTATTCTCCTATGCTGCGCTAACCCAGAGACGCATGGTGTCGTTAGCATATTGCTTCTTCACGAAGCACTGATGTCGTAATCTCAATCACTCTTGTCGTAATCACGTTGAAATTGCGTGGACAGCAAGCATAGCTCACGTCCGCCTCACTGGCGTACTCAAGTGGCTACTTGTAAGACTAATTATGTCTTTTCAAGTACACATACCCTCCGGCCGCAGTTTCAACAATCTTTCCCGGCTCCAGAACACTTCCAGTGACAGATCATGCTAACCCCCAGCGATACTTGCATACAATACCTCCCGCCAGGATCTCAATATTCTGTCAACCTATCCTGATAATGATAAGCTTCTTCTTGTAGTTGCTCACAGCACATAATGTACTATTCGCTCCAAATATGAAGTCATCCCCAAAGTCTGCAGCACCAGTTAAGCCAGTATTCAGGGTCATGGCTGCGTGACAATCTTACGGCCTGTAGCCTGATGAAGTGATGGGAACATGATATATGCCAACGAGATCTGAGTTACTGAAGTACAATCATGCATGGATCTTGACAGCGTTGACGCCGAATCCCACTGTAACAGTCCGCTGTTGCGAGTAGGCCTTCCGTGCAGGGTTGTCAGCGGTTTCATTGGTATTAGTTCTCCTCACGTACCGTAATGATGATCGCGATATTCCACTTACGTATTTTAACGTGAGGTAAACAGTCTATACGCCTACCTAAGGTGTTGAATACAGATCATTAATATGGAAGTTATGCTGTGAGAGATATAGCGTGTGATCTTTGGCAACGCAAAGCTGGAGAGCCACAAGAGGATTCTGCCGACCTTCCAATTCTCCAGATAAGCAGAAATACTTCTAGAACTCGTGGGTTTTGTGGGAGTGTGCAGTTCCCTTGGACACGAACATGTTGAAGTATAGCTCAACATCCCCGCACCTACCGCTCCTTACCCAAGCACTATTAGAAAAACTTTACACTTCCTTCAAGAAGAACTTACTCCACTCTACTACAAGAATGTATGTATAGAGTTATATGTATACAAATAGTGAAGCCAGAAGCTTTCAATACTTTGAAGCTTGACAAACTTTGGAATTAGTAGCGGATGTAGACTACAGGCTAAGGCATGTTGTTTTCATACCTCTCTAGTTCATTTGCATGCGGTAGAGTTGAAGTTAGATTCGTAGCCCCACAAGCAAGCCCCACATCTCATGAGTCGACACTTCCAGCTATAGTCCACATGATTTGCGTACGTGCAAGACATTAGCGTCTTTGAACGATTAATATGTATATATTATGACCTTAATCAAGTTTTTCCATCAAACAGTATCAATCTCCGGCACTTTGGCGGAGTGGTTAACGCGCTGGCCTGCTAGTCCTCTGTATTGAGGGAAGTTAGCCAGTTCCTTCGGGAGCGTGTGTTCGAATCACACAGGTGTCGCTTTGGGCGTTGTGGCGGAGTGGTTATCGCGCAAGACTAGAAATCTTGTTCCTTCGGGAGCGTCAGTTCGAATCTGGCCAACGTCGTCTTTTTTGCATCTAGTGATGGCCCTCTAGGTTGGGGCTGCTTGCTGTCTACTCTGTGAAGTTTGACCTTTTTTTGCGTTGCAGTGTTATGCCATCATTCACAGACTTTGAAGCTCTAGGCTAACACTAATCTGTCAACGAACAGAACTGTGAAGTATATGTTGCCGTACAGAAACATAGGTTACTCACAGTTAGCATACGTTGATGGTTGATCTCAAGACCTTTTGATATGTAGAAACCTTGGCGACAACAGCATTACTTCATATATTTATCGATATTATTTCCATACTGCCTCTCGACTACAGGCTCTCACTTAGTCGATTGTGCAAATGACCTTGCCTTTCGTCTTGTTCTCTTCCAACAACCTGTGGGCATCCTGCACCTTCTCCCACGGCAAGACCTTCTCGATGAAGAGCTTGAACCGTCCGTCCTTCATCCTGGGCAACGCATGTTCCACAAGTTGGTCCCTGAGCTTGCCCTGGTACTCTTCATCTCTTGATCGTAGACTGCTTCCGACAAAGGTGCACCTCTTCCTGATGAATGCGCTGATATCCGTACCCTCTGGCACCTTGGTTCCACCCATGAAGCCTAGATTGACGATGATACCGTCCTTGGCAATTGCATCAAGGTTGTTTTGGAAGTATGATGCGCCGATGAAATCAACGATGATGTCTACGCCCTTGTTGTCGGTAGCCTCCATTACCTCCTCGACCCAGTTCTGAGATGTTGTGTTAAAGGCGGCAGTTGCGCCGAGTTCTTTCACGGCAAAGTCGCATTTGGCATCTTGACGTGCGGTTGCGTAGACGGCGGACGCCTTGTCGGCGAGGGACAATTGGATACCGGCTATCGAGACTGAGGAAGCGGCTGCGTGCCAGAGGATGGTCTTGCCGGCGGCAAATTGACCGACGAGATACATGGCTTGAGTCGCAGTAATCCATGTCTACGAAGTCTTTGTTAGCAGCTGATATTCCACGACGAGCTAACATATTCAGGATCCTATGGGAATAACTTACTTCAGGAATACCAGCGCATTGCTCCCAAGTCAGTTCCTTTGGCTTCCTGACTAGCATGTGTGTTGATACTGCAATGTACTCGGCATAAGCTCCTCCATATGCCAGACCGAAAACCTCGTCTCCCTCCTTGAAGCCCTCCTTGCCTCCACCCTCTGCACTCAGCTCTGCAATTGTGCCTGAGAACTCCACGCCAAGAATCTTGGAAGCGCCAGGCGGTACAGGGTACTGTCCTTCGCGCTGCAGCAAGTCCATGCGATTTAGACCAAAGGCTTTGATTTTAACGAGCGCTTGCGACTTTCCAAGTTTCGGCTTGGGGATGTCGGCGATGTGGAGGTTTTCGATTGGGCCTTTGCCATCCTTGATGTCTTCATGCATTTAGCTACTTCAACTTGTGGAAATATGAGTATGCTTTACATACCTACTGCGCGCATAGTGTCGCTCATCGTGGTGATGTAATAGGCCTTGCTGGTCGAGAAATGCAATTCTAGGGTACTGTGATGTGGGCGGTGCGCAATTGTGATCCGTTAAATGTGATCAGAAGTATTGTCAGAATGTCAGAAAGGTCAGAAATTCTTATGGGAATTGTATGCATAGTCTATCCCGAGGCCGTTCCAGCAGCTACGGAATGATTGGTAATGACGTTTGTAGAGGGGCAGCTTCACGAGTCATGGAGCTTAAGCTATGGTGGGGTGGTGTCGGACAATATAGGCCACGGGAATAACACACACATATAGGTATCTCGTACGATACAACTGTCATTCGTACGAGTGCCAGCAGAAAACATGAAAGATGTTGATATGCCACATCGGCATATAGTGAAACTCGCTGACCGCATAATGCATTTCTAGTTATTATTGCACTAGAACATTGGCCGTCTGAACGTCCGTATACCGTACTTTTTAGTTAACGAACAAGCTGTCCTCGTTCAGATCGTACTGTTTAATGAGCTGAGCGAGCTTGTTGGCCTCCTGGGCATAGTTGAGCTTATACAAGTTCAGAACCTGGTATCGCGGCCTGCAACATGTTAGTGGGTATTGAATCAACATCTCACACTGCACTTACTTTGGCTGGTCCTGATACGTCTCCATCTTAGCCCGCACTCGGAAGTTGAACGTCTTACATGTCGCCTCTTGCATGGCATTCATGAAGTTTGTTGTGCCATTCTCGTCATCATCCATCTTGATCTTCATGGCTTCATTCGCTGACATGCCAACGATGTCTTGGCCAGCTTCATCGAAACAGCTGAGCCACAGCGTGCCGGTGTGATCACCAACATTGACACTCAACACATAGCGGTATTGAGGCTCAGGGAAGGCCTTCTGGCACTTCTCACACCACCAGGAACCAGGGTTCTCTTCAATGACCTTTTTGTTGCAGCCTTCCGTCGAGCACGCAGGATAGGCGACTGTAGTGTTTTTGACATACAAGACAGACGCCCGAAGACTCATGTATGTGGGTGTGTCTTGTAGGTATGCCTCCTCCTCTAGGATCGCTGAGATGGCCTTTGCTTCGTTCTTGGACCCACCAGCAGCCGGAGCCATGTTTTGATGCGTAGAGAATGTGGCATTCTGCCCAGCAGCGTTGTACCATCCTCGCAGCTTATGTGCCTCATCAATGTCTGGATCAACCATCATAGTACCGGAGCTCAGCAGACTTAGACTTCGTCCGCCAAAGTCGGAGACCTTAGCACCCTTGAAAGCAACGATCGACTCCAATGGCGCTTCGAAGGTTTCAGCAGTTTTGCCCCAAATAGTGAGCCTGATCGATGTCTGACTGTCATCGGCTAGCGTCAGCTCGCGCTTGCTGTAGTCCTTGTTGGTGTTCTTGGATGTTATGGTAGTAACCTCCGCAACCTCCTTCAGGACACCAACAGTATCAATCGTTGCATCCTTTTCGACGTCGGCCACGTCAGCAATCTTGGTGAAATTGAATCGTATTTGTGGCTTGTTTTCCTGGTCTTCTGCCTTCTCGACTTCAGTCTCGCGTTCGAATTGCAGTTCGTAGTCGTTGGGCAGATTGGAAAATTGCTTCTTCGCAAGCGTGACTCGACAGGGTGCTGAGATGTAGTATACGGTGCCTACTTCGAAGACAGGATACAGCTTGTCAGCGACTTCGGTGAAAGCAGTCGCTCGGATCTCGCCGGTATCGTCCAAGAGGTTTACGCTGAACAGCTTGCCAGCCCCCTTCTGGTTGTGCCATTCCTTCATGTCGCTCTTGGCGGTGCATCGCGCGCGGATAGTCCACTTGTGTGCGTATGGCGATAGAGATTCGATAGGGTAGAGGTTGGGGTGTGATGAAGTACCGGGGTTGCTCTGGTGAGTAGGAAGCGACCGCTGGGGCTGTGGAGCGGGTGCCGTTTTCGATCCGTAGAAGTTGTTGCCTGAAATGGCCGCGGGCTGCGCTTCGGCAGCCTTGGTGTCAAGAGCTTCGGGTTGGCCAATTTTGTCGAGTTCGCCGTATTGTGCCAGGACCTCGAGTTCCATGATGATCAGGATGCTAGCAATAGTCAGAAGAGTTCTCGCATAACAGTGCGGAGCACATACTTTTTGTCCTTGACACGCTGGGGGTTGTACTTGAGCAGACGTACTATCGACCCTTTCTTAAGCTGACCAGATGTGACAATGTCGTTGGCAGCTGCACGTCGTTAGCCACGGTCTTGCTGTGCCTACGCTTGACATACTGGTTGCGATCATAGTCTGGATGAAGTTGCGGATGTCGCTCAAAACAACGCGAAAGCGCTGCACTGGGTTCGCCTCGCCCGCCTTGGGCTCCATCGTCTTGATCTGTACGCATTGCAGGATCGGCTGGTCTACGAAGCAGCCGCTGGGCTGAAAGATGCTCCTATGTGATGTTAGCAAGGGACGTATAGTGGAACATGTCGTTACCTACTGAATAGCGCCTTGCGTGATTGCTCCCTCTGCCATTGTGACTGTGATGTATGTGTGGGTGGGTGGTGTAGAGATGGCGTGTGTGGGTGGCGGCTCAGCGAAGTTCAGAAAGCGCGTCGACGCGTCTCGCCACGTGACTCTTTGGCCCCGCTCTAACCTGATGCACGTCTCCCAAGGCTGGGGTGGCTGTGCGGGGCTACGTAATTAGGCTTGGACCCTTCACAGCTGCAGCTCGTTCAAGACAGCTTTCAACCCAGTCAACAATCACAACCACTCAACTTAGAAACATCATGGCGGACAACGACATTGCCACGCGTGCGCCCGAGAGCGATGCGCAGGAGACTTCCCAAGAGCAGCCCCAAGAGCCAAAGCCAGCAGAGGAGAGCGTCTTTCCTGGAGACACCAGAGCGCAACAAGGGCCAAGTATGGGTGTAAGTCAAGTCTCTTGCTCTCATGGGCAATTGCATACAGCCAGATTCTAAGTGGCCAGGAACACTGCACAACAGATCGTCCTACCCCTTCTGGCGAGAAGCCCACCGGTGACCTTACGAAACTAGGCGGCGTTGATTGCTACATCGCGAAACCGGCCGACTACCCACATTCACCCTCGAAGCTTCTACTTATGCTCACCGGCGGCACAGGCGTCAAGTCTACCAACAACCAGTTGCAGGCTGACAAGTACGCATCGGAAGGTTACCTGGTCGTCATGCCTGACCAATTCGACAACGACCCAGCGCCGAATACTGTTGATATGACAGAAATTCCAAAGGAAGCGTCGTGGCTAGAGTCAGTGAAGCTGAGGACTGCCGAGGGTATCAAGTCATTCATGATCGACATGTGGCTTGCTCGTCATACCCCAGAGAAGGTCCTTCCGCTACTTCACAAAGTTGTCGAGGGTGCAAGGGAAGAGTATGCCGACGCTGTTGCCAACGGTGGAGGCATGTACGGTGTTGGCTACTGCTTCGGCGCCAAATACATCCTTATGTTGGCCTCAGAGCTGCCCGACACCGTCGCCTGGGGTCAAGAAGCACAGAAAGATGTAGAGCAAGGCACGGTCAAGAAAGAGCCGGTTCTCAGAGCTGGTGCGGTTGCACACCCAACCATGACATACAAAGAGGACCTTGAAGCTGTCAAGTCTCCCGTCTACATTGCCGCTGTCAAGGATGATCCCATGTTCTCCGAGGACGAGGCATTGACACCTGGACGAAGAGCCATGGAAAACAACAAAATCGAGCATGAGATACAAGTCTTTTCCGACGTGCCTCATGGCTTCGCCGTCTATGGAGATTACGAGGACTCCAAGATCAAGCAGTCACAAGCACAAGCTTTCAGTCAGATGCTGGGTTGGATACAGTCTCACTAGAGCTGTTTTTGTAGTGCTTGGAAGTGCTTCGGCACATCTTTTAGTGTTTTCGGAGGCTTCTCATCGCTTGATTATGTTGGTGAATATACCATGGCGTTCCGGTGGGTGGGAATGACGAAAGCCACATTCGAATCTTATCCCGGTAACAACTTCGATGGACTTCAAAAACTTGTGCGCATTTTTCATTCCTTAGCTCTTCTATCCTCAATCATACTTCTCTTATTGCATCCGCTATAGTGCGATCAACGGGCCAATCGCTCCCACATTGCCCAAGATCGACACGCGGCAATCTGTAAGTAGGTGATACTTGGCTTTTAGTGTGTCAACCGCTTCTCTTGCGCCCTATCTGATGAAGACTTGTTTTTTGGCTTATACAAATCGACAGAAATGGCGTGATCAGGCCCTGCAACAATCTGTATGGCTAATTACACCCATGAACTGATCCCTGCTTCGATACTATCTATCCGAATGCCATGAACTCATGTGCAGAAATCCAATACTGCCGCGTTGACCGGGAGTAACAGAGCTCTTGGCTTGCGAAAGAATACATATAGAACAGAGATAGGAAGAGTGTCGTTGACTTCTCAAAGTTAAGTGGCTCATCTTCTACCGCCAACATCATGTATCCATCACTTATACTGACCGCCATCTTTTTTCAATGCCGTCATGTCGCTAGTCTTCGAATTGCAAGCTCTCTCTTGTGGATCGAGCACACACCTCAATCCTACGCCATCGAAAACTTTTACAATGGAAGCACACCTCCGACGCTGTTGTCTGGCGGTGTAGCTGACCTCGCCTCAAACGTAACTTTCGATCTCGGCGCCAACGCAGAAACACAGGGTCTCAAACAGTACGCCAATCATCGCGACATTCGCCTGATCTATATCATCTGCGAAGTCCCGTACCGCCTTGTTGCCGACAAGCGAAAAGGTATCGCTAAACTTGAAGATCTGAAGGGCAAGAAGATTGGCGCATTCCCGGTATCGAGCGCAACAGTGTTCGTCCACAATATGATGAGTAGTGTTGGCGTGCAGGATTACGAATACGAGAGATACGAGACTGTCGACGCGATGTTTTGTATGAAGGCTCCGTGCAAAGACAGCGAACTTCCGAACCTGCTCAATAACGGTAGCCTGGATGCGTACGGAATGTGGGAAACATCTGTCGAGCTCGGCGCTATGGCTCTGGGAGACAACGCGATAACCTCTCAAAACGCATCAATATACAGAGAAGTTTATGCGCTATACTCTACTACAGAGGCTCTGAACGACCCATCCAAGCGTCAGGATATTGTAGAATTTGTGAGGGCGCTCGAGAAGACGCTGGACGTGTTCACGCATCACCCAAAAGAGAATAAGGTATTCGACTTTGTGGCTAAGGCCGTTGGTGCAGATGCGGAAGTTGTAGAGGCTGTTTGGGATGATCATAAGTGGGGTGGACGTTGGGATGATCGACTGATAGACTTTTTGGTAGAAGAAGACAAGTATCTGGCAGAACAAGACAATAGGACGGTCACCCCAAGGACGGAGTTGGAGAAGTTTCTGGACTTGAGTATCATTGATGAGTTGTAAAGGGGGAATCCAATTCAAGCAGGTTTGCTTGGATCAGGAACTTGCAGTCTGGTTTCGACTTGTATGCATGTGATTGTATCATGTAATCTAATCCTAATAGATACTATAGTCTTCAGAGAATGCATGTGGGAAAATGTTCCACTGACACAGAGGCACCCACCAGCTGGACCCTGCATGACTCGCTTCCCAATAAATTTCCTAACCCCTCAACTACCCCTCCGAATACATTACTAGAAAACAACTTAAACGTCCAACAAAGTAACAATGGACGATCCGGAATTCGATACTCAGACAGATCTACAGACACAGAGCATTTTGCTCGCCGCTGCAAACCACGATATCGCCTCTCTTCGCAACCTTCTTCGCAACTCTTCCGCAAACGTTCAAGATTCCGAGACCGGCTTCACACCTCTACACGCTGCGATCGCTGCTTGTGAGCCCGACGAAGATGACGCGAAGCATACCAATGGAGGCACGAACGGAGACCTACCTGAAGAGGGCAAGGATGAGATGAGCAGCGCTGTGAAGACCATCAAATTTCTTTTCGAGAACGGCGCGATATGGAACGACCTGGATTCAAATGGCGAAACACCGGGATGCATAGCGCATAGACTGGGCCTGAAGGAGCTGTATGAGCTCTGCGTTGACGCAGGTGTGCGTGCAGAAATGCTGCTGAGTCGCATGGAGCAATACCAACTTCTTGGAGACGATGATTCAGACGAAGATGATGACGAAGAAGATGAAGCCGACGAGGTAGCTGAAGATGTCGAGGTAGTGGATATAAGCCAAGAAGAAGCGCAGGGCGATGAATCTACCGAGAACCCAAACTATCTTTCTTCAAAGCTCACTTTCGACCGCGACCGATTACTGGATGACTCTTCGAACGGAGTCATGATGGAGTGGGAGACAACTCTCATGCGCAGATCCGCGGAACTGCTGGTACCGACAGAAGGGCTTCGTGTCATGAACGTAGGTCACGGTATGGGTATCATAGATGGTATCCTCCAAGACAAGAAGCCAAAAACTCATCACATCATTGAGGCGCACCCGGATGTTATCAAGCGCATGAAAGAGCAGGGATGGCATGAGAAGCCAGGTGTTGTCATTCATGAGGGCCGCTGGCAGGACATTGTACCAGGTCTCGTCGAAAAAGGCGAACTATTCGACGCTATCTACTTCGATACATTCGCCGAAGAGTATAAAGCACTACGCGAGTTCTTCACAGAGCATGTCATTGGACTCCTTGATCCTGCTGGTGGTTCCGACGGCGAAGGAGGCAAGTTCGGATTCTTCAACGGCATGGGAGCAGATCGCCAAATTGTCTACGATGTTTACAACAAGATTGTCGAATTTGATCTTTTCGAGGCCGGCTTCGACACAGAGTGGGAAACGGTCGCCGTGCCTGATCTGGATGAGAAGGGTGAATGGGAAGGCGTGAGGAGGAAGTACTGGGTACTTAATGAGTACAAGCTTCCAACATGCACTTTTATCGGTTGATGGGTTAGGGATGCCTCGTACGAATGAACATCGATAAAGAGTAAGATTGGAGTTTTAATCGTACGACTATCACAAAGTAAATCAGCTCCGTGAAGCGATTCTACTGAGTCGTACTCCGGAACACCGCGCTGAAACAAGATATGACAATCACTAGTTGCCATTCACCCCGTCCATCAGACCATGCATCTGCAACAGCTTGTTATATCGACTCTGCTGCGGTTCAACAAGTTGCTTTGCTGCCTCTGCTCCTGTAACAGGTAGCGCTTTCAATCCGTCGTTTTTCAACTTCCTCGGTACCATCTTAGGATCTAGTAAGCCAACCTGTACAAGAACAGAAGCTTGATCCCAGTACATGTGCTCCGAGACCAACTTGTCTCCTCTTACCGCCACGATACTGACCATGGGTATTTCCACTCGCTTGTTCGTTGGTGGTACACCTGGCAATACCCAGTCAATCTCGTCCGAATGTGTAAACGACACAACCATCTCGTCTACTATACGATTGACACCCATGGTCCTGGAGACCAACCGTATGGAAAAGTCTTCTACCAAGCTAGGCACAAAGAATTCTCCATAGAATTCCGCGAGCTTCTTCCTTCCCACACCTCCCTGCATTGTCGGCAATATTGTCACGTGTGGGCTGTCTTGCGTCATATTCTTTACGACACTCATGCTCGCGCGGTCCGGATCATCGTCCTCAAATCTCGCATTCCAATGACTCAGCGCAATCGGTTCAAGGTCCACATTCTTGCCAAACCCTTTTCGCACACATGCTAGCGCTCTTGTCCACGCCAGGTTGGCTTCTACCTCTGAATACGCTTTTGACGATGGGTCTGCGAAACCTGTGGCACTCTTCTCGTACCGATATAATTTCCATTCGCACATATCAGGTCTCGGACTAGCCTGGCTTAACCCTGCGACATGGACTTGTAATTGATGCGAGTTTGGATACATGGTCTTCGGGCTGGGCAACAAGCTCGGATAAAACGCTATGATCGCACAGCATTTCGCCAATGGTTTCTGGGCTGTTTTCAAGACGACACTGGCTGCGTCGCCGTAGGCTATTATCGCGTAGTGTTCGCCTAAATTCAGGGTTTCGGATAGTTGTTTAAGGGTTCGTATATAAGCCGCTTGAGTTTGTGTATTAGGATCGTAGGGAAGATATTGCGCGTCGTAGCCTTCTTCGCGCCAAGATAAAAGCGCCTTTTCTGGTGCTGGCAATGCGCATGTTAGGTATATGCGCGATGGTCCAGAGTTGAATTTCAGGAAACCGCCTGTGCCGGGTTTGTTGTCAAATGATGTTATAGACATGCTGGGCAACGTGGAGAACGAGTAGCTAGCGAGGCGTTACCGAAGACGAATGGAAGGTGAACACAACCGTCTCGATATAGTCGGCAAAATTAGTAGATTCCACTCAGAATGCGGGTGGCTGGGGTTTCAACGGCTTTTAATTTCCTGCTTCTCCACCACAAGGCGTGGCCCTGGCTTGCTCCCGGCCACATGCGACCAAGTTTCACGAGGAACGCGAGCTTGAGACGATGCAGTATGACGTCATATTCAAGATTTCGAGTGGGGCGCTCGCGTGGCATGCCTTTGCGAACAACCCGACTCCTGCAAGTCTCCGAGTCCAACAACTCACCATCGACAGCAAGATACAATGTCATTCTCTAGCGACAAGCGATCATAGTGGAGATCTGAGATCCAGACTCTACATTACTTTCTTCAGCCTACAATTTTGACAGGATCAGAGACCACCAAGCGATCAACCCATGTTCTGCCAGCTTGAAAGGATTACTATTCAAGGATTCGGCAATCAAGAACTATACGCCTCCACTCTGTGTCCAAGATGAAAAGAAAATAAACCATATAAGGATTCCGCCTCTACCTCATGGTCATCTTCGCACTCGCTTCTCTCTTTAAATCTGGACAAGAACCTCTTACGTGTTGTTTCGGAACCTACAACGAACTAACAATGACAAGAAACTGATACGTAGAAAAGAGTGCGATGGGACATAGATGCCACCATGCCTGTTAAAAGTTTGTGGAAACTGAGAATATGTCTCTAAATCCTACTCCCAATTTCATGGTGAGGAAAAAAATTGAAGGTTGTTCCACCACATACCCAGAGGAATTTGTGAACAGACCAGTTATCACTGACGAAAGCCGTTGGAGATAGAAACAACGCATATGCAATATTTAGACAGCGGGAAGCCCGGCATCATTTAGCACACAAGTTTAAAGCAATGATGTCTTTCGATCATGTCAACACAACAGCATCGGAAGTTTCATTGAAGACGGCCATTCTCACTATCGATCTAAAAGGGGAATCATATGGTTACTAGCTACTCGCATTTCGTCGTGATGGCACACAGCCTGTAGCTCGGAGAAGAAAATCGCACAACGCCGACGCCGCCTACCATGATGATGGCCATGACCATCACCAGACCGTACCTATACGTTTAGAAAAAGGCTCGCGTGTGACAGCATGTCAGTCTAGTACGGGCTGTTCACAATGTCATTCCGACCCAGATAGCTTCCTCGAACACCACTCCTCCTTGCAGCGCCAACACGACTCGGCATCGCAATACTCTCCCGCGTCGGTCGTTGCAAGGCCCTCTTAGCGACCATGTCTACTTCGTTTGGCAGCGCAACGATGAGGTTCTTGTCTGAACCGAACTTGAAGTTGTCGGCCTTGACCTCCTCGGCGTAGCGCTTGATATTGTATGGGTCTTTACGATTAGCAATAACCTTCTTAAGGCTCCAAGTGACGATGAAGGGACCGGTGGCAGAGATGATAGTGGTTTCCTTCTCGTCGAGGCCAGTGTTGAAACGTGCAGTGGTGAAGGAGATGGGTGCTTTGGTCTCGTGCTGGAATTGGGCGACATGGGCAGGTGTAAGGGCGAGACGGCGCGGTTGGGGTTTGTCGTCTTTGGCAAAGGACTTCTCGAAACCGAGTTTGCCGTCGTTCTTGCCGCCCTTCTGGAGGGCATCGATAAGCAGAAGGTAGGTTCGGGTAGTGGCAAGAACCCAGCGACCGTCTGCTGAGACGTCCATGCCGATGATAGGGTCACCGAGCGCGGGGATAAGAGTCTTAGCGTTGATACCGAGTCTGTCAAACAGACGGATATCTCCCTTCTCGGACGCAACAGCGATGTGGCCCTTCTCGGTGGTCGCGGCGGCGGAGAATGCGTTCTTCGTAGCATACTGTTTGAGCTGATCATCGACGAGCTTGTTGCCAGCCAAACGGGGATCAACACGGTAGAGCGCATTATCGGAGAGACCCAGGAAAGTCTGCTCGCCGCTCATTTGGGCAAATTTCTGCGACAAGTTAGTTTATGATCGCATGTATGAGATGAATTACACGTACGTTCTCTGGTGCAAAAACCTTGACTGGAATGTCGTCGTGCACCTTCCACTCATCTACAACGGTACCAGTCTCGAGATCCATTCGGTAGAGGTTGTTCGGGTTATCGAGATTCTGGAGAATCATATCACGATCCTGCTGATGCAGCATGACCTTGTTCGGGTTGAAAGCCTTGCCGCCTGGTGTCTTGATGTTCGAGATGGTCGTAGAGAACTGAAGCTGATTCTCGGGAGTGTGCTTGAAGACACCAATCTTGTTGCCACGTACAACAAACGACCTGTCGTGCTTGTAGCCAACCGCCAGCTGCGAGTTTTGGTCTCCGTCCGTGGGGCCAGTCTCGACGTCGTCTTCAGACTCGTCAGAGTCGTAGTGCTCGCTTCGCTGCTCGTTCGTGCTCTCATACTCGTCCTCTTCTTCCTCCTCTTCCTCTTCTGGCTCTTCATCTGGCGCATCCTCCATGGTCAAGTCTTGGAAGGCTTCCAAGACGTACTCTCGATCCGTATCCTTTGCCTTGCCCCATTTGACCTTGTTCAGGTGCTCCCACAAAGCTTGCATCACACCTTGCTGAATGTTCTCGAGGCCATCTTGATCCTCGAACTTTAGCAGCCATGAGTACGCTGAGCCGTCGTCTAGGTAGTGGTTGAAGATGAAGGACTTGTATTCGTAGTTGAAGACGGGATTGATGTCTTCGACGATGGGTTGTCCCAGCCACTCGCGCTCTTCACCGGCAATGTGTAGCCAGTAGTTCCAGTCCCCGATCTCGGTAACGGTAACACTGACTTTGGGGTCTTGCTTCATGAAGGTACCGGATGGGAAGTCAAAGAGGTGGAGCTCCGCCTCTCCTTCGACCAAGGTCTCCAGAGCCTGGGGCTGAGTGGCAGACGGTGGCGCGGCCGTAGCCTCCTCCTGTTCTGGGACAGTGCCCTTGCCTGCGACCTTCTTCGCCATCTTCTCCTTGGTTGTGTTGGGAAAGAGCTCCTCGGTGGTCGGTGGTTCGATGGGAAGGGCACGGGCAGTGGATAGGGTCGGGCTGGTGACGGGGCTCGCGTCGGGGATGGGCTCTTCGTAGTATGCTAGAGCGGCAAGATCGTCTTCGGTCGCGTGCTCGTGGCTCCTTCTGAACTTCCTCTCGTACTGGCACTGCAGAGCAACGCGCTCGAATAGCGAAGCAGTCTCGGGCTTGACTGACCGGTCGCACACAAACTCCCAGAGGTCGTCGACGTCACCGCTGAGGTCGCGCCACGCAAAGATCTTCTCGCCGGTTGAACGAACGTCGTCGCGAAACTGCAGGTCTTCGTCGAGCAGGAAAGTCTTTTCGTCCTTGTCGCCTGCGAGCGCGTCGAGTGCCGCGTCCTCGTTCTCCTCTGCCAACAAGTCCTCCTCGCCTTCTGCGTATGCGCGCTGGATAACGAGCTGGTACTGGAACTCCTGCCCGGTGCGGCGGATGGTCGCCGTTGCGTCCGGGAAAATAAGCTCGCTGTATCCCTTGACAGAGCGGGGTCGGACGAGGTAAAGCTGGCCCTGGGCGATCTCGACGATGGTTTCCTTGGAGCTGTCACCAAAGACAAATTTACTGACTGGTGGTACGGATTAGTGTCGTCTCAGCAACGGTGGGGGAGGGGCAGCGGGACGGCAAGGAGAAACAGAGCAAACAAAGCTGCAGGCGGACTTACGGTTTCGGAGCATGAACATGGCGACGAGTGCTGAGTGGCGGGGCAAGCAAGAGCTAAGCCTTCATTTAAGCTCAGAGGAAAGGCGCACGCCAAAGTCCATCTAGGTGAAGGCTAGGGTTGTTTGCACGAGTTATGATGATAGGCACCAGGGTCTAGGCAAACACTCGCTTAGCGACGTCATGGGTAGGGCTGAGGACAGGCCCTCACTTCCACAGCGGGTAATGTATGTAACAGAGCACCTCTCTCAGCGCGAATGGAATCTCATTCAATTGGAATCTATTAAAAACATGATTCTGGAACACAGGACAGCCTGTCCCTTGCAATACAAAAATAACCCCCCAAAGGCGCCTCTCGCTCATCATTCACTAATATCGTTTGCGCGACAACGTTCTTGAGACACGCCTAGCGTCATGTGCATTATCAGGTTTTTGGGGCAGCCAAACTGATTAGATGCCATTCAAGACGAGAGTCTGATCATTATCTCCGGCTTTTGTAAGTGGCAACGCTACAGATCGCTGCGCAGGTCTGGGTATCATGACTTTTGTTTCACTTTTTAACTTCTCTTTCGCCACCTCACCTCTTCACGGCGATTTCTGCGCACCCCACACGATGCTCTCCATAAGTGCATACGGTGAGGAGTCAAGGTCCAGTCCGAGCAGTGGTGATTGCGAGAACATGTTCTCAGCGTCCCCGTTGAGGGCGTTGTTGATGTCCTGTGCAGTAAAGACGTGCATCGTGGGGGAAGCCTGTGAGCCCGCTTCACTCGCCTTCCGGTTGTGTGTTGTGGTGATCCTCAGCAGCCGCTCCAAAGCCGAGACGGACCGTGTAATGGGCGTGGCAAGCTCCGCGGGGTCGACGTCCTTTGTGACATCCGTAAGAACTTGAATCACGTTCTGCAACAAACTGCGCGCTCGTTCGTTGCGGTTGTGTTCGCCAAGAATACCGAGGAGCAGAGCAGAACTCAGGGAACGATGCACAGCGGACCAGGAACGAGTTGCGAATGGCGTCATGTTTTGCAAACCGAGGAAGGCTTCGACAGTGTTGGTAAGGCTGTCGATGCATGTCTTGCGCAGAGTCTTGGAGAGATCGAGATTGACAGTGGCTGGACTGATGGCTGGTCGACAGAGCTCAGATGTGACGTACGATATGTGCAGGTATAGCGCCCAGTGTTCGAGCTGATCGCGCATAGACCGGCATCTCCTAGAGTCTTTGAGATAGTCTGCAGCATCTATCATAATTTCTTGGAGTTCGTTGCGATGCTCAGTGATGCGTATCAGGGCGTCATGCGAATTCTGTGGCCTCTGGCGCTCACGCACTATATCCAGCCCTACTTTACAAAGTCTGTACATGCTCTCGACATATGTCCTTGTTCCCGGCGCTGTGTGCTGGCTCATGGGTACAGTATGATCAATGGTGGTCGTCGACGAGGCTCTGTCGTACGAGACAGACAGCAGCGAGTCCTGCCAAAGAAGCGCCCACCATGTCTTGCTTCGAATGACCCTCTGCTGCACTGGGGTGGAAGGGGGACATTGTCGGTGTAGTCCTAGTGTCTGCGAAAGGCGTACTGTCAAACCCATCAAACTCCAAGCGACTCCAGCATTCATGTTATTCGAGATGACGTTTCCGAGGATCAAAAGAGTCTGTATGTTCTCGATAGTCGCATGCGATAGAAAGTTTGTAAATCGTAAACATTCGAAGCTGCAACAGACGTAAACCTGCGATGTAAGCTCCCTCTCCCTTCGCGACAGACTCGAACATTGACAACCGGAAGCCAGTATGGCAAAGACCATGCCTATCCAATGGAAGTCTTTGCCATATATCTGCTGATCTGTGATGCCGTTGGTGCCTTGTGCACTTGCGCGGTTGATCAAGAAGAGCAGAAGATCGGATTCGATGGCCTCGATGTCGGCAACGGCGGGGTATACGGCATGTGCGGTCTCGCGATAGCTTCGAAAGAAACTGAGGCATTCGGAATCACTCGGTAACGCATTGGCAAGCTCTTGAGCGCGCGCTATAGATCCATGCGGCAGTCCCCAAAGATCGACAAAGGGATATGTAGCGCTCTCGTTGTCCAGGCCAAAAATTGGTAGCATGCTCTTCTTGCCCAGGAGATCTTGCACGCCCGGTGCCCACTGTGTATCTCCCCTCCCTAATGCCATGACGAGCGCTGGTACTGAGCTGGGACCGATGTGTATTGTCTGGCCGGTGATGTCGTTGCGCGTGTGTATGCCTTGGGTCCGGACGTGGCTCTGCTCGCCGTCCATGGGCGCTGCTGCTGCCAGAGGCGTGTTTCCAGATGCGTCGGCAGGAGAGAAGCCGTTGATCGGGGGCGGTATCTCTGCGACGCTGCCGACGGCGTTCTTCAAGTCACTGAGCGACTTTTCCGCCTGTTGCAGCTTGCCGCAGATGCGTTCCCAGTCCTCCCGGGGCAGGGTGACGGTGCCGCCATGGATGTGGACGATGCCATTCGAAAAGTCATGGCCGTTGTTCTGGCCGAGCCCGAGGTTTATTCGTTTCGCAGGCGGATGCGACTCGCTGGGCGGGTGGTAGGTACACAGCTCGGGGTGTTCGCGGACGACGCATGTCTTGCACGGGACGTTCTGGTCGCATTTGACCTTGCGCTGGCGACACGGGTAGCAGGCCTGTATGGTAGCAGAGAGTCAGCGCATGTTCGTGGGGCAGTAGCTCTGCCATGCTTGAATGCGCCGGGTCCTGTAGCCCAATTCGGCAATGCAGAGAGGCCATTCTTCCAGCGCAGACTATACTAAGGCTCCTCGGCCCTCACCACCTCGTCTTCTGCACGCCTTCGCATCTAGCGCACCACCACGGGCAGCCTACCTTGTACTCTCGCGCTTTCCGCTTGCGTCTCAGGATCTCGTCGACGTCGGCTCGTGGCGGCGTGTCTTGCATGAACCCATTTGTCGCGTTGGGGTTGTGCTGGTCCTTAAGCTCGTCCATGGTCGAAGCTCGGGGGAAAGTCGTCAGAGGTCTTGTCTGGGCCGGATAGTCGCGCTGGTGGAGTGTCGACTTGAGTCGGCCTTTCCGCTCGCTGGAGCCCCACTCTGCGCCAGGGTGCCCATCAGCCCTCAAGCTAACCCCAGCTAGTCACACGCCTAAGAAGCTTGACGCTCGCTACGAAGGAAATTACTGAGCCTGTTCATCGAGCATCCACTTTCTACACTCTGACCAGGGACTTGCCATCGTGTCCGCACTACCGTCGGTCGTATGACATCAACGTCAACAAGTCCATGCTTGCAATCTCAGCGTCATGCAACAACACTTCACTTGGTGGTCACAGCGGAACCGCATGCATATCGATCGAGCATGCATTCATCTCAGTAAAGATTACGAACAACTAACATATCCCATAAGCGCCTTCGAGAGTCTTCTAGTCCCAGGACCCCTCAGACGATCATTACCCGACGGGAATCTCCAAGCCTCCAACGCCTGCAATGCAACACACAACAATTAAAATCGAATATAACCTCCCAAGACCGACCTGCTAACTATGCTCCCTGCTTCTCTTCCTTGTTCTCCGTCTCCGCACTGTAGGCGTAATGAGAACGCGCCCGAATCCTTGCACCGTAAACGTAGAAGATGAAAGGAATTGCGCAACAAGCGAGACCGATGAAGGCAAGGAGTGAACTGGCCCACTGATCGCCCAGACGGTCGTACATCTGATTCGTAAACAAGACAGCGCCTGCACCCCAGAAGCTACGCAAGAACGTCTTCGCCGCTAGAGCTGACGCAGCCTGGTGCTGATACGAGTCGACGAGATAGTTGTTGGCCGAGTTGTACAGGAAGATGAAACCGAAGCCCACAGAGCCACCTCCAAATGCAGGTCCTGCCCAGTGCGTCTCTTTCTGGCTGGTCCATGCGAAGATAAAGACTCCAATGGGAATGAACCAGCATGAGAACATCATGGGGATCAGACGTGCTTCGGCTGGCGGGTGACCATTGTGCTTTTCCGATAACTTCATGTAGTGCTTGTTGACGAGCGGCGCGCAGGCAGCAGAGAGCAGCACACCGCAGATGAGTGGGATGAACATGAGACCTGTTGATCCTGCGCTCCAGCCCTTGCCTTTCTGGTAGACAATCGGGTATGCGACGAAAAACATGTATAGAAGACCGTACAGAACGGACATGTATACCGAGATCAGGAAGACGATGAGCTCGCGGAAGAGCAGCTGGAATGGACGCAAGAGGAAGAGCTGGAGGCGTTGGCTGAAAGGTCGCATATCGAGATCTTGTTCCGTGACGAACTTGTCGTCGCCCGTCTCCTTGCGCATCTTCTTCGCTCTCTTTGCCAGGATCTTAGGCGCATAAGTCTCTGGTACAGTAAATGTGATGAGAACCCAGACAATGGCAGAAAGGATAAGCTGGATCCAGTAAAGCCAGCGCCAGCCACCAGCTTGACTGAGGTAGCCGCCAACCAAAGGTCCGACACCAGGGCCGATGAACGGTGCGGCGCTGAAGGCTGCCATTGGGACACCTCTCTCCTCATTCCTCCACATATCGGCCAGTGTTCCTCCTACGAGCGTCATAGGTGCTGAGAACGCTACACCAGCGATAAAGCGCGTTACCAGCAGTGTGCCGATATTCTGTGCGACTGCTCCTGGAATAGTGAAGATGACTGCCAAAGCAAGTGTAACACCATATACTGGTCTCCTTCCCCAAATCTCTGACGCGGGAGCAAAAGCCATTGGTCCGACACCGAATCCAACCACGAAAAGCGTTATGGTCAATAGCGACACCTCCTCGCTAACCCCAAACTCCGCGCTCACACCCTCCAGATCCGCTGTGATGACGGCAGAGTTGAAAGCCACGGCAAAGCATGTCACTGCGACACACATGGTACACCACCACTTGTATGACTTGCTCCAATTCTTAGGGTTCTCCTTGTCGTCAATGGTAAACGTAACCAAGTCGTACTTCTCAACCTTGCCGGCGTTGGATCGAACCTCGCGGACCATCTGCCCCGAGATGGTTTCTTGTGTGTATTCGTCGAGGTTGGCGTTGTTGGAGAGTGTGCGGATAGGAAGATTGACCATGTCTTCGGCCGTCGGTGCGCGATGGAGAGGCACTGGTTTTTCGCCATTGAGGGTTGTGGTATCTGAGGATGATGAGGATGGGCGAGCATGTGTCGGGGCGTTAGAGGGACTGGCAAAGTCCCGTGAAAGAGGGAACTGTATGCCTTCGGTAGCCATGTTTGTCGTACAAAGACCTCGAGGTCTTGGGTTTGCGATGGAAAACGAAACGACAAAGTTGTTTGGTTGTTGTGAACAGGCTGGGTAAGAGTACTCAATATATAGGGAGTATGCCAATCACCCCAACAAAAGTAAAAGATCGACCACTATTGTAATAGTGGATTCTTGTATCCGTAGCCTGGTTGCCTGATAAAGAAGCAGGAGTCAAACACCAGGGTTGTATTACAGCGAGTATGCGAATACCGCAGAGTGATGCAATCTGAAAAGCTGATCTCTACACAGGGTCCAAACATGACAACAAACATCCCTCCTATATATACTCGTGCAAGCAAACCTTTTGATAACCTTTTCGTACGACGGTAAACTTCTGCAAAAAAGACTCACCACTCATGACATTAACACCGGAAAACTCTCGGGCCTTGGGTTTCAACGTGGGAGCATGGTTTGGTTCGACGGGAAGGGTCTCGATAGTGTCCGCAATTTAGTCTAAATCTGGCATCGCGTCAGTTTGTGCGTTGATGGTCAGTGCACAGAGTTCAAATCCGAGAGATGCCCGATTGTCCTTTTGATGCATTGGACGAGGGAAGGAGTCGAGTCTTCTGGAACGTGCAGATGGGCTTGAGAATAAGCGGATCCGTTGTCCTTTTGTAGACGCTGGACACGCTTTTAGTGGTCAAATGGTGATCATGGGAGTCTTTTCTTATCTTTCTTCGTGCGAAGGGTTGACGTCATTGCAGAAGATTGGAGAATCGATGGTCGAAAGTTTCCGAAAAGAGGAATAGGTAACAAGAGCGATAAGATATCGTTCGGAAACACGTTCAAAACTACGAAGGCTTCCGGATAAGTTTCTGGAAAGGTGAGATGCCCTTAGTGTCGGTGGATATCGGGGAAGCTAGATACATCACAATCGATGGGCAAGAAACAACTCAAGTCTCATCGGCAAGATACATTCCACAGAGCTTAGAAGTGACTGGATTCCTCTGATGTTTGGCTCTGGAGAACGGATTCATTCACTTTCTTGACAATTCAACACATTGGCGAGCTTGAATCACATCAAGACGTGTAGCTGCATAATCCGGCTAACGGTTGTATGGCTGTGATTTTTGTAGTAAATGATGCCAACTGGATATCTCCGATGGCGAAGAATTGGGATGCTACTTGACGGTTTCAGCTTCCACACTATTGTTCGTAGCTCAATCCACCTTGATTGATCTGTAGATCTTGAGGGTAAAGAGCCAGCTTGCGAAGAAACCAATGGTGCCCAATGACCTGTTAGTACGTGTCTAAAAAGCAGAACTGCGTTGTGTAGCTTACCAATAAGAATGAATACCAGCGAACTCAGCAGTGCAGAGTATCCTAGGTAAACAACACCACTCGTCCAGCTAGTCCAGCTTACATCCTTGATCCAATATAGCAAGCAACTGGCAAACACGTACGCTGCGCTTGCACCAGCCGTGAAGAAAGACCTCCATTGCCAGTGGTAGTCCTCTGCGCAAAGCAAAAAGTAAATCATCAACACAGTGACCGCCGCCGAGGTGATGATCATGAGCCCGAAGCAGATGAATAGGAAGCCGAACATGTAGTAGACTTTCGAGAACCAGATGGAGTTCATGATGAAATAGAGTTCGACAAAGATAGCGCCAAAGGGGAGTACACCAGCTAATGCCATGGAGGGAAGAGGTCGTAGATAACCTCCTACCGGCGGGATTTGTCTTGGGATCTGGTTCGTGCGGACGGGTGGCTCGATAGCCGCTTGCTTGAACCCAATCCAGGAACCAGCGACACTCAGTGGCACTGAGATGACGAACCAAATAATGACGACCACAAGCATAGTAGTAAATGGAACAGCACCGGATGCGCCGCGACCCCAAACGAACAGGTTCATGAGGAAGAAGACGCCAAATACGATGGCAGGTAGAGCAACCGGGGTATAGAAAAAGCACAGCTTCCACGACTCGCCATGGAAGAACTTGTAGGTACGCGCCGCTGTGTAGCCACCGAAGAAACCGAAGAGTGTGTAGAAGATGATGATGACTGTTCCGAGAGCGCCGCGGTTGCTAGGAGACAGGAAGCCGAGAAGCGCGAATGCTATCATTCATGTTAGCAGAGACTTGACACGTAAAGGGATTCTGTCAGCTTACCTATAGTCAGCGCTGTCATGGCAAAGAGCTGGGCTCCATTGCCAACCAAAACAGACAAGAGCAGCGGGTTCTTTGGTGGCCTGAACACATCTCCATGTACCAACTTCCAGCCAGAATCGTCCGCAGTATCATCAGCGTCGCCGCTTTCACCAAAATCCTCGAGCGCAAATTGATCCAGACGATTGTAACGCGCAATGTCCTTTTTAAGTGTACGCACAAGGATCGCGCTTACCATACCAACAAGGAAGACAACAATGACAGCTGAGTTGATGAGGGAGAACCAGTGGATTTTTGGGTCGTAGACGTGTAGATATTTGTCCCATCGTGTCGCAAACGGAGTCGGGCTGGGTCGCCAGTAGACACCATACGTAAAGACGACCAGGTTTGTGTCTTCGTCATTCTCTTTCAGGACGACCGGCGTCTGTCCGTTGCACGTTGCCCCGTTATCGCCCTCTCTCTTCGATTCCGCCACGGAGTATGGGTCCACCAGCACACCAACTACGCGGAAGTTACCCGGCGAAGCCTCGTGGTAGTCGATGACAATATCGTAGTGGTTGTTGAGCATGGGCTGATCCTCATCTACAAGGCCCAGCGCGAAGCCTGGTTGATAGAAGGTCTGATCTGAGCCCGGCTCCCTGAGCGATTGTGCCGCAGGCAGTCCGTCTATCAACCAGTTAAGATCGTAGCCCTGGTATATCCTGCTGTTGACAAACGCCGCATCCGCGCCCGGATACGGAGCTTCACAGAGGAGTTTGCACGTCTCGTTTACGCCCATCTTCAGCTCGAACGGACTCGTCTGTATGCGATCCCCGAACAGTATGCTTCCCAAACTCTCCCGGATTTCTTTGGGGCCATCTTTTTCGCGACAAAAGTGGAAGGGCGGATGGTAGTAGTCGAAGGAGAAGACGGAGCGTAGCTTCGGGTCGTTTTGCGAATCGGCGGGTGTAAGTCGATTGACGTATAGAGGTACAGCGTCTCCGGTCTTGTATGAAGTTGGCGCGGTGCCTGGGAAGTAAAAGGCCGACGCTGGTAAGGGTGCGATGGCTAGCAAGGATGCCAGCACAGCGCCGGATGCGGATATGTCGAGTCGCCGCATTGTGTATGTGTGTTTGTCTATGCAAATCAGGCGCGTGAAAGTGGCTTTAACACGTTGTGGAGCGGACCGGCGTCAGCTTGAGAGAGCGCCGAAACGTAGCGTCGCAGCGGCAGAGTCGCCAAAAGTCAATAGTGGAAGAACGGAATGCTAGTCTATCTCTACAGACGTGGATTGTCCATAGCGTGCAGACGATGATGGTACAACAAAGCGGTACAGTACTAGCAATGTGTTGTTTTGAAGCTACTTGTTCACAGCGCTGATGTTACCTCAAGGCCGCCCAAGGAAGCTGCGCGTATGCCAAGCTGTATTCGGCACTAAGCGTTCCGCAGGATTGCGTCAGACCACAACTGGCAGGACCAACTTCGCTTGAATGCCTAGTTAGGAGGACAACGTCGACAACTTCTTGTGAGGTGCTGCCGAGAGTGCTCCATGGGTGAAAATCACAGCCATGCCAATATGTATAAGCATAAGACGTTTCAAGTTGTTTCTTGCATCCCTCGCCACGTAAGTAATTGCGCACTTTGTATACATCATTCATGATGTCCGGTACGCCAAGGCGATGTCATCCACCCTAACAGTAAGAGACAATGGTATGCCAATCCCACAAATGCGCTGTGATATCGACTATAACGAAACAAGCATAGAAAATGACACTGGGTATCAACCCTCTCCCTCACACAAGACCGTCATAGAGAGACAGGGCGGAAACGATAGTCTCGTCGCGCTTCGAGCCCTCCTTGAACTCAGCCATGTCTAAGCTGCCGTTCTCGTCCTTGTCCATCATCCGGAAGATCTTCTTGACGCGCTTCTCGGGGGTGTCTTCGTCTTCCGGGAGCTTAACCATGGAGCCGACCTGTATGTGTCAGCGATGAAGGCATTTCCTCGGGCCTGTGTACATACCATTTTGTAGATGGCTTCTACGATTGCCAACATCTCCTCGTAGCTAATCTTGCCATCACCGTCAATGTCGTACAGCTGGAACGCCCAGTCGAGCTTGTCCTCCATCTTGCCGCGACTCGTGACGCTCAATGCGCAAATAAACTCCTTGAAGTCGATTGTGCCGGATTTGTCTGCATCGAAGACATTGAAGACGTAATCTGCAAACGATGACGGATCGCCGAAAGGAAAGAACTGCTTATAGATCTTTTGGAATTCCTCCTTGGTGAGCATGCCCGATGGACAGTCCTTCAGGAAGCCTGTATGTACTCAGTTACGGTCCAGCCAACTTAGACCATTGTGGCCACACCTTTGTACCATTGCTGTAACTCTTTCTTGTCGAAATGTGTCGCTTTCTGGAGATCGGCCAGCTCCTGCTGTGATAGTTTACTCTGGCTGTGATGGGACACGATCAGCTTGTGTTTCTGTGTTTCCAAGCACTTGATGCCGCAGCGTGATCCCAATTCGTCTTCGAAACCGTGTATGGCATTCGCCAAGGCGATTTTCTGCATATCCTTGTAGTGCGCATATCCGGACTCGTCATGGCTGGGGATGTCGGTGTGATGGCGGCGCGCAAACTTGAGTGGCGGGTGTTCATATTCTAGTAGAGGTATTCCTTGCGCCTGTGGCGGAACGTGAGGCGGCGACGCTGGATGCGCATGCGTCTCGTGGTTGTCGATGTCGAACTCTGACTGCATGCTTGCGCGGTGGGTGGTCGAGTGTGGGGTCGGGCAGGCGAGATTTGCGCCTGGATAGAGAGTCCATGACGAGGTCCGATCCAGCGTGTAGCCGTCGCTCGACGAGGCGCGTGTCCGAGGTGAAGGGCAGGAGTCCCCAGACGATAGGGTGGTAGGCGCAAAGGCCCCGCATTACAAAGCAACAAGGAGAGAGAACTTACGATTTACCCATGGCTAGAAGATGTGCGGAATATCGCGGGTGGAGAATTTAGGAGTGCACCGGAATATGTAGTGAAGGGAGCAGGCAGGCAGTCGTCAGGTGTCGGTAGGCGGAGCAGCAATCAAAGGGTAGTAGCTGGTAGTAGGTGGCGGACCAATCGATGGCGGGGTGCTCTCTGCTTGGTGACGGGAAGGCGCAGCACTCTAGGAGCAGGCGAATGCAATAGGCGATGTACGAGGCTAGGATGTGGGTGTAGACGGGCAGAGGTAGTGTGAGCGGAGGATATATGCTGGTCGTCGTGACAGCTCGGGTTCCAGCCAGTCGACACAAATAGCGGCCACGCCGAGAGGGCCCTGGCCGCTTCGTCATGTCCCGCTTTCGCATGCATCTTCGGCGGGCAACCCCGCGAGTCTAGCACAGCGCCAGTGGGTGATTCGTGCCCTTGAAGGCCCGGTTTCATCATTGCCAAAGTGAATACCGAACTGCTGTCGCTGGCCATTCAGCTTGGTCCGTCTGGCGCGCAACCTGCATACACGTCCAGCCCTACGACCCATCTTCCGCCGCGCATAATCGCGCATGACTGGTCACGTGTATGCGCGTGCTCCACCCGAACCACGTTCACGCTTACTGCGCTTTCCTTTAGCCCCACCGCCGTCAGCACGCCTACTGATCAACCATGGACGACATCCTCAACGAGCAGTTTGAGCGCGTCGAAAAGGCCCTGACCACGCTGGTCGACTCAATCGCCGCCTACAACCCAGCCACGCAAGCTGCAGTCGACTTGGTAGCTGCTGACGACGAGCTCAGTGAAGGACTGGATCAACGTATGCTGCCATTCGTTTTGACTGAGAACACTGACTAAGATGGTGCAGTTGCCAAACACCAGGCAAACCATGTGCGCATCCAACACTTGCGCGCAGAAGCCGACGCTCTCGAAGAACAGCTCAAAACGTCCGTCAAGAAGCTCGCCGAACTGCGCCACGAGCTGTTTGACACGTCTGTGACGACATTCCCAGAAGATTCACGCGCCGTCCCGTTCGACGAGCTCTTACAGTATGCGACCAACATCTCGAGATACACAGTGCCGCCGACGTACCGTGAGCGCATTCCTGCAGCAGACAAAGACAAGGAGGACGAAGACGTCGGCTCGAGTGGAGCCCCTACTAATGGCCTCAACACGCCTGCTCTCCCACCAGAGACTGTAGAAACGGCGACTGAAGCTGTACAAGGGCAGAAGGAAGGCGAAGATGCTGCTGGTCCTGCACTCGAAATCACGCCCGAAGAAGAAGAATGGCTGAAGAAGCTCAAAGCTAGCAACCTGGCTTGGTATCCGTGGCCCAGCAACGAAAAGATCCGCGCGGGCGCTCTCTTCAGTCTCCAGTACTGGCGCGAGGTAAGTCGGAACCTGCAGATTGACGTGAAACATACACTGACTTCGTGCTTCCTTTTCTGCAGAAGGGCAAAAACTTGGACGAATTCAACATACCTGCACATCTCAAAGCAGACAGGGACAAAGTACTGCAGGAGCAGCAACAGCAGGATGTGGCTGCACAGGAGGTGGCTACAGATTCTCCAGGCAAATTAATACCCCAACAGCTTCCCTCTGAAAACACACACCGTCCTAAGCCACTCGGGGTCTTTGCAGGCTTTGATGACGATGACGATGACTGATTGATCACAATCCATCATGGATGACAAGTCTCGTTGGATGTAGAAAGGCGCTTGGGTTCAGGAGCTGTACCTATCACTAAAACTTTACGTATACCTTTACGATAGATTTTGCCGAGATAGTGTTTTGAAAGTATAATTCAGAAAACACGGGCTCCTTCGCAGGACATCTATACCCCGAACGTCATGTCAAGAGCGCGCCTTGCTGTTCGTCAATGCCATAGTCTGTATGATCTCATGCATCAAACCCTTGCCAACCATCAGTAGGTGTCTCCATAGTGGATGGCTGATCATGGTCCCATATGACACCCAATGTATATTCATTCTGGGTGCAAGCTTGGCACAAAGTCCTGACGAATCTCGACGTCCTGTATTCCTACACAGATTTCGGAGAAGTCCCCATGCTCATAGTCGCGCACGACCCCCGTCAACGTTAGCGGTGGCTGGACATTGAGCAACTAGCCCATATATGGTTAGCACCCAAATTTTCTGGAAACAGTGCTTGACTTTTCTCGAAAGTCGCAACGCGACAAAGTCCAATACATTCATCAGCAAATCAAGTAAAATGGGCAGCAAAATACGCAAGAGGGAGCGCGAGGCGGATCAAATCGAAAAAGTGGAGGAAGCCCCCGCAAAACGGCGCAGACAAAGTAATACAGACCAGGTGAAGCTCTCCAAGCTTTACGCAGACCTGGCAGCCGAGGAAGATGATGTTCGTCTTGAAGCTGCCAAACAAATCATCGTCAACTTTTCGCCCGAAAACAAGCCATCGGCCAAAGATGTGGAAGATGCGCTAGTACGCCTGATCAAAGGCCTTTGCAGTCAGCGCAAAGCTGCTAGGGTCGGATTCTCGCTCACGCTGACCGAGTTGTTACGGCAACGTTTTGCAGCAACAAAGGATGATGACGAGGATTCGCAGCTTGATGCGGCATCCGTCATCAAGATGGTGGAAGAGAAGACCAAAGCCAAAGGCAACGTACCGGGAAAGGTAGGACTGCAGATATGCTAAATATTGCGAAGCTAACAGACACAGGAAAAACGGGACCATACCATTGGAAAACTGTTTGGTTTCAAGGCCATTATGCAATCATCAATACTCCTTGAACCGGAACTCTCGCTGGACTCCTGGAACAAGCTCTTGGACAATGTTTATCGAATGGCACGCGACATTCCGTGGTTACGGGAAGAATGCGGGATGGTACTGGTCGAAGCAGTGAGGAGTCTGAAAGGTCAACTACAGTACCGAAGATGTGCCGAAGAAGTGTTGGAACGACTCAACACATTCAAGCTTGTCTCCACGCCCGAGGGTGTGGCGGTGTGGCTTACCGTCAAAGCACATTATCCAGAGGCACTGCCCGAGGGTGTCTGGCACGATAAAGACCCATTAGCAAAGAAAGAACGCTCTCGGCTTGCCAAAATCTTGAAGGAAGACTTCAACAAGAGCGAGTCAGAAGATGCAAAAGACGAAACCACGAAAACCGGGACTACGAACCCGAACCCGTCTTTCACCTGGGACCTCGCATTTGCCGAGATATTGCAAAGGGATGAGCAAAGCAAGAGTGACTCTAAGGACAAGGTTGAGTTTCCACAATTTTGGATCGACACTGTAGACAGTAAGTCGAATCATCTAAAAGAGTGGTTAGCTTGTATGACTGACTGTGATAGGCAATCTTTTCTCTTCCTCAGCGTCCCACGAACGTAAAGCGTGGGGCTTCAAGTTGCTGAGTAGCATGATCACCCGTGTGCCAGATGGGGCTGTGTCTGCATTGTTCAGTCCAAATTTGATGCGTACCCTCATCAACCAAAGCAAAAAGGAAGACAGGTTCCTCCATTCGGCCGCGCTCGCTGCGTTGAGCTCTGTCCAGCTCAGAGTCGATCAGGAAGATGGAACAGCCCTCCCTATTTTTGTTGCATTGACTTCGAAGCACGGCAGCATTGAGTTCGACCGCATCACCAAGACGAAAACGCTCGAGCAAATCCTCGCATCGGCAGATGACAAAAGCTTGATGAAGATTGTACGACATCTCAAGTCACTGATTCTGCGTCCTGATTGTGAGGAACAAGCAGTCGCAGACAGCCGCCGGCAGGCCATTGCCGACCTGCTGTTGAACACAGTCAGACAATACAAGCGATACGAAAAGTTCAATGAGAAGACCTTCAAGAAAGATGTTGCCCATCGACGGGAAGGTCGCGCCGCAGATGAGCGAAAGTCTAACTGGCTGCGAGAAATCTTGGAGACACTGGTTGAGTGTGCTTATTTCATTCCTTCAAAGAGTGCGGATACTAAGAAGGTGCCTCTTCCCGCTATCAGTGATCGGAGTCGGGCAATGTTCCAAGAGCGCCTATCATCTTGTCTGACCAAGTTACTGGATGTAAAGTTGGGTGCTCGCTCAGATGTCGCCCTCATGGTTCTAGACATGATAAGAGCCAAGAGCGACAAGTCTGCCAAACTGGATCTTGCTTTCAAGGCAGACGCATCGGTTCTGGGTACTATGGACAAGGCGTTGAATACACTCGACGCCATCTCTGCGACAGTAAGCATGTCACTTCCTGTTCATCTGTCGTTTGGCTAACATGGCATTACAGGGTTCGATAGCCGGTAACGAGCTGGCAGCGCAAGGCTTTATGCTCTTGTACTCACTAACGCTCTTGCAAGCCTACAATGGCGAGGGGGATGCCGTCATGATGCTTGATGATCTAGATGCGTCCTACAAAGCCTTCGAGGCGTCACGAAAGACGTCATCAAAGAAGAAGAACAAGGTCTCGACTTCCGATGGTCAAAATGCCTTTGTCGAGATCGTACTCTCCTTCTCAGGGAACACACGAACACTATTCCGTCGAATCGGAGAAGAAGCATTTGCTATCTTCGCATCAGAGATTAGTGCTGAAGGACTGCGGTCCTTGACTGAAATCCTGGACACTGAAGAGAACCTCGAGGGACAGAAAGAGCTATTCAATCAGGGTGATGAAGACGTTGAGGAGGAAGATTCAAGTGACGACGAAGAAGACGACTCAGACGTTGAGATGGTCGATGGGGAAGAGTCGAACAGCGACGCGGCCTCTGAATCTTCTGATTCGGACTCCGAGGATGACGACAGCGACGCAAGCGACGACGATGAAGATGGTGAGGAAGATGCAGAGTTGACTCAATTCAACAACATGCTGGCCTTGACTCTTCAGACGTCGAAGCCGAATGTGGACGGTGACGCGGCGGAAGAGACATCCGACGAGTCTGACATGGACGACGACCAGATGATGGCGCTTGACCCACACCTCAGCAAGATCTTCAAGGAGCGAAGCAAGACAACAAGCAAGAAGAAGGAGCGGGAAGACGCCAAGCAGAACGTGGTTCAATTTAAGTCGAGAGTCCTAGATCTGCTTGCCGTGTACATGGAGAAGCAATATTCCAACCCGCTTACTCTGGAAATTCTCCTCCCAGTACTCCGTCGTACTCGAGCCAACGCAAACAAGCAGACGGCAGACAAAGCGGCCAAGATGCTGAAGTCCTTCTTCGATACCCGCACGAAGCGCAAGGCGCCCCTCCCGAAGCCAGAGAACACGGAGGATGTATGGGAGCTACTGAAGGGAATTCACGAGGAGGCGAAGCTAGGGAACGGTGCAAAGGTCCATGCGGATGCATGTGGCTCCGCCAGCTTACACGTAGTAAAGGTGCTTGTTGGTCTTGAGAAAGCAAACTATGCTGGTGTGGTGGACGTTTACGCCGAAACTCAGAAGCAGTGGTTTGCAGACAAGAAGTCTCCATTACAGCCGGTGCTGTTCACTCAGTTCCAAAACTGGTCTATCAATGCACGACAGCAAGGAAAATAGGCGGTATTCTTCAGGGAAGGGCGTAACGGAACTCAACTAGCACAGCTTCTGATACAGTTGGTCGATAAATGTAATCAAGCTTCTCAACACAATACCGTGTTCATTGTGACTCAAACTCCAGATTCAGCAATGTAATTCTAGAAGCGTGTATCAAGTCGGGCTTGAGCTCCTAGGCAGAAGGTGGAGCTCTCGCGTGGTGATTATTTCTCTTCTGGTAGTGGCGGTAGTGTACCCACTTTTATCGGCCCCGCCGCGGGGAGCTCGCTCTGGAAGCCTAGCCTATGTCATACCAAACAAATCAATTTACATGCAACCCGTCGCGACATCCAACACCTTACCTTGCCTCCCTGCAAACTCCACCAAGCATGGCTTGCACACACGTGAACGCGCCCGGTAAGCTCTCATTGCCATGCTTAGGTTCTATTCTTGCACAACGAAAGACGAGAAGAGTGGCAAACATGTCCGCTGCGTCTTGTCGCCTTGACGGGATTTGTAGCTACATGCTCCATCTACGCCATGCTAACATGATCCAGAGCTCCATCCGCCAGGACCAACACAGTCTGTATATCGAGAAGACTGCACGCAGTGCTTTGACTCGATCGATGACCCCACCGGCCTTGATGTGTGCCTCTACTGTTTCAACGGTGGATGTACGAGCGATCGAAACCATGCTCTCCTCCATGTTTCTTCTACAAACCACCCACTTGTCCTGAACATCAAGCGCACACGCAAGAGGGTCACGCGCGATGAACCCCCTCAAAAGATGACGAAGCTCGCCGTTGCAGCTGAAACCGAGTCTGACCGATACGATACCACGACCCAAGTCAAATGCTATGAGTGCGGCATCGACGATGTAGACAAGAGCTCAGGAAAGCTTCCGGATATTGTAGACGCAGTTCTCAAGGCGAACACATTTGCGAAGCAGCAGGAAGTCAAGGCATGGGAGCAAGAGTTGACCGCCTGCGAACATACACTCTGCTTGGAACAGCAGGCAGCGCGACAGATAGAGTCTCAAAGCTTGGGTCACTGTTCTGAGTGTGAGCTCAACGAAAACCTTTGGCTATGCTTGACCTGCGGCAATTTAGGGTGTGGCCGTCAGCAATTCGGTGGCGTTGGTGGCAATTCACACGGCGTTGGACACACAAAGTCGACCGGTCATCCGGTTGCAGTCAAGCTCGGATCTCTCACCGCGGATGGTACGGCCGATATCTACTGTTACGCTTGTGACGAAGAGCGCATAGATCCTGAGCTGCCTGACCATTTAGCACACTGGGGTATCAACATCAAAGATAGGGTCAAGACAGAGAAGAGTCTTACGGAGATGCAGGTCGAGCAGAATTTGCGATGGGATTTTGCTATGGTGACTGAAGACGGCAAAGAGCTACAACCATTGTTCGGACCAAACTTCACAGGCTTGAAAAACTTGGGTAACAGTTGCTACCTTAATAGTACCCTCCAGGCTTTGTTCTCGATCCAAGAGTTCAAGGATCGATATTATCTCCCCAATGAAGCCCCACCGCAGACACCGCTACCCGCCGAAGATCTAGAAACTCAGCTACGCAAGATCGCCGATGGAATGATCTCAGGTCGGTATTCAAAGCCGGACAGCGACGTCACTACCAGCGAGCATAGCCCTGAGGTTCCACACCAGCGCGGCCTTGCGCCTGCCATGCTCAAACATCTGATCGGAAGAGGCCACGCTGAGTTTTCAACTATGCGACAACAGGATGCGTTCGAACTACTTTTGCATATGCTTCAACTAGTCTCACGCAGTAAGCATGTTGAGCCTCATAAGGATCCAGTCGGCGCCTTCCGCTTTGCCATGGAGCAACGGCTACAGTGTGTTAGCTGTAAGCGTGTTCGGTACAAGACAGACGAGCAGGAGAATATCTCTATCCCAGTTCCCATCCGCAGAATCCCGAAAGACTCGCAGATGGACGTTACCGATGGAAACGGCAAAACGGAAGAGAAGGAAGAGTTTGAGCCAGTATCGCTGAAGGAGTGTCTCGACATCTTCACAGCTGAAGAATTGGTTGAGCTTACTTGCGGTGCGTGTGGCAGCAAGGATGGATTCACGAAGAGGAGCATGTTCAAGACTTTCCCTTCAGTATTGGCTGTCAACGCCAGGCGCTTCGAACTGGTCAACTGGGTGCCCACCAAGCAAGATGTTCCCGTTATTGTCAACGATGAACCGTTCTCTTTCGACGCCTACAAGTCAAAGGGATTGAGCGAAGGTGAGGAGCTTCTTCCAGAAGACGCAGACACAGGAGCGGCTGGAGGTTCAAAATGGTCACCTAACGAAGCTGCACTATCGATGCTCGAAGCCATGGGTTTCCCTAGGGTCAGATGTGAGAAGGCTCTGCATGCCACTGGCAATGAAGATGCTGAAGCAGCAACGACCTGGCTATTCTCACATATGGAAGATCCAGATATCGATGATCCTGTCGACTTCAATGCTGGTTCTGGTGGAGACGCGGCTGCTGCATCTGTTCTCGACCCTGAGAAGATTGAGAACCTAGGGGCCATGGGATTCAATGCTCCCCAAGCACGTCAGGCTTTAAAGGAAACAGGCGGTGATATGGAGCGTGCTGTCGACTGGCTGTTTAGTCACCCGGATGCACCCGGCGACTTTGACGAAGGCGGTGGCTCTGAAGGACCTGCTGAGCCAACAGAGAAGCCATTGGCTGGTAGCGAGGCGCTGCCTGCAAACTTCCAACTCCAGTCCATCGTATGCCACAAGGGTAGCTCGATACATGCTGGGTGAGTCAACCGCACTCGTTTACCACACACGAGAACGTGCTAACGTCTAACAGTCACTATGTCGCGTTTGTGCGCAAGCAGTTGCCAGATGATCAGGCTGCATCATGGGTGCTCTTCAACGACGAGAAGGTCGCTAAGGCAGCCGACGTGGAGGAGATGAAGAAGTTTGCCTATGTGTATTTCTTCAGGCGTTTGTAAGGCGGCGGGTCTAGGTCTCGGACTAGCATAGCGAAAGCGGAGTTGTGTCGGATTAGCATTAACATTGACGATACGGCGAACAGAGAAGGGGTCAGGAGCATTGCGGCGCAAGCTGCTAGACGATGTCAAGATAGCACGGACTAGCTGCAGGCGTAGCCTGAATGAAGCTGAAATCTCATCTGATAAAGGTGCAACTGATGTTCGCTCGTCGGAGAACTGGAGCTTTTCTCCGAGCCCGAGCTGATTCCAGAATATGTGATAAGTGTGGGGTATGTCGTGCACGGACTTACGTCGCCGACCATCGCTTTTCCTAATCATTACTTCAATTCCTCGATCGCCATCCACCTCCGCTACACCTACACCAACATCAACACGCTATCCAAACCGCTGCCAAAACAAAAAATCCACACCACAGAACCTCGAAACACCGCACATATCGACCACCACCATGTTCAGGAGAGTCGCAGCAGCAGTGCCTGCCCAGGCCGGAAGAGTGCTCGCAACCGCCGCCAGGCCCAGCATCGTTTCGCCCATTCGCACAGCAGCCCCTGCAGTTTCAGCAGTCGGTCGGCGGCAGTACCACGAGAAAGATAAGTGCCCCATACTGTTTGTTCGAGAAGTCGACGTGGTGGCGATAAAGGCGTTCCATGACAATCACCTCGTCATCGCACCACCATTTCCGACTTATATCCGTACGAGAACGCTCAGCTAACATCCGCAGCACTGCTCGATCACTACAACAAGCCACGCAATGTTGGTTCCATGTCTAAGACCGATACCGACGTCGGTACTGGACTCGTCGGCGCGCCCGCGTGTGGCGATGTCATGAAGCTCCAGATCCGTGTCGACCCTAACAACAACACCATCAGCGACGTCAAGTTCAAGACCTTCGGCTGCGGTAGCGCGATCGCTAGCTCAAGTTACCTCACAGAATTGGTTCGGGGTATGACACTGGAGGACGCATCGAGGATTAAGAACACAGAGATTGCAAAGGAGCTTTGCCTACCACCTGTAAAGCGTGAGTATCCATTTCGCAACAACAATAGATAGGGTCGAGATACTAACTGCTTATAGTACATTGCTCCATGCTTGCTGAAGATGCCATCAAATCCGCAATCTCCAACTACTACACGAAGAACCCCAACGCACGGCAAACAGACCTTGGCGGCAAGTCTGCGCCGCTGCCAAAGGTTGAGATCGAGACCGTTTCCTCTGCAACGGCCTAAAGGGAGACTAGGATGGCAATGTAAATTGATACCATGTGGATGGGAATGGGAATGAGAACGAGAACGGTTAAGGAAGTTGCTTGATATTACCTGCATCAGTCTTTCGCTACTCAATGTACCGGGTATGACTTGGGCGTTTGAGCGTTACGGCGGCTGGCTTCCTGTATAGTAGGCTGAGAAGTACTTATCTTACATCGCAATGAACAAAATTTGTAAATGCGAAAGAAGACTATGAGCTGGCTCTTGCGCTGATAACTCAATGTATGAATAATAACAGCACAGGAGTAAGGGATGTAAAACTAGCAGGCTACTTCAGTCATGGTATATGAAAGCGGAAGTCGGCTAACTCCTGGTCTTATGAGCTGAGTGTCACGCCATGTAGGTGCTCTAGATCTGATGATCCGTTTGATCAGATAATGGATGCGTGAAAGTGTACATCAGCCTTGCGGCATTACATGTACCCCAGAGTCACTGTTAGATGCAGATCGTTCCTACATACGTCCGTCTCCATGCATTGTAGATAATACGCGATTTGCTAGATCAAGTGGTGAATGTTGTGTAAGATCTATGACGTTGGACCCTTCCATGGTTCGCGACCCTAGTTCCTCCGCGTATCAACATCTAATCGATGCACGCCTCTCAACCTACTCTTGTGCAAATCTTCAGCCATGTCGACAGTACAACAAGACGAAGCGCCGCCCGCTATACGATTCAAGCGCCGCAAGATCGCGCATCCGAAGCGCGTCTTTGCCGAAGACGACGCGCCTACTGTCTCCGCCTCACATTTGCCCGATGCTGCGACTCTGGACGATGCGCAACCGCCGCCGAAAGAAACCAACGACGAAGAAGAGTCGGTTCCGAACTTAAAGGAAATATTGCGCAACCGAAAGCGCCCACGAGATCGCCTGAAGGAAACCGTACGCAAAGTAGAACCATCGCGGACTGATTCGGTGCAAGTAGAAGCACCCCGGCCAGACCAGTATACGAGTCGCTTCGTCGCGCAAACGGGGCAGGTCGTAGATCGCGATGACAGGCAGATGTAAGTGGACTGTCCAGAAGACTGTAAAATGCTCCAAGTAGGGCAACGTCAAGCACGGAGGCTAATGTGCTAGGTCGGAATATGTAGAAGCTCGCATGGCTGAAAAGAACTATCGCCAATACGGCTGGCCCATACCAAGTCATCTCCAGGCTTCTGTAGTAGCCATCGCACCAGACCTGCAACATACCTTTGCTTCGAGCGCAGCGGCGCATGGCACGTCCGCTAGCACTGGCAGTCCAGCGGATAACGAGCACAGCAACCGATTGGCGGCAGGCCAGGGCAAGCTTGAGGAAGTAGATCTGGGCCCAGAAGCTGCTGCACGCACGGAACAAGCCTGGAAACGATGGGACAAGGGCGAGCCTGAGCCGCCAGCAAGCAAAGCACGGCGAGACAAGTACGGCTACGCGTGGCGCAAGCCCAAAGCCAACGGGAAGACGGACGAAGATAAACGACGCGACCAAATGGTGGAGGCAGTGCTCCGAGAAGCTAAACGTATGTTCTCTCTCAACCTTACAATGACAATCCCCTGACTGACATATACTCCAGTCGACTTCTTCGACTCCACCACTCCCACAAACCCCCACGTCAACCCTTCCGTCAACACCGACGACGCCCTCGTCGAGCAATTTCGCTCCGAATACTACGAATCCATGCAAGCGAGACAACAAGCTCGCAAACCAGCTGCTCCCACCGTCAAGGGTGCGCCGCCGCCCATCACAGGCCCCAAGCTGGGTGGCAGCAAGAGCGCAAGAGCCAAGATGCACAAATTACAGCAAGAAGAGCTTGCAAAGAAGAAGAGGTAATGTTTGTTGCATGCATCTTTGCGTCGTGCGGTATCCCCGCATGTCATGTTGTCTGCATGTTTCTTGCCTGATTCAACAGCTGTCCTTACATTTTTCACGAGGCTTGCTGCCTTGTTCTAAGCATTCATTCTTATGCAGGAATGGTGATTTAACAGATTGTGTAGCGGTGCAATAACGAACGATGGACGTGTGCTCGAGCGATGGGAATGGAGGGGCACGGATGTTGAGAAGACGACTTGGTACAGCAAGTAAGGAAAGGAGTGTTCGAGCTGCTGTATGTTTCTGGGTATGTTCCCGGTACAGCAAACGCTGGCGACATCGCTATTCACATGACTAGTGTCCGAGGAGGATTCCTTGCTGCGATTCGAAAGATAATATGTTCGTGTCTTACATACAAGCAAACAGACATGCCCAACGCCTAGCCGTGTATATCTTAACCCTAATTATGCTGTGTCCTGAACACTTGTCCATAGCAATCATAAGAAATTATCTCAAAGCTTCCTCGGTGCAGCGACTGGTTTTTTTGCAGTCCCGTTCGCTGCAGGGGTCTTCTTCACAGTCCCATTCGTACCTGAGGCTATTTTGCTGGGAGCTTTCTTCGCTGGCGTAGAGATGGCATCCATCTTCTTTGCCAACTCTCCCGTCTTCTTGACCGCTTGCCCCTTATCCACCTTCTGGGGCACTTGCACAGCGCCACTAGGCGTGACTTTGATTGGCACTCCACCTGCTGTCATGAATGTTGTTCCCTTTTTCTCCTGAGCTTTTTCAATCTCATCCTTACCAACTTTGATCTTGACACCGTTTTTCATGGTGAGTGTACCGGTTTTCTTAGCTTGCTCGACTTCTGTTTGAGGCACCTTGATCATGACACCCGAAGCGGTCATCATTTCTTTCATCGGGCCTGTAGGTGTCGGGGCTGGCTTCTTAGTTGCCGCTGACGTAGAGTTTATTCGGGCGTGTGCGGCGGTGCCTGGCTTTGGTGCAGCAGCAGTGGTAGGCTTCTTTGCGGATGACGTTGGAAGGTTGATGGCACTCTGGGCTCGTCTTGCGGCCGGGGTGGTGGCGGTTGGCGTTTCCAAGGTCTTCGTAGGTGCACCTGGGATTGCTGTGCTTGCTCTTCTCATCCCATTTGGCATTACAGCGCCACTTGCTATCGCTGTTTCCTTGACTAACTTGGCCAGGTTTTCTTGCGTAAGACGCTGGACTTCGGGAACTTCTTTTGGTCCTGCTGCCTGTGCGGCGCCCATCTGCGCAGCGCCTTCTATCATCTTTTCCAGTTGTTCTGGACTTGGTAGGCCTTTCATCTCGCCACCTTGACCTAGCAGCGTCTTGATGTGATTCTCGAAGAACTCTTTGCCGCCAGGTATGGGTAGGTCTGCAGGCGAAGCGCCGTAGGCTACTGTCAAGGCCATCATGACGGACGTTATCGGTGCGAAAATTTTGACGAACTCGTTCCAATTTCCTGACTTGACTTCTGTCTCAATCTGCACCGCCGGCCGCGGCACTGTTCGAATGGTCTTGCTTCCGTTGCCTCTGCTGCTCTCACTCTTGGTATCCATATCCAAATGGTTCTTCCAGAAGTCTTCTGCAGGAAAGCGAGTGTGGCGACTGAAATATTCGAGCATATAGTCCTTCTCCCTCCATCGGTTTCTCAGCCAGACCTCAAAAGCGTGCGTATTCTCGTATGGGATATCATCGAGATGAAATCGTCGCCAATGCATGTTTACTGATTTCGGAGGTCTTCCCTCGAAGAAAGAAGAGCGCAAGGTAAAGATATCCTGACCAAATTGACCTTCTGGTACACCTTCGTATGCGATGGTGCAGTCGTACAGCCAATCGGTGGTTTCTCTCAACTCGTTCAGACAGAACTTGAGACCAGTGCTGCGTGGGAGTAGTTGGTGCTTCATATCCTGCAAACCATTCTTCTGTGCCCATTTCTGACTCTTCTCGCGTGTGGTTTTAGACAGGTTGGTCCCTTCCGGGAATATGATTAGCCACATAGGATCTCCCTTCTTGTTCAGCTTGGTCAGATGTTTCTTGAATGTTCGTTGATCCTCCTCCCATTTCCTGGATAAGAAGATGAAATTGTAGAACTGAGCACCCCACCCAATGATAGGGATATTCTTCAATGACTCTTTCAGGATAATGTAGATGAAACCGTGCATGTTGTTTGTGTAAGCAATCCACCAGAGGTATAGCCAGTCAGTGTAGAGTTGGTGGTTGGCCATGAGAACCAGGCGATCAGCAAAGTTACATTGTAGAGATCCGTCTTTGCGCTTGATGAGTTGACCGACCATACTGGAGTCGCCAGATACACGGACGACAGTTGGGGCCCACCATTGGGTTAAACAGGTGATCAAGATGGCAAAACATTCCTTAGTGTATGCCATGTACCCATCGTAGAACTGCGGGTCAATGAGCTTCAGCGGCGCGCCCAGGAATTGAGATGCGCTTATACTGTTGTGCGTTAGTTGGTGTGTATCTGGAGACTGGCACAGAGATATGCTTACGCCAGAACGCCAGACAAGAACGTTGAGGCTAACGTGAAGGCGCGTTCAGCCTGTGTTAACTCTCCAAAACGCGGTGGTCCAGCTGGATGCGCCTCGACATTTTCTTTCGAAATCCTTAATCCAGCACCAAGGTCATCTTTCTTCTTCCTCTGGACGGCAGCTGGTACTGGCCGCTTGGATGCTGATTGGCTGGTTGGGGTCGGCTTTGGAGCCGTCGCCTTCTTCACAGGGGGTTTCGCAGCCGGCGACTTGGTGACGACCGGCTTCTTCGTAACATTAGCAGGCGACATCTTTCACAATTCGCACACGAGCGAACATTGAAGCTCAAACGTCAAGCACGACTACCAGCACCAGTGGCGGGTTACCCGCGACGTCAGTGCAGGGCAACGGTTCGAGATCAAGATGGATGCTCCACTTGCGCGTCGTCAACCCCTGTCAGCGAGCCGTCGGATGACGTCGATGTGTGGCGGCGTGCGACCAAGTCAGCAAGCAAGATATTCGAAGCACCGGTACCCCTTCGTTAGGTCATTAAGCTACTTCAGTAACACTATACTCGCTCCGGTAGACACCAATTCTTAAGACTGCCTCCACTGCATCCCTTCTTCCAGGAATCACATCATACACTCACAAAAATAACGGTACGTTAAATCTTTACAGCTGTCGACCCGGGCGCATGTTCGAGTAGTGCACGCGAGCAGCTTTCAAATATCCATCTGAACCTGGAGCTGATAAACATTACAGATTTGACTCGAAACTAGACATCACATCCTTTAACATGCCCGCAGCCTCAGTAGCATCCGCGCCCGTCAAGCGCACCGCCAACAAGACCACCGCCTCTAGGTCTGCGAAGAAGCCGGCTCAGAGTGCGAACAAGAAGCCTCAGACAAACGGCGCAACCAACGGAGCGTCGCAAGCTCAGATGTCACCATACACTATCATGGCTTCGAGAATCGCGAACCGCGTTGCGGAGATGGCGGAGAACATGACTTTTGTTGAGCGTGAGAAGTGAGTTTCCCTGAAATTTCTCAGATTTCCTTGAATTTCCTCTGGCAGCGTTTCTCTGGTTCTGGGTCCGACGGCGTTGAAAACCAGGGCTGCGCTACCATCTACCGACAAAAACTTGAACCCCTATTGCGCTATCTGTTATCCCGACGTGCATCTGCTAACAAGACCTTCCATAGGCCCCAACCACAGCAGCAACAACAACAACAATCTGCTCCATCAAACTCTGGAAAGAAGCCACCCCGGAAACTCGAGATGCGCATGCCTAACAACGGCGCCTCCCCAACCAACATCACGTTCAGCGCACCTTTCCTCGACAACACCCTCGCCAAGCTACTCACGCTCCAAAACCGCATGTTGACAGTCAGTAACGACATCGCAGCGTGTGAGGATGTAGACGACAAGACCAAGCAAGAGCAGTTTGCCCAGAGCGCAGAATTGAGTCGTATCATTGCGCTAATCTGCGCCGAGAAGGCTAGACAAGGTGCTTAGTTTGTAATGTTTTGTCCAAAGCAATGAGTAGTAATGAGCGTTTCTTCTTTTTCAATGGCGTTATCGGATATGTAACGAAAAGGTTTCCATAGTAATAGCGCACTTTGTACGAATAGCATGATCGACGAAAGACATAATAATGACTTGAACGACAAACATACAATATTGTGATACTCAGCCTCAGCCATGTACGGCATAGCTGACCAGTGATATGCCATCGCATAAAGCTATTACACAAGCTAAAACCTGCACCAGAGATCGCCATCCAGGACTTTGGTTCAGGCCCACTTTGCCGTGCCACAACAACGTCATTTGACGCGGGGCGGCAGCGAGCCCCCCTGCATGCTACGGGTAGCGAAACCGGTTCAAGTTGTGGTGGCGCTAGAGGTATTCATCATCGGCCATCATGGTCTGGGGTCCGGCAGTCTAGATTTTGGGAGCTCTCTTACGATACTACCATAGCTCTTCCTTAGACCTAGTTTTCGATCACAATTGAAATCTGAAGCTTGCTATACGATCTGCAGAATGACGAGCTTCATCTCAAATATCATCTGGAACTCAGTGGAGGGTTTCGTAGACGCTGGAAAGAAGACGGCGGGCGAATATGGAGGGAATGCACTTATCAAGGTTGGAGACATGATTGAGAATAGCGGAAGGAGCGTAGGAAACGGTATGTTGACCCTTATCTTGCCCGGCCACGTATGTTTCTTCAAGACTCACTGACATGCGTCTAGGGATCGAGAAAAAAGCAACGAACTATGGCAGTGCAATCACTGGACAAACATACAAACCGACGGGCAAAGCCCTCCCCTCTACAGCACGAAAGCCTGCGATCAAGCGCTCGAACTCGACCCCTGCGAGCAACAAGCCGACTACCAGTGGAGTACCCATAGGCGCAAAGAAGTACCCGGGAAACAACCAAGTCAATGGCGCAATCGGAGGAGCGAAGAAGACCGTCGGTGGTGTAGCAGGCGGCGCTTCCAGAGTCACTGGGGGAGTTGTAGGTCGCGCAAATAGCACAGTGGGCAACGTAACAAGCAACGCCACAAAGGCCACCGGAGGCCTCGTAGGTGGTGGTCAGAAAGCTATTGGTGGAGCCACGAGATCCATTCCACCCTTCAAAGGTCCCGGAGCCACACCAAACAAGACTCTTCCAAAGGCTTTTCCAGACACCAACAACATGCCGAAACCCACATACCCAACGACCAAGAAGGCAGCGGTTAAGCCCGGTATGCCAAAGCCGTTTACACCGCCTGTCGAGCAGAAGAAGCCGGATCCAAAGAAGCCTTATCCGGGGACAAACACGTTGCCAGGAACGAGTAGGACACCAGTGCAACAGCAGAAGTACAAGCCGCTACCGACGTTGGGTCCGCAGGTTAAGCAAGGGCAGACTATGACGCACCTTGCTATATAAGAATAAGGAAACGTGTGTGATCTAGTTTTATAAGGAGTTCGTATGGCGTTAGGATATGGAGAGTACTAGTGTAAGATTGTGTAAAGACCTATAGGCATGCTTTCAAGGCAGCTGTTCAATGGATACCAGTATCCTTGGAATTTCTCGTACTGTACTGACCATTGAGATGCCACTCGAGCAACAGTAGGAAGACGTGCGTGGGACAATACTCTGCTTCGCTCTTGCCTTATTTCCTCACACGTGGCTAGCGGTAAGCAGACTCCACTCAAACCTCATAAACTTCGCCAGGACTCAAACGCAATTAGTGTCTTTCTTATCCTATACGACTCTGCTACTTTAAGCCACTCTTTATTTACCCGTACTACGAGCTGTTCCCATACAGCATACTCACGGCCATGGCACGGCATCAGCCTTTGATCTTGGAGTTCTTCAGACCCGTTTTCTCAAGGAGAATCGCCGGTGAATTGGGATTCACTCGACGCAGGGACCGATAAATGGTGAAAAGAATGTATCGAAGACGAAACCGCACTCTCTACGCCACCACCTACATGACTTCAGGCTCACAAAGCATCGCAATTTAGAAGACGATAACGAGTCGTCTTTCAATAGCAGGATATAGCCTGCCTGTGCCAACGCCCAGGATTCTCCCGATAATACCGTATGTCCAACGTACGAATGCATACACGCAGGCAGGATGCAACCAAAGTACCCAGTTCTACACACATACCTCTTGTAGTATACAAACTAGACTACAAATTCGACACATGCACCAAGCCTTGACAGAGGGCATCGCGAAATGGGGACGAGTATTCAGGTCGACCAGAGTATTGAATGTTTGTTTGCTCTGGCATGTGAAGAAGGGCATGTCTTCACCAGTGAGTTCTCTTTTGTTCTGGAATGTTGTTGGCGTAGTAATGGCTATGTAGAATCCTCTACTGTGACTGTGACAAAGATGCACTAAAGAAGCTATTCTGGAAAAGCATACCACAGAGGAGATTGGCCGTGCTACTGATGAAATGGTAGATGGTTGTCGTCTACATGAATTCAGCGTCCTCCCAATTGGGCATCGTGGTCATGGTTAATTTATCCGGTTGCATAGTGACATGACACTACATTTATCTCGCCACAGGACCCTAACACCAATGACGATTGTAAGGACCCATTTATTGGTCTACGCTACAGACGGTGACTCTACTTCGTTGAGGATTTCGTACATAGACTTCGGCCGCAATCCGGTGTGCGGGCCTAGTTCCGCCCAAAGGACCTCAACCCCAATGTCGATCTCCCCACCCACACCCCACATCGTCACACCTTATTCCCGAAGCAGCTACTATACACGCCTATCATGAAGCTGTGTGGTGTAGTCGTACCGATCTCGGCACTTTTTTAAGCCTTTCGGCACGAGTCTTGTGAGTGCTTATACTTCCGCTCCCCTGCTGATGTTCCGCTTTTGCCTGCTGTGCTTTATTCCAAGAGAGACTGAGATTGCGCGCCAGCGACAATGCGGCTGTTCACATCGAAAGAGTCCGAACCCAAGGACGAGAATGGGGAGAAGAAGATCGAATCGATCAAAGACAATGGAGATATCGAAGCAGTACCAGCCGCGCAAGTGGCAGATGAAATCGACCCAGTAGTCGAGAAGCGCGTGCGACGAAAGTTGGACACGCACATCGTCCCGTTGCTTTCCGCCTTATATCTGCTCGCTTTCTTGGACAGATCGAACATTGGGTATACGAAATCGAATCTAACACTTGAGGTCATTGCTAACGTCGAGTACCAGAAACGCCCGTATCGCAGGGATGGAAGATGATCTTGGTCTCAGTAGTCCGCAGTACCAGTGGCTTCTGACCATCTTCTATATCTCCTATATCGTCTTCGGGTTCCTCGCGATAATGTGGAAAGTGATACCCCCACATATGTGGGCTGCGGGCTGCGTTTTCGTCTGGGGCCTCGTTTCGACCGTGCAAGCAGCGACAACCTCGTGGGGAGGAATGATGGCATGCCGATTCATCATGGGAGCTGCAGAAATCGCTTATGGTCCTGGTGTCCCATTCTTACTCTCGTTCTTTTATTTGAGGCACGAACTTGGGCTAAGATGTGGACTATTTTTATCAGCCGCTCCGTAAGTGATTCTTGTCTACAAACTGCAAGTGAGCCATGTACTGACTTCATATGCCCGCCTTTAGATTGGCAAATACTTTCGCAGGCGCGTTGGCATACGGTATCACCAGTGGTAACCCCGGAATGGCAAAGTGGAGAGTTTTGTTCTTGGTGGAGGGATTACCGACAGTGGTGATGTCCGCAGTCGCGTTCTTCTTTCTGCCAGACAGCCCAGAGAAGGCAAAGTTCTTGACAGAGGAAGAGAAGGCGGTTGCGAGAGCTCGTGGTGTGGCACAGGCTGGCGCCGCGACCAGAATCGGAAGCATCGACTGGAAAGAGATTCTGGAGGGGCTGATGGATGTGAAAGGCTGGATCCTCGGTGTAAGTCCATGGACTTGAAATGATAGTGCTTAACTGACATCAACAACAGCTTATGTACTTCAGTGGAAACGTCGCATTCTCATCCTTGCCGGTCTTCCTGCCCACAATTCTTAAAGAAATGGGGTTTTCGAGTGTCAACGCACAGGGGTTGACAGCACCACCTTTTTTCCTCTCTTTTATCACCGTTATAGTTACATGCTATATCGCAGACCGGACACAGCAGCGCGGCATCACGATCGCAATACTTACGGCCATTGGAGGAATCGGATATGTGATTCTGGCTACAACCAAGAGCGTGGCAGCCAGGTATTTTGGAGTCTTTCTGGCTGCTGCCGGCATTTTCCCAGCTATTGGGAATATTCTTCCATGGGTCACAAACAATCAGGGCTCTGATACGAGGAGAGGCTTTGGTATTGTCATCCTGAACCTGGTTGGGCAATGTGGACCTTTGTTAGGAACGAGGTAAGTTGTGTCTGTACGAAACACATGTGAGACATACACTGACTTTGTACCTCCACCTTCACAGGCTGTACCCCACATCTGAGGGACCTTTGTATGTGAAAGGCCAGTCTATATGCGCAGGGTTTATGTTTCTGTTCTGCCTACTGTCTCTCTTGCTGAGGACTATTCTTGTGTGGGAGAACAAGAAACTAGATCGCAAGTATGGAACGCTGCAAGAGGCGGCAGCGCGCGGTGAAGGCAAACGAAGAGTAGGCGTCGAAAACTACGGGCCCAGTTTTCGATATGTTTTGTAGAGCTACCAATGATGAATCAAGCCGTTATCTCACTGCTGCGCCACTCGATATGGTAGAGTGGCGGGGTATGATGCATATACAGCGTGTGGTGCTGGATCGAGAGATGTCCTTTGCTCCTTTCAATCTATTGACGACTAGTGACGCATGGAATTACCGTTAGAGGACGGAGTAGGAAGAACAAGCGTAATGGCGTCGAATCAAAACGCTAGGGACATGCAGGATTGCGATGTCCCGGCGCGACCTAATCGGGCTATTGAGCACGCGACTGATGTTACCTAGGTACTTGAGCAGCCCCCAGACTCATGCTGAGATGACATGGCAATCGGAGTCGGGATGGAAGTGCAACATGATAGAGTTTGTGAAAAGCTTGAAGGGCATTGGCATGAGTGAGATCCACCTGATGGTTCACACATGCGAACATGCCGAACAGCAAAGTTGGAGAGGCTAGACTGGGGCTAGACCCACATCCTGGGCACGGACATCCAATAATAACGTCACTGCCAGCCAGGTTCAAGATGAATATCGCAGGAACTCCACACTCTGCACTTCTTACGCGCTTTTCGCCCAACCGCCTTCGTGTCTACATCCCAGTGGCTCCTCACTGCTGCACCTCCTTGTCATACAGCACTAGATCTGCCATTGTTATCTTGATACGCGCTTGCCCTGCAATGGCATCGAATCCAGGCCCTTCGTCCGCGGCTGCTGCAGCATCCGACAACTCGTCGCGTCCAGGGCTAGAAGCTTCATCTGCGCCACCAAAGAAGAAGAAGACTCACCGTGGCGGAAAGAAGAGGCGCAACCGGCGTCAGTCCTTTGCTGCGGGAGCCGACCTGGCACAAGGCGACTCGATGGATGAACGTCCAAGCTTGGCAAATGTCGCCAGCCATGGCCAGTCGCGAGGAAGCAACCGCTTTTACCGCACCCACAGCAACCTCAGCAACACGAGCCTCGAGAGCGAAGCGCTCTTGGATCACAGAGAACAACCGACTATCCGAACGCGCAGACCGAGCGTACCTGTAACGTCCATGTACCAGCCGAGGGCAAGTCAGTCCAACGCCAACGTACCCCAACGCCTCCAAGCATCCGACTCATATGGCCGCTCCCGGCTGTCGCATACCCCTGAAGAGATCCAAGACAGTGATGCCGACGAAGATGCGAACGACAGAACGCCCCTGATGGCCTCTTCTCAGCGCGACATCAGGACAGGCACTAGCTATGGCTCCAACAGCGGCAAACCCCGAAGAGGAAGCAAGACGTCCATGAAGAGCCCAAAGCATATGCCCACGCCCGAACACAGGCCTGACCTGTTCACGCAACACCACCACTCTGCGACCAACCTCGACGAGTACGATGTCAACAACCCCCCGTCTGTTCCCACCAGCCCTGCCTTCGAGGCCGCCAGTGGCCTAGACGATGTCATGCTCCCGACAGATCTAGACCACATGTCTGACCCGGGAAGAGCCAACAGTCCGTCTCGCGATGCGCTCATCGATATCGATGAGGATGGTCACTCGGGTTCGCCTCCTGGTCCCGGCGACTTCAGACGCCGTATGACGACTTCTGGGCTTGAAGACGTCTGCTTCCCACACGAGGCTATGTCTGAGATGGGACACGAAGATTACATGAACGCTCCTACGACTGGCGAGCCAACGAGTCGCCGAAGACGCCGTCGCTGGCCCAATCTCGATGTTCTACAAGCTTGGGCACATGAGGAGAAGGAGCAGCGGACTATTGAGGGCATGCGCATGCGCAAGGTTAGTGAGCCGCTCATGGTAGAAGGACGTCTCCGACCAAGGCGACGCGTCTGGCATCGCGAGGACAGCGACGCTCCCTACCGCTTCACCTATTTCAACGAGACTTTCGACAACACAATTCACTCTCAAAGCATTAGCGAACTTTTGCAACCTGGACAGAGTTTCAGGAACCTCTTCGTCCCTGACCCGCCAATTTTGGACGACGATAGTGATTCTTCAGACACGGAGGATGACATGCTGCACGCAGGCCCCAACGGATACGCCTCTCGGACAACAACGCGTTCAACCTCGAAGGCAGAGGGTAAGTATTCTTCCGGTGAGCAAACCCGCTCGACTACACCCCGACCCACAGACGCCCCCAAGAATGATCAGCCTGAAGCCGAGAAGCCGAAGCGCTATGGCCCACGGCCTGCCTGGTGGTTGGATGTCATGTCCCCCACGGAGACTGAGATGAAGGTCATTTCTAAGACGTTTGGCATCCATCCATTGACATCAGAAGACATTCTGATGCAAGAGCAACGTGAGAAGGTCGAGCTTTTCAAGCACTACTACTTCATCAACTACCGTACCTTTGAGCAGGACGAGAACAGTGAAGACTATCTAGAGCCTGTCAACCTGTATGTTGTTGTGTTCAGAGAAGGTGTAATAAGCTTCCACTTCTCTATGACACCGCATCCTGCGAACGTCCGTCGCCGTATTCGTCAACTCTCAGATTACCTTGTTCTATCTCCCGACTGGATCTCGTATGCCATTATCGATGATGTCACCGATGCTTATGCGCCTATGATACAGAAGATCGAAGAAGAGGTTGATGATATTGACGAGGCTATACTGCGACTTCATTCGAGCGAAGAGGAACAGGAAGCTGAGAAAGAAAAGTCATACAGCTACAACAATCCGCACTACGACGAGCCTCCCGAGGTGAAGTCGCAGCAGGAAAGTGGCCGAGACATGTTGCGACGCGTTGGAGAATGCAGAAAGAAGGTTATGAGCCTCTACCGCTTGTTGGGTAACAAGGCCGATGTCATCAAGGGTTTCGCGAAGCGCTGCAACGAGCAGTGGGACATTGCACCTCGCAATGAGATCGGCATGTACCTTGGAGATATCCAAGATCACATTGTAACCATGACGGGCAATCTAGGGCACTACGAGAAGTAAGTTGAACTTGAACAATTATAGACCCATGAACTAACCCGCTTCTCAGCCTCCTCTCTCGTGCTCACAGCAACTATCTCGCTCAGATCAACATCAGGATGAACGAACGTCAAGAAAAGACATCTGACATTCTGGGTAAGCTTACAGTGCTCGGAACGATTGTCCTGCCAATGAATGTTGTGACGGGTATCTGGGGTATGAACTGGTGAGTCAAGTCGCCCGGCCTTGGTATAATCACATACTAACCAGCTTTAGTCTCGTTCCCGGTCAAGACATTGAGAATCTCAACTGGTTTTGGGCCATTACTGGAGGCCTCATCACCTTCGGTCTCCTCTGCTACTTCATCGCAAAGAGAGTGTATGGTATCGTTTGATAGAGCAGGAGAAAAGCGTAGATTGCTATTTGGTTGGAAGAATACATTGTACCACGCGGCGTTTGGGATGGCTTTGACGCGCACCGGGTCGCTCTTGGGCTAATTTGGATGGAGACAGTACACACGTTTGTTTTTGTACTACCACGTATAGACATGATGGTTGTCGTTCAACTAATATGTGAAACTCGTTTGCTCTCCACACGTCCATGTGCCTTTGACAGTGAGGCTCCAACTCACTGTCCGTTCAGACTGAAAGTAGATTTGTGCACCCACTTGGCCCCCACTGTCACCCCTCTTTTACGCAAGCACACACGGGAAGCCGCATGGATTAGATAGTATCCGTCTCGAACTACCGGCAACTTTGTGTTTCCGGTGAATGGAGGGTCGCATAAGCCGCAGAGTCGTGTAGGGGAGCTGAGACATGTCCAATAGTCATCATGCAGCTGGTTTCAGTGTGCTAACGCGTAGGTAGATGTGGTCACCTCGAAAGACATGATGAGCCGTTTCACCGGACCAAAAGGGAGCCTTCCACGGCGCGATTGCAGGAATGTGTGTTTGCTATCTGGTGGTCGTGAGAGCGTGTACAAGGGCTTTCAGGCAGTGGACAGATATTTGCATGGAAAAGCCTGTTAGGTACTGATTCGATCTTTACAGCACTCTGATGTACGTCTCCATCGATCGAAGTACGTCGGGTGCAAACACGGCCTTTTGTACGAGGTTCTGGGTTATTGTTCGCAAGGCCGCAAGGTGCTCAATACGTTGGGCAGACGTCTTGTCAGTCACTACCCAGAGGTGTCGGCGAGTTTGCGGTCAAGGGAAAAAACCGTCAAGAGCCTCAATGATGCGTTTTCCCGTTGATGGCGTCAAGAAGACGGTCTTCCGGAGCGTTGTACATGAGTTTTGCAGGGTAACCCTTGGTGTATTGGGTCGCTTCACTTTTGGGCTTCGCATGCGGTACCGCAGGAAAGTTTTGTCTTGCAGCTAGGTTCCAAGTTGGGCCCAAGTCGTGTCTTTATCACGGTTTTGGCTATGGTGGAGTCACAGGCAGCAGAGTTGGCAGCGGAGGCGCAGTCAGCGGCATGAGTCGTTGTCAGCCGCTCGAACTGCAAAGGCCATGGGCAGTATGGGCACCGTCCACATGCTCGAGCGCTCACCGTATGCGGGGCTATGCGCATAGGTGATGGCGCAATGTCCGGTGAGTTCTATGTTCCCACAAAAAGAAACTTCTAGCGAATGTGACAAGTTGCAGGCAGTGGTTCGCATGATGTGCGATGCGCGCGCTCCCGTCGTGGCTCGATGGTAGGGCTGCGACGGCGCGGTGAGCCCATCTTGTCTGCAAAGAGGGTGAGGCAGACAGATAGACAGACAGACTTTCGTCGGATGTGCACTGCCTGACTATGCCAGTATTTAGTCGGAGAAAAGTGGTTTTGGCACACATGGTGCAGCGTGCAATCAGTTGAGGTGGTGCGCAGTGGCCTTGACGTCATCCCCAGGGTACCTCCTCCAGCCTCTGGGCAGGCCAGAATCAAGTCTTCTGACGGGTTCCGCTATTCTTGACACTTGACGTCTTCGTCCCTACTCCGGTTCACCCTCTTATTACCCCACCTCCGTTTGCTATCGCAGTGCTACCAGCATCGCGCATCCCCAACGATAGTGAGTGTGTTGATCACCACGCTCGCCAATCACCCCAGGCCCGCCAACGTGCGATCGACGCCTGCGAGTACCCGCCAGCCGCCCTCGCTCAGCCGTACGCAGTCACCCAACGCAGCGACTCATAGCGACTGGCTCAGTAGGCGAGCACCAGACGCCAGAGTCTACAAACATTCCTGTCCTGTCCTCGTCCCCATCTGCACCACTTCTCACCACACTGCAACTTACCCCACTACTTGACTTTCCACGAACCCACGCCGCAGCATGTCGGTCATCTACAAGAGAAGCGAGCGCGAGCGCGAGTGGGACACCACGTCGGCGCGTGGAAGCGGCGCTGGCTATACCACGGTGAGGCGCTACAAGGTGCCCGACCACAGCCTCGAGGAAGACACGTACGAATCCGAGATGCGCCTCGTCCACCGTGGCCGCGACGACTTCGAAGACCGCCGCTCCGTCAAAGATTATGTCATTGAACGTCATCAAGAGCCTGCTCGAGAAGTGAGACACTACCACTACACCGAACGCGAGCGCGAAGTCTCCCCTCAGCGTTCCGAGTACAGAATTCAGCGCGAGTATGAGCGCTCCCCGTCGCCCGCCCGAACCGAGATTCGCATCTCCCGCGACTACGAGCGCGACCGGGAAATCTTCCCACGCGAACAGCAGCCCTATGAACTGGAGAAGTACTCGAGGTCTACTGAGTATTTCCGCCCCGAGCCGATCCCCCAACCACCACCCCAGCCCATCTACATCCGCAATGAAGCCCCCCAGCCCATGCAGATGCAGATGCAACCTATTATTATTCGGGAGGAGGCCCCGCAACCCATCATCATCCGCGAGCGCATTCAAGAACCAGCCTATGAGCTTGTTGAGCGCACTACTGAAGAAGACAGACAGGTCGCTCGTCCGCGTCACGAGGAAGACTATTACTACGAGCGCAGGGTCAAGGAAATCGACCGAGGTGGTCGTTACGACGAGAGATACGCCGACGAGCGCGAATATGATCATCGATGGGGAGATAAGAACTACTACAGCGACGATGATATTTACATCCACAAAGAGAAAGACACGTGGGGTGGAAGCGAGACCCGAACTAAGCGTGATGTTGCTGCGGGCGCTCTTGCCGGAGTTGCTGCAGGACAGATCATCAGACATCATCGCAAGAGGAAGGGTGAAGCCGCTGGAGGCAACATCGGGAATGCCCTTGGCTACGGCACATTGGGTGCTGTGAGTGCTGTGGCCCTCGATAGATTTAACAACCGTGATAGATCTCGGTCTGTTTCTTCTGAGCGAGGCAGGGGCAGCCGACGCGGCAAGTCTCGTCACCGCAGCAAGTCTCGAGTAAAGGAGTTGGGCACGCTTGCCGCTCTCGCTGGTGTTGGAGCCCTCGCCTATGCCGCTGGACAGAGGAACAAGAACAAGACGGCGGTCAAAGAGGAGACAGTCACGGTCATAGAAGACCGCCACCGAAGCAGGTCGCGTCACGGAGGTCGATCACGCTCTAGGAAGAGCCGAAGAAGACATAGGTCCGTCTCAGCTGTTGGATCTGACAGGGGTAGGTCTCGTAGCACGAGCAAACACCTAGATCCTGAGCACCGTAACAACAGAGCAGCGCAAGTCGGTCTTGCCACTGCTGCTGTAGCCGGTCTCGCTGCACGTAGCCGCAGCAAGTCTCGAAAGCGCAAGGGCAAAAGATCGCCCAGCCGAATCCGACAGGGCGTGCCAATCGCTGCTGCTGGTGTCGCCGGCGCAGCTGTTACTGGACTATATGAGAAACGCAAGGCTAAGAAGGAGGCTAGGGCGGCATCGCGGTCCAAATCAAGGTCGCGCTCAAGGTCGAGGTCAGTGCTCTCCCGCCTTACCGGACGTAGCCGTAGCAGGCGTGGAAGTACAGTGAGTGAACCTGTTTTAGTAGAGTACGGTGGTGATCCGGTATACACCGATCGCCCGGCCAGAAGTCGAAGCCGGAGCCGGAGCCGGGACCGAAGCCGTACGCACCGTAGCAGAAGACGACGAAGCTCTTCGTCATCTGATGGTCGAAGTCGGAGCCGAAGCAAGAGTCGAGCACGAACGGTCGCAGAGACGGCGGCGGTTGCTGGTGTTGCTGGTTTGGCTGCTCATGAAGCAGCAAAGCGACGCGACCGTAAGAAGGCCGAGAAGGAAGCTGAACGACGACGTGAGTCCACCCCTCGCCCATACCGCAATTAGCATACTCAACATCACCAGGCGAGGATGATTCAGCCTACTCCACTGGTACCTACAGCCCCTATGATAGTCCCACGCCATCCACTGCCCATCCTAACGACTCTCGTTTCTTCCCTGAATCGAACTACTTCCCCCCTCCCCCTACTGCTCCAGTAGACCACAACCCAAACAACCCATACCCTCCGTACAATCCGGCAGATTACCCTCCCCCTCCAAGCGCATATGAGCCAAATCATCCATCACAGTTTGTCAACCCACCGCACGAAGATCTACATCTCGGTAATCCGTATGCTCCTCAACACCAACAACAACATGAACCCTACTATGGTCAGCCACGACGTGGGGGTGACAATGTGAGTGCTCCAGTTCCTGATCATGGCGGTAACGAGCACTATAACTTCGCTTCTGCGCGTGGTGGGTTGAGGCCGATGCCTGCCCATGAATTGGATAGCCTTGCTGATACTAGAACAGGTCCCGTAGACGAACCGCGTAGCCCAAGCCCGACGCCAACAGAGGAGAAGAGCGTCAAATTTGACCTGAACCCACAAGAGGAACCCCCGCGGGAGCCGTCACGGGAGCCTTCGCCTGACTCTGATAGGGAGCATAGACACAGGGACGACCACAGCCACAAACGTCACAGACGCCGTAAAGATGACGACCGATCAGACATTACGAGAGAGTCTGGTAGAGCACGCAAGAGACGTCATAGGTCTGAGAGTCCTGGGTCTGATGCGTCTGACGCCACCATTGAACTCCCACCACGGTTTGACGAGCGTGGGCGTCAGCAGCCTGAGGATCCGCTGGCGAAGCAATTGGAGAGTGTCTTGCAAAGCATATTCCGATAGCGTCTTTTGCTCGAGTAGTCTTCTTTCTGTCATGTATTCTCTTTTTCTACGTCGTTTGCTCACAAAGAATGTGTTCCGTATTTTTGACTCATCTATTCCCTATATCTGGAGACTTTGTATATGGCGTTCTAAGATGGTTTCGATCATGATAATGAGGTTACGATATCACGGTGTCAAGATGCATTCTTGTTCTCATTCCTAATACTATTCCCTTGGTACATACGTAATAAATGTTATCTTCTTTTGTTTGCAAGATGGGCTCAACTCTTGGTGAAGACTATTAAGGATCTCGAAGATGTCGCACAGATGGCCACGACTGGACTGCTTGACTACAGCCTCGTTAGTACCTGAGACCCAATCGTGACTGCCTACCCTGAGAAACTGAGAGTTGAGTGGTGAAGTCTGTTGGCTTTGTTGGCGCGCCTTCCCTGCTGTTGTCACGGCTGCTCCTTTTGTAAGCATTGCAACTCGGCGCGACGAGAAACCTCATCCTCACGCCCGCAGCCGCACCCTTTCAACAACACCTTCCTATCGCTCTCGAATCGATCTCCCTTACTCTCCTCATATCGTACCGCACTGGCGCTGCTTACTCGTCGATATGCTTGTCCCACGCTACTTCTTGTTCTTCGCCGCGTTGTTGACACTCTTGGTGACAGCGCTACCCGCCACTGCTGAACCACCATTTCCGCCGTGCGTCGGGTAAGCTACAGAGCTAAAATTATGTGAAACAAGAAATTTAATGTGCACAGTGGCTCGATTTACTTTACCGCTCACACCATAGACAGCCTGCTATTCCAAAATCCAGACCTCTACCACGATCTCTACGTCTTCAAATGCATCACCACGATCGTTCTTACTGCAGATAGCGGCGGTGAAGCAGCCAATCACACTCGTTTGCTAGAGCTTGAGCGTGGTCTCGAAAATGCTTACAAGTTCATGTCTGATGTGTCATCTGGTGATGCAGATGACAACCAGTCTGTGTCTGCTCTCACAGAGGCAACAACACGTGAGGCACCGCAAGACTTCTTGATTACGTGCAACGGAACTGAACAAAGTGTCGCAGTTGCCAACGATACGACGGCCCAGATTGGGGAGCACACAGTCTCCGTCTCTCCACTTCTCGGACGCTCGAATGTACAGATCATTTACCTTCGCCTTCCCCAGAGCGAATACTTCGGGAAAGGATACAATGCGTATTCTGAAGAGTCACTAGCCAAACTATACAACTCGGAGATACCGCAAATCTCTACGACGGACGGAAAGGTCACCTACACTCTTCAGCATGTAAAGGACATCATCGCAACGATCATCAGGGATAGACGGGCAAACGACATCCATATGCTGAACTACTTCGAAGCTCTCAACACCGATGAGGGCGATCAGCTCGACCATGCCGACCGCATTGTCTCTGCCAAGCTTGTGATGAACGTCATGGAGGACATGGGTTTCAATGGAAATGTCAAGGTGTATGTGTATGCTCACGGGCAGTGGAAGGCTGGCTGACATTACCAGATACGCAAGCGACTCATTACGCATGTTGCGAAACAACCTCAACACACCAGACTACATCAAGAAGGTCGATGCATTCTTCGAATACGCTAAGCATGATCCTGATATGGTACACTCATCACCTATACTGTCCACTTCGCAGCCGGAGTTACATCTAGTTTGCATTGCTAACATCAGTACAGTGTCAGAGTCTTGATGAGTGCGGTCAGAGGCGCCAGAACTTGGATGTCTCCAAGACTAAATACGCCGAGGTAGACCATGTCGCTGAGTTTCTGAAGCGGGAATACTACGTCGAATAAGCCTCTTTAGTGTTTATTCCAGGTGAAGACATGAACCAGAGAAGGACACATCCAGAACCGATGATGATATTCTGTCCATGATGAAAAGGACGTTGTAATAAGCTTGATGTGCTACATCATATACCGTGAATGAATTGAGATCACGTAAACATTGCTCGCTTAACGCCTGATATGCAAGTTTGAAACCTTTACTCCTCTTCCTTCTTCCAGCCCGACTTGCGCTTAATGTCGAATTCCACCGGACTTAACCTACGTGCTTGAATACCCGACGGAGACTCAGGCGGCGTGACAGTCTTTGCACCCATCTCGTCGTCGTCCTCGGGCTCCCAAGCCCTCTGTTTCGCTAGCAGAGCTGCAAGTTTGGGATCCACACCCATGCGTTCCGGCACCGGTGGAGGCACCTTTCTTGGTCCACCTGTCTTCCTCAGTCCCGCCTTTGAATCCATAGCTGCTGGTACAACGGGCGGAACCTGACCCTTGAGCTCTCGCATGATGGGCATATCAGACGGCGCAATTGCACCACCTAGACGCGCAAATGGCGCTGGACTTGAAGGTGACATGGGTATGCCCGAAGTTGTGGGTGTGTCGGGGATATCTTGGGATTCGTGAATAGGCACGCTGCGGCCACCTAGTTTGAAGCGGCCAATCTTCTGTTCGCCGACGGGAGGGAGGGCGTAGTTTGTTTCCCTGGATACCGTAGCGGGCTTGGGTGCTGGTGGGGGACGGGGAGCAGATTTGGCGACTGCGAGCTTGGGAACTGGAGCTGGAGCAGGAGGTGGTGGTGGTGGCATGCTCTTCATAGGTGGAGTGGCGGGTGGTGAGGGCGGCGCAGCTGTCCTTATTGAGACGTCTGTTCTGGTAGATCGGATCTGTGGAAGGAGTGAGGTTAGTAGATGCTGCTTCCAATCTTCAATGCCTGAACCTACTGCGTCTTCTTGGTATTTCCTCTCCATATGTTCCAATCTTGCAGACTCTCTCAATGCTCTCTGCATTTCTTCCTCCTCCTCTTTCTTCTTCCGTGCGGCTTCGTCCAAGGACTTTTGAATCATGATCTGCATGTCCTGGTCCAGCCTTTCTTGCAGTTGTCTTTCGTATTCTGCTTTACTCTGCCTTTCGACTTCTCTTGTGCGTGCCTCCTCTGCTGCCATCTTCTTTTCGTGTTCTCTTCGGCTTCTCTCTCTGGCTCGTTCTTCAGCTTCCCTTTCAGCCCGCCGCTTTTCCTCTGCTGCCTTCTTCTTCTCCTGTTCTCTACGACTTCTCTCCCTGGCTTGTTCCTCGGCCTCTTTCTCGGCCCGCCATTTTTCATCTGCTAGCCTGCGGTTCTTCTCTAGGAGTTCTCTCTCACCACGTCGCAGAGCCTCCTCGTTTTCTGCGGCTTCCCTGCGTTTGAATTCTCTCTCCCTCTCCAGGTCGCGGCGCATAGCGGCTTCTTCGTTTTCGCGGAGACATCTACTGCAGATTCCGTTCTCATTCCAAGTTTTTATCGTGCAGCGGTCTTTTGTTTTAGGGTTCTCACGGTCACAGCTGACGCTAGTTCTTTCGAAGTAGGGGCAGTTGTATGTGTCGACATGATCATTCTGTTTGTGGCCGCACTCGAGTATTGTTATTGTGTACCTGCACATCTTGGGCGTAGATGTGGATGGGCTGAGAGACGAACACGAAGGTAAGTCGGCAGTGTACGATGGGGTATAGAGAGGGGTTGTGGAGAGGAAAACTAGGAAATGTTGTGATAGCAGTGATTAATACTTATACGCCGAGGATATTGACCGCCCCCATGTACTAGTGAAGTGCTGCAGGAGTGATGGCCTCGTACACGTAGCTGCATCATATGACTCTGAAACAAGGCTGGAAGAAGCGGATGCTGTTCTAAGCCTGTGAAGGCACCGGATTGACATACAAACATCAGTACAACTCATCAAACAGCGGTCGCGGCTGCGTCCGCGCAGAGCGCCGTCAATGAGGCGAGCAGCGGCCGATTGGCCAGATGCACTGTCTGCGGTGTCTCTCCACCTACGACGGCACAGAAAGAGAGATCCTGTGCGTTCCTCAGCCCACCGACTGCTACTCCCAAAAGTTGCAAGGTCGCGAGGTGCTCCCAGCTCATGTGTTAGCAGACCCACAGTTTTATCAGACGTGGTTGACCGCCGTAGGCGCATTCCATCAGCATCGATGCGGCTCTGTACCGAGCCATTTTCGCTCACAGGCTAACACGGGGACATTGCCAGCAAAGGAACCCGCAGGCTAGAATGTCGCCTATGCCAGAGAAAAATGAAGCTCCCGCAGTGTGCAGAGACGACACCATGCAAGACGACGGTGTCGGTGGGGATAGCTACGTGGCGGGCTCAGCTATACTGGGCATGGTTGGATGCAGCAGAGGCGGTAATGTGTTTCAAACAGCGAGTTCGTAGACCCATGCATGCTCGGGAGAGCGGCGATCAGGTAATACTATCGATCATATCCAGCATGAAGCGATGTTTGAGAAGACCTGAACTATGCGGAGTAAGAGTGAAGAGGCGTGCAAGGCCGGATGGAGTGGGGTGTTGAGAGCAGCCAATCAGAGGCGGCTGATTGTAACGGCCCCTGTAGATTGACTTGGCATTTCGGATGAGCTTCATCGTTGACATCTTCAATCGACGCCATCGCCTCCAGCCCGCAGCACAACCCACCATGGCCTCAAGACTCGTCCCCCTCGCATGCAGGATTGCCCCACGGGCCTCGCGACAGTTCCAGAGGGCTCAATGGCGGGCTTTCAGCGTATCGCGGCCGTCATGGAACGAGAGCGGCTCGCTCAACGTCGTATGTCTTTTCTGTGTCTTGCGCTGAAAGCCGAGCTGACATATCTGTAGCACCGCGACACGCCCCAAAACAACCTCAAAATTCCCTTCAAGTTCACGCCACAAAATGAGGAACTCATCCAAGAGATTGTCTCCCGATACCCCTCGCAGTACAAGAAGGCCGCCGTAATGCCGCTCCTCGACCTGGGACAACGCCAGCACGGATTCTGCAGCATCAGCGTCATGAACGAGGTTGCGCGGATACTGGAGATGCCACCAATGCGTGTGTACGAAGTTGCGACTTTCTACACCATGTACAACCGGGACCCAGTGGGCAAGTTCCACGTCCAGGTCTGCACAACTGTGGGTTGACTCTATGCTTGGCGTCAAGGGCAGCAGCTGACAGCATCTAGACCCCATGCATGCTTTGCGACAGTGACTCCGTTATGAAGGCTTGCGAAGACGTCTTGGGTGTACACCACGGCGAGACTACTGCGGATGGCCTCTTCACTTTCTCAGAGGTAGAATGCCTTGGTGCATGTGCGAACGCGCCTATGGTCCAAATTAACGACGACTACTACGAGGACCTCACATACGACTCAACAGTCAACCTGCTTAAGGCTCTCAAGCACGCCGCTCAAACCACCGGTGCGCAGCCCGGAGACAAGGGCCTGGCGAGTGGATCTGGCAAGGGATCGCTCAACGTAGAGGCAGGTGCTGGCGAGGCTCTCGCCAACCAGCAGGGACGAGAATACGCGGCTGGCGGTGCCAAGCTACCATCACCAGGACCATTGAGCGGAAGGAAGAGCTGTGAGCCAGCAGGCGGTCTCACTTGCTTGACAAGTGAGCCCTGGGGCAACGAGACTTTGAGGAAGGACGGTGAGCTATAGAGGGTTTTTGTAAATACTGTAACATCTTCCCTTGCATCCAGAGTAAAAGTCTTGGGGGGCTGATCTTCTAGCAGCGTCATGTAGACCATCTCAAATACCAAATTTGTTCAACAATCTACATGCACATGTGTCACAAGTTGATGTTAATGTATAAGTGGTTACATTATTCCTGACTTCTCAATATTGTACAAGCCATGCCATGTTCACTCATTGGACTCGAATGCTTCTATATATCATCCATAATTGTTCCTTGCCGAGTTCGTTTTCGACTCCTAAAACGATTAAAATAGAAATGTGCATGCAATGTTGTGCAACCTGCAATGGCTACAATCCTGTCAAACGCCTTCGCTATATCCATGGGACGGGGTTCCCAAAAACAAAACCCCCCAAGCCGTGCCGGTCCCAAATGCAATGCTGATGTGTTGTAATCAAGGCTGTCGTTGGCGTTATACAATGTCACCTGCTGTCGGTAGACGATGTCGTGTATCTAACTTTTCGGAAAAGATTCTTCGTCATGAGATTCCTGCCGTCTTGTCCGGAGAGTACTCGTGATGCGAAGTGAGAAGTAAATGCGCTGGGCTGTAGTTCGGTTCGATAATGGTCATGTTGGACTGTTTGTCCTACAAAAAGCCCGAGTTCAACTTGCCCATCAGCAGGTCTCGTGTCATCTCGAAGCTGAGCCAACTGCTAGCCATGCTGGGCGCGACCTTGAGAAGGTTGGGTACGATACCCTTGTAGAGACCCCTAAAGCCTTCAGTCTTGATGATCTGCTTGATAGCATCGCCAATTCCCGCATACTGGTACCCCATGCCACTCATGGTGTTGATCTGGAATCTCCGCCGCAGAACATCAAACGGGTATGTGATGGTCTGCGCGACAGCACCGGAGACGGCACCTGCTCCTAGCTTGCCAATAGCACCGGGATCCTTCTGGCCGTCGCGTGTGAATTTTGTACGGGCAATCTCGTAGACCATGAAATTAAGGCCGACATACGGTGCGACACCTGCCACGGTGGGAAGGATGCCACGATATAGCGCCGGAATGCCACCCTCGGTCTTGTACATATTCGCAAGCAACGCCCACATGCCCGGTAACTTCTGGCCAGCTTCCTTCTTGAGATCGGAAAACGATGCGGATTGAATGGATAGACGGGTGCGGACGATATCGAGCGGGTAAGTGAAGGTTACGGATGTGATACCAGCAAGACCACCACAGAGTAGTCGCTGATAGGCATCGAGGGGCGCGCCTGGTTCGCTCTCGAAGAACTAGGGCAAGTCAGCTATGAGAAATTGGGGAAAATCCCGTTACCATCATTCTCATTGAAATTCCTTGATGTCCTCGTGCACCCCTAAAGCGCTCTCCGTTTCTCCGGCTCTCAGGTCCTTCCCAACTTACCGTCACCCCTCTCCTTTCTGATTCCTCCCTTACCTTGTTCCTCCTGACGCAGAGTTCATGAAGCAAATCGCTCGCGAGAAACCAAAAAAAAAAAAGACGTTGTAGGAAAGAGTAATGACTTACTCGCTTATAGACGTTGTATGCGCTGAATTGCACAGCAGAGTATGGCACAATGCGTATACAGTTGGTACCGTTTCCGGCCATGAAGCCTCTCCAGCCCTCTTCCCTCCACATCTTAGCCAGTGCCTTGGGGACCGACATTTTGTATTCTTCGCGACCAACACTCTGGACCTGAAACAAGATCTTAAGGCGTTCGAGCGGGGATACGACGGTTCGAGATACAGCGCCCGCTACGCCGCCAGCAACAAAAGAAGCCAGGACTGGCTGCGCGAAGACCTGGCGAATGCGCTGCAGGCTGGTGATGTCTGGCGTGCCGAGGGGCTACGATGAGGGGTCAATTGGCATTTTGTGAGTAGAAGTGTGTCCTGTACTTACTTTTATGCCCTTGCCCGGTTCGTCGCTCATGATTGCGGGTGCTTGCGATTGCGGCTTCTCTGATGGTTTCGACATGGCTCAAGTCGACGTTACTGGAAACGTGGCGCTGTTGCCCTAGAAAGTGCAGTGTGTATTGTCCGGACAGGGACAGGTTCTATCGAAGCAAAGAAAAGATCGCGCGACGGAATGTCGAGGTCATCGGAAGTTGGTGTTGCTGAGGTGAAGACAGATTTCCGGCCGTATGGGGTGAGCAGGACTTGTCGATTCACAATGGGTTCGATCTTCCATGCAAGGCAGTTTTCAGATGAGTGCGTAGAGGTGTCTTCGCGCGCGTGTCATGGGTATTGCGGCTCGTTAGTGTTGTCGTGTTTGGATGGTTTGGTAGTGGAGATTTGAGGATACCGCGGGAGGAAGGAGCAGATTTTAGGCTAGCGCCACCAACCAACGAATGCCATCAGACATGCTTATAACAACCACGGTACTCGCTGTCAGCCCGGTCTTTCGCGACTCGATACTTGGCCCCGGTTGACACCTGTCATCGTCTGTTCCCGGGGTCAGCCCCTTGATGGGGCTGACTACGAGTCCACTAGAATCACAGGGCTGACCCCAAGTCACAATGATTCGACGCGCATCATAGCAACACGTCAGGGGAACACAAGGGCAGGTCGAGGGAAACTGGCGTTGCGCCTCAGTCACCCCTTACTAGGCATGACAGTCAGCTGCGCGCAGTCACCCCCTTTATATCAGCTGTTGTTAGAGACGCAGCAGGTCGTTGTCCTGTAGTTATGCTGCTCATGACCTTGGTACGCTCTGTTCGTCTGAGATGGTTGTCGTCACATGCGGAACCGTCTCGCTTCCGGAATGCTACCGCTCTGTCACCACATATCACGAAGGCATCCAGAGTATACACTTTCCTGAGCACACGACCCCACACCCAGTTAAGATAGCGTCCTCACTAGACTCTAGAGGACAGCGGGGTACACATATCGGCCGTGGAGGTTGTAGACGATGCGAGGTTCCGAGGTCAAAGACGATAATAATCCGGAGATGACCTCATTTGCAGCCCCGATGAGTGCTCGCCATTGCAAACACAGCAGACGTCCTCTAGTAAAGATGATGATGGTGTCGCTTGCAACAAATCGACGTCGGAGCTGCGTTCTCTTCTGCCGGAGGCTTTCTGCAGAGCTAATACTACAACTGACCTGTCGAGCTGTTGTTCATGTCCGTTATCGATAAGGATGTATAAGACCTGCGAGGGCAAAGGCGAAGGCGAAGGCTCAACCTTTGCGCCTCCTCTATGCTATCACGTCGCCTATTCCGGCAGCTCACCGATAGCTTGCTACTGGAATCGACATGTCGTCCAGTAGCATCAGCCTGCTTTGCCTCAACATGTGCGACCCGTGACTTTCGTCAACCAAGAAATGTGCCCTCATCTCGTCGTTCGTCTTCATCTTCGACCAAATGGAAGTCACGTCAAGGCAGGGACTTCTTCTCCAAAGAAGCTAAAGTCCAGGGTTTAAAGAGCCGCGCTGCATTCAAGTTGCTCGAGGTAATGGCTCCCTTTACGACAGATGCACAGTCGCTGACATGCAATAGCTCAACGGCAAGCACAAGCTATTCAAACCCGGACAAACCATTGTTGATCTTGTAAGTTTGTATACATTTTTGAGATGATATAGCTCATATAAGCCAGGGATTTGCACCAGGGTCATGGTCTCAGGTTTGACGGACACATCTGCTCAAGCGATCCCATCTTAATTTCTTCAGGTCGCTGCAAATCGTACTGCCCCAGATGGTCGCGTCATAGGTATAGATTTGATACCTGCACAACCACCAAGAGGTGTCTCCACTATACAAGGCGATTTTCTCTCACCTGTGATCCAGGACGAGGTTCGAGCCTATGTCCGAGATCCAGAATTGGGCCGACTTAGGAGGCAAGTTTCTGCAAAGGCGGATGAGGGGGTTACTGAAGAAGAGCTGGACGACATGGAACGTGGGTACATTGATATTGAGCGACAAGCTCATCTAGACGGTGCAGAACTCGAGCCGATCGGGCGGCTAGCAGAGGGTAGTGACGCAGACCAAGAGGATCTGTCAAGGCTCTCGGTCAAGGAGAGGGATGCGCGGCAAGGCAGAGCAGTGGACGTTGTGCTCAGCGACATGTCAGAACCCTGGGACCAAACGGCCGGCTTCTACAAGAAGAGCCTTAGTGACCCATATTCTAGGTTGATGAACACGAGTGGAAACGCGTTTAGAGACCACGCTGGTAGTATGGTAGGTGTCTCTGCGACCAGCCGCGGCCTGACTAATGTTTGTAGGACTTGTGCATGGCTGCCATGACATTCGCATTCGATACACTGAAGACTGGCGGTCACTTTCTCTGCAAGTACTACAAGGGGTCAGAGGAAAAGGCGTTTGAGACGAAGCTCAAGCGTCTCTTTGCCAAAGTGTACCGAGAGAAACCGGAGTCGTCACGCGCGGTACGTCTTGTTGCGCGACTGACGTTCTTTACTGACTGGCTCCAGGAATCAAGAGAGGCGTACTTTGTAGCACTGCGCCGCAAAGAGACGCCCACAAAGGAGGAGGTCTTTCAAGAATAACAAAGGAATTTACACATGTTCAGTGTGGAGTGGTATCTATACATATTACTTCGGTCCGAAATATGTACTGTAGATCCCGAGGAGTGATCACGTTTTGCGCTCTCTACACCGAGACTTTCCTCTTCGGCGCCATGTTCCGACGTCATGCAGCCACATGGATATATCACACACACTGGAAGGAGTGTTGAGGACTGGGACCCGGTTAACGAGGCCATCCACACACCGCGTGATGAGCTAAGGGCTCGCTTAGAATCGCAGGATGAGAACCTATGATGTAGTTACACTCGATTGCCAAGCTCATCACGAATACAACGTGGCGTTTTTAGATGAGGCAGGAGTGCACAAGGGAGAGGGATAGCAAATGTGAGGTACAAGGCAGAGATGTGTGCTGCTTCCAAATCGCCCCATGGCGGCCCCGTCTTTCCCAGGAGTCAGGGACATGGCACATGCAAGTGGCCGTTTATTTAGATGCCGGATAAGAGCCCCAGGCCCGGTATTAATGGCAGGCCGTCGTACCTGGTGACAGATCTGGAAGCGTCTCGTCCCATGGCGGGGGGATATGTCAAGCATTTTTGTGGGCCCATGTGACAAGGATGCGGAAGGTGTGAGGTTGCTTGAGGCGCTGCATTAGGACATGCTTGCACGCTGATGCAGTAGACAGTCCTGCAGAATTTGGGCCGTTTTCATGTTCCTTTTGCAAGTGTTGCTTGCGCTCGTGAAAGAAGCAGTCGCGCTGGAGTGAAGGGAGAAGAAGGCCAACGATGACTCGCTCGGCTGGCCTGAGCTGGGGTTGCAAAGCTTCCAGAGCCGAAACCCAAGCTTATCACGAACCGCACGTTTTCTCCCATCAACCCACCGATCAATCTAATCCGAGTTGTGCGACGTGGCCAATGAGTGCCGACAATGGATTTCAATAACCCTAATGCGTATGGCGGCCAGTTCGCCAATTCTCCGCAACACGCCCAATTCGATGCACAGGCGCGGCTTCAGCAACAGGGCAACCCACATGGACAATATGGGCAGACCGCATCTTTCCCGGGCATGGGTGGCGCCATGGGCAGCAACGGAATCCAGCCAGGAGCCCCATATCTCCAGCAGCGAGGTAAGCCAGTGACGTGCGCGTGTTCTTGATCTGCCCCATGGCCGCAAATGGGCGCGTTCCTGGCTGACATGACACCATGGAACAGCCGCCATGCAGCAACAGCAGCAACAGCAACAACAGCAACAACAACAACAACAACAGCAGCAGCAGCAACACCAGCTGTCGTCGCCGAGCCCCTACTCCAACGCGCCCTATGCGCAGACGATGCCCTCGCCCGCCCACCACCAGTTTGCCCAGAACCGCCAGACGGCCTCCCCCGCGAGCACCACCGGACAGGCGCCCTTTGCGACGCCCCAACCCCAGCAGTCGCCCAGTAGCATGCAGACCAACGGCCAGCAGCAGCCCATGAATCTCCAGCTGCCCGTCAAGGCCGAGCCGCCACAGGTCCACACGCCAGTCAAGCAGGTGCCCCCGTCGCCTGTGTCGCCAGTCAACCAGGCGCGCAGTGCCGACCGCGTCGCGACCCTCCTCGACATCAACAGCATCCTCATAAAGGAGGTCTGCGAGCTCCAGGTGCAGGGCAAGGCCGGCCAAGTAGGGCCCACGCCAGAAGGGAAGCCCGAAGGCGACAAGCCCCAGCCATCCAAGGAGTACGTAGAGTGAGTGCGCCGCCTCCCACGCGCCGTCTCAGCTAACAAGCCCAGCTACATGCGCCGCCTGCAGGCAAACCTCGCATACCTTGCGCAGAACGCCGAGAAGGTGCCTAAGCCTGGTCAACAACTACAGCCTGGGCCTGCCATAATGTCGATTCCCGCCGCCCCCGCCGAGCTCGCAAAGCTGTATACCAAGCTCCAGGAGCTGTTTCCGGGATGGAAAGGCCAAACTCCCCAGATGAAGCAATCACCAGGACCACAGCGCATCAACTCGAATACCTCACAACCACCGAATAGCGCAGGCCTGCAGCAGAATTGGGGGCAGAACGCTATGCAGCAGCAACAGCAGCAGCAACAACAACAAGCTAAGCAGGAGAACCAATAAAGGGTCGAACAACCTCCTCCATCGCAGGCGTATGGACGGCGTTACTGTACTTTTATACCTTGTGTAAGATTGGCGTAGACAAGACGTGCTTGTCATGGGTGTTTTTGAACAATTCTACAAAAGAGTCGGACACAGGATGCTTGTTGAACTACATGATATCGGCAGTTCACTTCCAAGAACGGTTATTGATAAGCGTCTCAGCGGGTATATCTCTATAATTCGGAATTACAAAACGGTCGACACAAGGCAGCTGCAGTTACAAACAATCACAGCTAACAAAATGTGGCGGAATGAATCCAGCTACGCAGATCGTGGAATGAATCACACACTACAGAGATGGACAAGGTTGTTGGGCCCACCCAATCTAGACAAGCATAATGACATGGTCTCCGGGTAGTTGAAGCATGCTGATACGCGTCCAATACTAGCATACTAATCACTACGTCTTCGGCCTTGCAACTATGAACCATATCTACCAATTCGGTGCAGACAACGTCACCATACCCGCAATTAATGAATTGACGAACACTCCGAAGTGAAAGTACTCAACGGCGCCACCGCGCTACCTTCCAAGCCCTCGGTTGCCAAAATAGCGGATCCATGATATAGTCTCAAATGATCGACACTACCGCTAGGAGTTGCAAGGATTTGTGTTGCATAAGACTACTGCTGGCGCAAGACTTCCTTATCCTTGTTTGCAGGATTCAACCATCCGGCCCGCTTCATGCGAGCAGTCAATAGTGGAAGACTCTCGAAATCCTGAGAACGTGAGGTTACCATTACGGTCGAAAATGCTGTCAACCACTAGTAAGCCAGTAAGCACAGCTTCGTATTTAGCATTGAATAACTTCAATATGGCGCCCTGTCGGATCTGATCACATCTGCGGACGTATTGCGCTTCATAAGGGAAACCATCAAAAATAATTGGTCTAGCTCTTTGCGTTCATTCTCACCACCCTTGACATTCTATAGCTAGCTATATATGACCACCACTACAGTGTGACTTGCTTGAGGCGACGTGTGTTTCAGGTATCTAAGGTCGAATAAGAGTCACACCTTACAAGCTCTGGCTCATTGACCGTACTTGTACACATTCCAGTCAATACCGATTTTGACCTGTCATTCCTCGTCGAGAAGAGGAACTCTCGCAACAGTGAACACGCCGAGCAATCCGAAAAGCGCTTTTTAGACTATTGGGTATTGTTCATGGATAGCTGGGATTGGATCCCCTTATGTCGCCCGTTCGAAATATCTGACTCACGTTGACACCTTAAGGCACACCACGGCTTACACGTAGTGCTTGCCTGACGTCATTTCAGGCGAAAGCCATAGTCAAGAACGCTCTTCTCTTCACTTCCTTTGGCATCAACAGGCTCTTCTGCTTTTGTCAATACAAACCAAAATGACCGAAGTTCCGATTCACGTAGAGCTCAACAGCCGTTACAACGCCTTCGATACATCAGGAAAGCTACCATTCAGTGTGGTCTTCGGTCTCTGTCGATTACAAAAGTCCGATACAGACTCTCGACCAATACTCGTTGAAACGGCTGGTTCAGTCTTCGATGTGCCTTACGCCCTGACGCATGGATTACTTTTACTGTACGAAGAACGCCCTGGGGAATCTACGAAGTGGGTTGAAGTGGATACAAGCTCGATGGGCGAGGTGGATGAGAGCAACTCAGGTTGCATCTCAGTTCCGTCTCCGATCCACCGGAAAAAGAACTGGAGAGATGATCTCACAGTATACCTATGTGCTATCGATCCTCAGGGGGTGTTAGCATTAGCCCTGAAGCCGCGAAAAAGATACAGGATAAAACTCGCAAGCCGCGACCTTGGTGTCAAAAAATGGGTGTATAGTGACCGAGAAAGGTTTTCCGACAGCGACGGAGACGGTGAGGAGGCGAAACTGGTAAACAGCTACTCTCACGGCCATGCAGCTTTTAAGGTTGTTGATGACCTGACGTTTCCACCCCAACTAGAGATAAGAATGCGCCTACTCAAGAGTACGTCCTTGGAAGTCACTGTTGTCAATGCTGGCTCTGAGACTGTAACCGTGCAACCACGGGGGCACCAGAACTTTCTCGTCCCATGGGGTCCTTCGGCTCCAGAACCTGACACCCTCGACGATCGCCCAAGGATCATCGACCAGTCAAAGCAACGACACTCGCCCGTGTCAAGTCTCTTCGTCGTCAATGATGCAACTGATGAAATAGTGCGCGGACATCACGATACTAGCATCTGCCACTTGAGGGATTCAAAAGCCGACCTGCGACCGACGATTGATGAGTTGTCAATCTTGAAGCCTGAAACCCCAGTCGTTAACGTAGTCGATATTAGCTCAAAGATTAAGGGCCTTGAGGACGGACGATACAAGATTCGAATGCATCCAAAGGGTTGCCGATGGTGGCGCGACGTGCTGAGGAAAGAGGAGGGAGGAGGCGAGAAGGTCCCAGTGCGTCTATGGAAGAGTTGGACTGTTCCAATCATGCTGGATTCAGAGGACGAATTAGAGATAACCATCAAAGATGGGAAAGTAGATGGAAGTGCGTAAGACATGATCGGTAGCTTGGCGGATGCTAATACGCGCGCTGACGTCATGTTGAACATGTCGCGTGGCACACGCGTGGCAGAGTTGTTGCTGTTGTACGCGTAACATCAATTTGGGCACTTTCATATGCTGACGATGTTCAGCGCGCCGAACATTCTGCAGCGATGAATTCATTACAGTACGGAGAGGCAAAGGGAGCCGATTTCGGACCGTCGGACCATTTCATTTGACATGACGCCATATCAAAAAGTCCCCGATTTACTAATCTACATCGCCGCCATAGACACCGCACCAAAGCTCTAGAACACACCTCAGGCACCTGATTGCTCTCACAAACTTCACAATGGCTTCTTTTTTCCCTCGTGCAGCTTCCCGAGCTCTTCGCTCTTCAGCGCGCCCTGCACTAAGGGTACAGCGCCCTGCTGCCCCACTATTCCGTCGTGGATTCGCGCTCCCAGCTGAGCAACCACGACTGAGACTGGGATCCATTGGTATGTGGTTCTTGGAGAGAATTCCAAGTCAAGAGGTGAATCATACTGACCATGCGTAGCACCCAACTTTCAGGCGAAGACTACTCATGGCGACATGGTAGATATCTCCAACAAATTGTTTGTGGAAGATATACTGACCTCAAACAGGACTTCCATAAATTCTTGGACAACAAGTGGACCATCCTATTCTCGCACCCTGCCGACTTCACTCCCGTTTGCACAACTGAGCTTGGAGCTTTCGCAAAGCTCAAGGATGAATTTGATGCGCGAGGCGTCCAGATGATTGGTTTGGTACGTCTCATCGTACCTCTGGTGGCTTAACATCAGCCTACTGACGTATACTGCAGAGCGCCAATGACCTAAGCTCGCACGACCAGTGGATCGACGACATCAACGAGACGTCCAACACCACGGTACAATTCCCAATCATCGCTGACGCAGATCGCCACGTCGCTTTTCTCTACGATATGATCTCGCAAGACGACCTCGACGCGCTTCAGAAGAACGGTGGCATCGCCTTTACAATCCGTTCGGTCTTCATTATCGATCCGGCGAAGAAGATTCGCCTCACAATGTCGTACCCCGCGAGCACGGGCAGGAACACTGCAGAGGTCCTTAGGGTCATCGACAGCTTGCAGACAGGAGATAAGAAGGGTATTGCGACACCTATCGATTGGCAGAAGGGCCAGGACGTCATCGTACCGCCCAGTGTCTCCACTGAGGATGCGAGGAAGAAGTTTGGCGATGTCAGGGAGGTCAAGAAGTACTTGCGCTTCACTAACGTCGGACAATGAGCGCACGTGTGAGGCGGAACACAAGAAAGTTCATCATAGTACTAAGCGGCTCAAAAAAAAAACATGCGACCTTCACGAGCGGCATCTCATGTTACTCGACATCCACTAGAATTACATAATCCAAAGACGCACTCTTGACTAGACGCATTCTCGTCTTTAGTCTATTTCCTTGGTTACCTGATTGTATTCTTCTGCTACTTAATGTTCAGCAATGCTCATGCTCTGCGTAGATTCCTTTTCCATATGTTGATGTCAGTCCTTAGATGTTATATTTTCTCAGCATCCAGTGTTTCCTTTCGATAGCATATACATCAGTCGTGGGGGATTAGGCAACTTGGCAGGAAATGAGCAGAAATTGATTTTGAGCTTAAGAGAGCGCGGTAAGTTTTGTTCCCGATAGGTCATAATACGCGCAGCGAAATGTAGGTTGCGTGGGTAACGCGCCCCATCTGCTCAGGATTCCAGTCTCTTTCTACACTACACGATGGCACGCCAAGGTAGGTTGTGAATTCACAGAATGCATTTAGGGCCTCACTGACTTGTACACTGGCATCTGCAGGATACATTGCCCGAAGAATGCGACTAGCTACTCTCAACCTACGATAGTGTGATACAACACGCAAAGAAATGTGAGCGCTCGGACCTGTATACCATTCGGACATGTCCGTGGCTGGTTCGCATGGAAGCACCTATGGATTCTCGCGCGTATGCAACGCACGCTGGCTTGCACAAACGCGACCCTTGAGGAGAATACAGTGTAGCAAATGTGAAAAGTTCTGGTGCGACCTTTACCTTCTAGCCGGACACGAGATGAAGTGCAAGGGTGAAGAAACGACCAAGGCCAGTGCGAGATTTGATGGCTTACTACGATCAACAGAGGCAGGTCGGCATTGACAGAGTTTTTTCTGAATGTTTGATATGCGTTGGATTAACAACACACGCAAATGTAGATCCTTATCAGGACATATCCATATCCAACATAAGTACCAGGGTATCATTCGCAACGTCTCCTACGATCCAGCCGGTGCCGCGAACGACAACCTTACAACCTGCCCTCCATCACCTCCAGCTTCTTTCTTCCATCCAAGCACCTCATCCTTGTTTCTGTCTTTGTTGACCTCCCACGGATTGATAAATCCTGCACTCAGGTTACCCGTCTTTACACCTTGAATAGCTAGCTTTTGCTTCGCCTGAGCAATGTATGCGTTCAAATAGCCTTGAGTAATGAGGCTGCCGCAGATGCACTCCATCTCCAACAGATCAAACTCGTGGGTGTATGGCTGCACCCCTTCCATGCCAACGAAATCAGGGTCGATGTATGTTGACTTATTTGTTGATGCGTGGTCTTGGTAGATATGGCCGAAATTGCGACGACCTGGGCCGCGGTCTTGCGCGGCCATGGCAGCGTTCTTGATGAGCGAACGCGCCTCGAGGAAGCGGAAGATAAGAACGGCTGCGTTGAGGTCGAGCAAAGCTGCTGATTTTGATGCTTCGCCTATGCTTCCGGTGAGGATGAAAGTCTTACGGAGAAGTGCCCACCATACGAGAACCTCGCAATAGTTGCCAATCGGGTAGAAAATCCGGTACTTGATCATGAACTCTGCACTTGGATGTGAGAGGTCCAGGTTCGTTATCCGACGGAAAGTTTCGAGGTCGCCCTTGCGAATTGCACGAGTGAGCGGTTCGAATACTTCGCGGAAGCCTACGCATGCAGGGTCATTGTAGATATATTCATTTGGGAAACGCCCAAGGATGATGTTGGCAGCGACAAGGCAGACGGCAATCAAGCGACGTTGACTCGGACATTGCCTGTGGCAGCCTCTGTAAGCTAGTTCCAGAACGAGCTGAGCTCCGTAGAAGTTGGTGTTGCTGAATTGGTATCGCCCGAGGTAGTAAAGATAGGTGATGCGTTCCGCAGCTGGATAAATGTGTAGTGGTGGTGATGAGTTGGATATGTTGTTGAAGATGGTTTCGCAGCTTCCAAGCTTATCGGCCTGAAACAAAGTCTTCAAACATATATTTGCCATTTTGTAGATTCCAACCTTCTTTCCATCAGGTTTGCCGTCTTTGATGCCACCTGGCACCGTATTACGGTCATTGAGGCATATAATGAAGGCCTGTCGTACAATGTTGGCCGCCCTTTCGGGCAATGATTCACTTTGCCCATCCTCGTCGACGTCGGTAGTGATGAGATGCATTGTCAGGTCGGGCCGCTTCTCTAGTCCAATCGCCACTCTTGCAAACACCTTTGCATAGTACATGATGGTGGGAAGCATCAGGATGCCTTTAGTAGGATGTTGTAAGGCGCTGTTTGCTCGCCTAGAGATACGTCAGCGTCGAGTAGTTTTGAGGCATACACTTATTGACCTACGGTTGAAGATCTGTCATGAGCTCAAACACCAAAACCAAATTCTCTGCGTCTACGTCTCGGAGAAAGGTCATCCATCCGACGAGAAAAGTAACCAACGAACCCCAAGACTGTACTGGTCTACCCTCCTCGTCCTCTGACTCTGCTGTCTCAGTCACAACCCGTCTGACAAGATCTTCAAGACGTTTCTCAGAATCTCCATTGCCAGCAGGGTAATTCTGCTGCAAGGATTTAATGAGTTCTTGATGATCGGGTGGAAAAGCATTGCCTTCACCTGGCTCCAGAAGCACAATCGACTGCAGTTGATATGGATCCCCGGCTTGGATAGCGACGTTGACCGCCGTACACAAGCGTGTCTCTACATCGGGTTGGCTCCGGAAGAAGGACATGGCTACAGGAGCCACCGTTGGTGGTTAAGTGAAGAGTCGAGCTAAGCGGTGGATTCAAAGAGCAGCAGCAGAGCGCTTTAGGCTTAGCGTCAGGTCCTAGCTCCCAGACTCACCACCCGCTATATCCTTGTCGCCGATCTGTGAGAAACATCCTTTATTCGTTCCCACACTTTGGTCAACGTTGGCCACTAGGATGGCGTCTTGAACCAAATTCACATGGGCAACTCGAATATGGAGGAACCGTTGGGTGGGAGACATCTGAAAAGCAATGGCGAACGCCGTCTCAGCTTGCGCGGCCGAACGCAACCCAGCAGTCTCGGAGGCTTTCACATGTCAGACCAATGCAGCGGTTCCACCGTGACATCACAAGTGGTAATATGCGAAACACAACGTCCGAAGCTGCACATTTCCGTAAGGATCCGCAAGAGGATAAACGCCACCAAAACAAGTCAAGCTCATGTAGTTTTAAGTTCTGTGACTGTCACCCTGCTTTCACCTTTGCATCTCTATCCTCCTGAAAAGCCAGAAAGCCATCTGCCACGATGGGTTACTTCTGGAGTTACATCAAATATTTCCTCACCCACCCTGTCCTCTTCATTTACCAAGTCATACAATATGTGCTTGATTGGGTTCTGTCGCCAACACCGCCACCACCACACCCAAACCTCGTGCGCCCAAAAATCGCTGTCATTGGCGCAGGTTTAACAGGAGTATCTGCTGCATCGCATATTGTTGGCCATGGCTTCGACTGTCGTATCTTCGAAGCAGGGTCCAAGAAGAATCTCGGTGGAATTTGGAGTCGGGTGAACAATACGTCTGGTCTGCAAATTCACTCGCTCATGTACCGGTTCCACCCTTCCGTGCACTGGAGCCAAGGATATCCGGATCGCCAGCAAATTGTTTCACAGATCACGGAACTCTGGAAACGATATGGTCTTGAAAGTAAGACTGAGTTTAACACACGTGTTGAAAAGGTGTACAAAGATCCTCATGGGCGATGGATCATCAATGATCCCTCTCACGGACGGTTCGATGGTGTAATAGCTGCAATTGGTACTTGTGGTGATCCTAAGATGCCCACGCTACCTGGCCAAGAGAATTTCAAGGGTGAAATTTGGCATAGCTCGCAGCTCGACGGCAAGAACGCTAAAGGCAAGAAGGTTGCTATTATAGGCGGCGGTGCCTCCGCAGTTGAAGCTTTGGAATTCGTAGCCAGCTCAGAAGCAGAGCACACGAACGTCCTCGCCCGGTCAGAGAAATGGATCATCCCACGAAACCCGTTCATCGATAGCCTTCTTGCTCTGAACATCTTCGGCAGCGAGACCATCTTCAGTTGGATTCCTGAGTACATCCTACGACTCTTCTTCTACCGTGACCTCTACGATATCTCTCCTGCGCCCAACAGCGGAAAGGGTCTGTTCACTGAAACACCAATGGTAAATGACCAAGTGCTAGACCTCGTCCGTTCAGGCAAAGCATCATGGCTTCGCGGCGACATCATGGGCTATGACGAATCCGGCAATGGCATCAAGTTTAACAAGCGTGCTCAAGGAGTTCCTAAGAACGGCCCTGGCTCTGAGAAACTAATTGAAGCGGATATTGTTATCATGGCAACGGGATATAAGCGTCCAAGCCTAGGTTTCTTACCAGATGAAGTCTTCAACGAGCCGTACGAGCCACCAAACTGGTACCTCCAAGTCTTCCCACCTGAACACCCTTCAATCTGTGCAAACAACTGCACATATGTCAACGCTATTGGCACAGTTGGAAACTACCATATCGGCATCTACACACGCTTCCTGCTCATGTACCTCGTTGACCCTCTGGCTCGACCGCGCACCTGGTGGATGAAGCGCTGGATCGACATGACGCGGTTCATCAAGAGTAAAGCTCCTGGTGGGGCTTTCGACTTCTTCACATATTCAGAACTGATCTATTGGTTCATTTTTACGATTGCGATCAATCCATTCAGGTGGAAGTGGGCGGCTTTCGTGTTATGTGGTATTGGGAAAGGATTGCCGTTGAGCGTAGTAGAGCAAGAGGATCGAGCACGAAACGGCCTGGGCATGAGACATATTTTGAGTAACCACGATAACGGAGAAGACTAGGTTCTTGTGGTTCAGAGGCTGACAGGAGCGAGACAGCGATGTATATCCCAGTCTCTAATGTAGTAGGCGCTGAAGAGTTCACTCTTCAACGTGACTCCAATCCTTTATGATGAGTGCGCAACATGCTTTGGATGAAAACATCGTTCATGCACATCCCGACTATCTTGCAAAAGTTTTTGATGCCATTCCATCAATGAGAGCGGTAGAGAATCCGATATCGCCATAAACCAGCTCTTGCATCCCTTCTCTTATACCAAGTTTAATACCACTAGACGCACCCATCACCCCGCAACATGACTGATTGTGTCCCAGCGAGCATTCTTGACTCTTTGTACAGAATATCGGTAGATACCAATGCGCGGTGGACAAGGCAGTCAATCGATACTTGGTATGCGAGAGCGTGAAGCGATACTGTCGGGCTGACAGAAGAACAATTCAAGAGGGCGCGCCGGCGATTAAATACTTCACGTTGCTCTGTGCAACTAAGATTCTACGTGTTCAATAAGAAAAGGAGCAGGCGGTGAAGTTTTCCCTATCGATATCGCAGATTGCGTGGTCGGTGCCTCTGCCCAAACTCCACCCCCTTTTGCACATTTTGCAAAGTTTGCTCACGGTATGCACATAATTCACTGACTCTTTCAAAACTTTGGATAATACGAATGGGTTGTGCAAAGAGGAGCCGGCTGGGTACACATGAGGCGCGTCTGACCCCATGCATCTCCATGGCAACAATGTTGCAAATATGCGAGAGGCGCCGGGCAAAGCTAAACCGTCATCCGGCAGGATGAATCGTGAAGATTGACAATGGAAGATGATGCGCAATGGTGTGTTTAGAAATCTGAAGGGTCTACCCCGCGGGAAGACGAAACAGCGCTGCAGAATTTTGCCGTTCTTTGTACTGGCGAAATTTAAATCTGGAATGTGACGATGCTGCGGATGCTCACCGGATGTCCCCGCAGTCACAGGCTGAAAGCGCGTGTCACAGCGTCCCGCGTTGTCTCAGAAAACGCAAGCTCCGAGAGATAGGAACACGCAAGGCCGCAAGCGAAGGCGCCGCTTGCATCGAGGTGAAACCCGTGCTTCCTGTTGGAGCCTTGCACCCTCGAGGTATATTACTATAAGTGAATCCTTTGTCCGACGAAAGAGGGTCTGATGTGCAACGTGCTGACCGAGAACGGGACGCAAGGGATGATTTCCGATAATGGCTGATACTCGTGAACGCTTCAAGGAGCTTCAGCAGCTTCTGGGTTTTCATGGTGAGTGACCCTCGGGCCCGAAACATGTCCCGCGATAGTCTTGAGAATCATGAACAGAGTTTTTCTTCACACAAAGTGTCCACCATGATGTATTTGGTACTGCACATAAGTCGGATGCGTCCGGCCAGGTGCTGACACGATGAAGTCTCAAAGACACCATGACAAAGAGTTTGCGGCTAAGCTGCCACCACAGTGCAGATTTTCAGGGTCTCGAAACGCGAGGCCTCCTCTGGCGGCATGGTGAAGCGGGTCCCGAGGTCTGGGGTATATGACGCAGACCCTGTGGTGAGACTCGCCTTCACCTATTTAGGTCAGGTGATGGCGCGAAGACGGTTGTTTGTGTACTATAAGCTTGACGCGTCGCACCTGGAGACGAGACGATGGTTTTTCGAGGCGCGTGCAACAAGCGCCACACACTGGCCTTGTCGAGTGTCTGGCGGTCCACTAAAGGAGGGGTCAGCCCGTTGGTGGTGGGGTCCAGCCGATCGCGTGCCGGTTATGAAGGCTTTGTGCAAAGTGGTGGTGGGAGAGCCGCCGTTCTCGAACAACGACTCAGCTCGCCTCTTAATGGCACCACAACAACTATGACAGCGGCCCCCGGTCACTCCGAGAGGCCATGGCTGACGATGGTGTTGTTGTTGCGAGTATTAGCGAGGGTGCTTGGTCGACAGGTTGACAGTTGTCTGAACTGGTTTGCAGAAGTTGGAGCAAACCGGTCGATAAGAATAGCAAAGTTGGCAGTTCATCTCAGCCTTATTGCCTATGACGTTCGATGTATGTCGCCATCGCGATCGCAGAGGGGAGAGTTCGATCGCGAGCACGGAACTAGAGCGGTAGCGTGTAGGATGGAGCCTTTCCTGTTTTATGCACCCGGTTGGGTCTAAGGGGATCAGAGGGCGAACGGGCCGGGGTGAGCTCACGTCGTCAAGCCAGCGGCGCCTGCGAAGCCTGCGACGTCGGTCTCGCTGCACCGAATTCAGACTGAAAATCTCCCGCTCGCCCAATGAGTCGGGCAAAGGAGAGGCAGCCAATGAGGCGCGTCATAAGCCGTGTTACAGCGAGGCGGTTCCCTGGCAGAGTCCCTGCCAGAGCAGCCAAGCCTGCTGCTGGGCGATACTATGACGAAAGTCTACGCAGATGAAGACCGAGTGTGCCGTCCAAAACATCTCACGCGTCTTGAACGAGGCTGGAGTTGGGGTAGTTGATGCCGAAAGAGGCATGCAGTGTGCGGTAGTATGCATAGATATGCTAGGCTGGTGGTTCTTCGGTAGCGAGTGGGCAGCTCTGTCGGTTTCCCTTGGAGACGGTTTGTACGTTACGCAGCACGGCTAGAGCACTCCACGCAGAACCACTCCGAGGGGAGAAATTCTCTCGGCGGCGCGAGTTTAGGCGCAGAGCGAACGTATGGTTTCACGTATCGTGCTGGGCTGACAGGGAGCACCCATTCCGCTTGCGTCTGATCCGTGCCGAGCTAGGGAATTGCTTCTCTGGCAACGCGATGCTGAGGTGCAGCTGGAACTGGCTGGAACTGAGCCTCGTCGAGATTCATTTCAGGTCAAGGTTTCGGTGAAGCATGTCACGTTGGATGGTTATATTATGGATCTGGCTGTCAGTGCTGCAAGACGGTGACAGTCGGGCGATGTTGCAATACATGGAACAGCTGCGAACGCTTGTTTACGTCGGCTTCGCGTGATTAGCTGCAGGCTGCGTATTGCTGCAGCTACGCGATGGACTACGTAGGATCGAGATCAAATCAGCGGCCGGTGTACCTGCGGCGGCATTAGAGGCTGCGGATCAACAGCATAGCTCTGGGCTGAGTGCATAGCCGGCGCAAGCAAACTCCAGTCCCCAGTATTCTTTGTCCCGTGCTGAGCATTGAGGCCTCCGGTGTGTGCAAGCGCCTAGCTCTAAAGCCCACGCCCTGGTCGTCGGCCCTAACCTGAACCCAGCAGCGGGCTACCCCAGCAACCACGGCATCCTCAAATCCAGCTGCGTGACCTGGATCCGCCTTCCTCTTCTCTACCCTTCTCGCACCCAAGAAGGCCCAATCCCCTCTTTAAGTTGGCTGAGGATTTTGGACGACGGTTGCTTTGCTTGGATTGATATTAGGAAGAGAGTATCGTATAGGCAGTCGCTACCTCGTTCACCATCCACTACGCCCAACACAGAGCCGCCCTCAGCCTCATGTCCGGAGCCCGCCTCTAGCATCTCTACCACGGCCACGACCCCATCGAGCTATCTCACCAGCTATCTCACCCAGCATCTTCAGATTGGAATTAGTTTTCCCGTCTTGCATGCTTATCGCCAGTATCGCCTTTTCGACATCCGTTCAGTGAAGACGTGCAAACGCTCGTTGCCCGGTACTACGACTACGACAGCCACCACCACCAACACCAGCCCATCATGGAGATGTCTTCACCTCTCGCGGCCATGCACCCGCCGCCCATCCCCGGCCCCTGGGGATACCGTCGTGACCTGCCACAATCGAAGCCGTTGTTTGGAGGAGCACACAGCCTGGGTCCCAAGAGCTTCAACTTCCGCGACCTCAGCATGAAGAAGAGTGGGGGAGACTACTTCACCCTGCAGCCCATGCGAGGCTCGTCGCCCACGACCAGCCTGGCCGCCGACATGTCGAGCAACCTGCACATGGACCAGAGGTACAATCCCTCTTTGTCCCTCTATACCTTCCCATTGCGGTACTGACATGCTTTGTTGTAGCCCTCAGCTCCAGACGCCTCGCCGGTCGCTCTTCACGTCGAATCTCTTTCAGCAACTCGACACACGGGGTAAGTGGCTGTGCATTCACTCCAAACGGGAGGCATCAGGCTGACAGGTTCAAACAGAAATCACGACCCCACTGGCTCGTTGGGAAGGCGTTACGACTCCGCCAATCCCATCGTCCTCGCCCGGCTTCGCACCAGACTCCATGGACATCTCCCCTCTTCCCCACAAGGCACCTTTCAGCTTCATCAACGACCGCTGCCTGCCCCTACCCTCGCCCTCCCCAGAGGTGACCCCAGGATCCGACAGCGACATGCTCACTCCATGTGACGACCTACCCACCCCACCCGCATACTCTACACCCTCACTCGAGGTCCCACGACCCGTGTCAGCCGCTGAGTCAGTACACGAGCCGCTCCTTCACTCAGTCCATGCTAATACAATATAGACGCCGAAAGTCCGCTCTGCTCAGGCCCTCTCTTTCGCGCCACAAGAACTACTCTACTAACAGTGTGTCGTTCAAGGACCAAGAAAAGCCATCGAGCACCTCGCTGCCGGCTTTCCAATTTGGTTGCGGTGACTTCGCCAGGAACTCGTCTTCATTGAGCTTGGATGAGTGCTTTACTGCCTCCCCACCTCAAGAACGTCGTCCCACCTCCAATGGCTCTCTCTTCGCATCGAAACCCAAGCCCTTTTCTCTCAACTCTACTGCCGCTCGTGCCAATGGTTCCCCTCTCGCCGCTGTCAGGAAGCCTGTCGGTCCCCCTTCTCGTCGTCCCAGCAAGTTCCGCAGATCGTTAAGCATGTTCGAAAGTCCCGGTGAAGTGATGAATGCCAAGCAGGAACAGGATGACTACCAGCCCAGTGGGCTTCAGTCTGTGATGGATGTCGATGATGCCAACCCACTCAAGCTTCCACACTTCACTACCAGCGAGCCAGAGAGCCTCCCTCGTATTACCCACGAGACATTGGTGGAGGTCCTTGACGGTGCTTATGATCACTTGTATGACAACAAGGTGGTCATTGACTGCCGCTTCGAGTACGAATACAATGGTGGCCACATTGAAGGTGCATTGAACTTCTGTGACAAGGAGAAGCTTGCCGAGCGTCTCTTCCAGGCTCCGTCAAGTGACAACACTCTTCTGATACTGCACTGCGAGTACTCAGCGCATCGTGCTCCTCTCATGTAAGTACTTCCAATATTCCCGCCTGTGGTCATCACTAACAGCAACAGGGCCAAGTTTGTTCGCTCGCAAGATCGCAAGGAGAATGCGCATCAATATCCTCACCTCTCGTTCCCTGAAGTTTACATCCTCGACGGCGGTTACAGCTCCTTCTACCATGCACATGCAACCCGCTGCTATCCCCAGAACTACCTTCGCATGGATGCCAAAGAGCATGAGCAATCCTGTGAACGCGGCCTTAACAAACTCAAGTTCAAGTCGCGTGCTAAACTCAACCGTGCTACCACTTTCACCTTTGGGCAGCACTGCCAGATGGAAGACAGCCCTACAGCCATGGGCCGTACAAGATCTGGAAACAACCTCTTCACCCTCGGCAATGACTCTCTTGAAATCGGACGTGTCAACGCCGCTTCCCGTCGCATGGCATCTTATTAGGCCTGCACAACAACCAACCAACACTATAACGAAACTAAACTAACTCATGGCGGATTGATTCACGGCGTTATCGATGATTGCTGCATGGTATTGGATCCCCACAGCATTGGCGTTTGGTCCTTTTCCATTTCCGGGGCGTTTGAGCGATTCCCTTTGTTCTGCATCACTCGGGACTTTTTGCACAGCGGCTCCAGTCTGCATCTGATCTTTGGGGTGTCCTGTCCCCATTTTCGTTTCTATACCCCTTGTCGCGGTGCCGTGGGCCCGGGCAAAAAGTTACCATTTCTTGATAGGGATTGCTGGATACCCATCTTGTCTACGGCGAGCGTTGAGCAGTCCAAAGAAGGCTGCCTCGCGAGCTCATTCATTTCCTTTGTTCCTAGTACCCATCCTCACACGGATCTCTCCTGGCTCAGCAGCGCTGAATTATCGCCTGCACATGTTCTTCAGAACAAGAATCTAAGAATCATCACGAAACCAAGTACACAAACAGGTCTACGTGCCTTTAAAGCATTAATCACCTACGCGGCATCTTCTGCCAGTTTCCTTAATACAATTCATTCGATATCATACTCGACAGCACTCAGACTGGACTCTGTGCCATTTCTTGCGTCACGTATTCTTCACCTGCTACTGCTCTCGCTGGTGTATTTACAATTGCAATTGTGAGGTACTTGGCTGTAGGCAAGGCTGAGGGTCGAAGGATCGGTTCCAGAAGTACTGCGGTGGACTGAGCGACAAATAACAAAGAATTCTTCACCGAACCAATCTGCCAGTACCACTCTCCTGATGAAGAAGTCGCGATGCATTAACCCCATGCACAGTTTATATGTTGAGCTACCTGGGCAGGAACTAGCTATAGCTCATATTGAAATAGTGCGGTAGCGACGGCAGTTGATAGCTGCACTGCATTAGCTCATACCCATGCACCTTGTGGCTTGTTTGCTTCTTTCGGTGTTAATAACGTCTGGATCACGACGCGGCTCTCTCCGTGTTGTGTTGAACGCGTCCGACGCGTCTGCGCTACAGTAGCGTGTCAGTCAACGCCCCAGGTCAGTCAACGCCCCACCCACAACACAACAGCTTCATGAGTATTGCAGCTATAACGCCTCAACAAAACGTGATAAAATTGCGCAAAAGTAGATTTATACTATATAATAGCCTGCGAAAACTTTGCGCTAGTCCAAATCTTTTTTTGGGCGGCGGATTACCCGCGTTTTGGTGGTTTTTGGTGGAACTGGCTGTGCAACTACCCGGGCTCCTACAGAGGCTGTACCACCCCCAACACGTTTCTGACGCTTTGCAGCTGGCTTATGAGGTTTTGAAGCTTTGCGCTTACCCTTTGGGGGCAATTGTATAGCTTTTTGGGCGTCGCGGAGGCTCTTGTTGAGGTCTCTTTCGGCCTTCTCTGCAGCCTTCCGCTTTCTGGTCTCCTCCCAACCCTTCTCCCGCTCAACACGCTTCAAAGCTTTAAGTTGAAGATCACAATCGCGAGCTGCCTTCTTGATCTCGGCTTGCTTGGCTTTTTGAAGCTTTTCAAGCTCCTGTTGTTGTTGTTGTGATGCCCGACGATCGCGAGCTCGTTGTACACTCCTGGGCGACCACAGTTTGGCTCCCCCATGGTAAACCTCGTCCTCGTCAAGCTGGAGGGTGTAGCTCTGCTTTGGTCGCCTCTCCTTGATGGCTAGGGACTGCCTGAGGCCTCTGACCTCCTCTTGGAGTATACTGTTTTGAGCTGAGATGTGGCACAAGCTTCGTTGAAGCTTCTTGACGTCCTTACTGCTCTGATCCTTCACCTCACGGCGTACGATTGATTTGAGCTTGAGCCAATCGCTCCCCGATAGTACTGAGTTGCTGCTGTCGGAGTCTGAAGCTTGCTGGGCAAACTTCTCGAGTACAACGTCCGGGTTGGCTGGGTATATACCAGTGGCTTCAAACGACTTCTTGATGAGTGGAGGTTTGAATACGTTACCCCAAGCCCTCCAGAAGAGCGGGAAGAAGTCTCCTTTGGTCAAATTGAGTAACCCCTGGCTGTCCTGGAGGTATCCCATCAACTGGGTTGAGTAAGCGTTCGAAAGGGGTTTGAACATACAAACGTCCAGGGGTTGAAGCGTATGAGTAGCGTGAGGGGGTAATACAAACAAGAGGATCTTGTTGTCGTTACAATACTCAATAAACTCCATGGTTACGTGGGATCCATGGCCGTCAAGGAGTAGTAATCGATACCCAGTTGAAGCATGCCGTCTAGTTTCTCGGTCAAACACCTGTTTGAGCCAAGCTAACCCAATATCGTTGTTGGTCCAGCCGGAGGGTGATGACGTAGTAAATACTGAGTGTTCTCCTGCTTGTACAGCGTCAACCCAGCTCGATTGAACAGCTCCGTTGGCTCCTTGAAAGATGAGCGTTGGACTCAAAGCGCTCCCATCCGAACAAATACAAGCCACAACCGTTATCCACTCGCTGGAGCCATCTTCAAGTGCTTGCCTTACCCCTTTTGACTCGTAAAGCTTCTTATTGAATACACGATTTGTTCTACCAACCCGGCCAAGTTGAAACCCCTTTTCGTCCATATTGAATATATGTATCGGTTGGACGTTGTACTCCTCCATCTTTTCGTGTAACAGCTTGAAATACAAGCTGTACTTTGCCCCTGAATCAGCTTTTGTACGCTCCTTGGCCATAGCTTTGCCCGAGCGAGAGATGAGATGGTTGGGATGACGGCGGAGGAACCGGGCAACCCAGCTTTCGGAGACCGGTTTGCCAGCCAACTGGCTGGCAAACTGCTGTATCATGACTTTTGTAGGTGGCAAACGTCTCTCGGTAAGCGTTTCGATATATCGTACAAGCTCGGCTTCGTGTTCTGGGTGTAGGGATCGATGGGAGACGCCCTTCCGCTCCTGCACACCCTGGTGTCTTCGGGCGAGCGTACTGCGCTCAACACCAAACTGGGCAGCAACTTTGTTATACGAGAAATCATCTCCTGGCTCGCGCGATTCGATATATTCAATCGCTTCTTGAATCGGATCCATATTGGTGGAGTTATGACGCGTTGAAGTTGTGTTGTTGTGTTGGTGGGGTGGGGCGTTGACTGACCTGGGGCGTTGACTGACACGCTACTGTAG